CGTGGTTATTGACAAAATGGTACTATATGATTGTGGGATGGGGAATCGAAGCATGCGGACAGCAGTAGCCGCCTTGAGGAAGAGTACTCGCGGAACTCAAGAAGAGATGCTCTTCGCCTCATCTTCGATTTCGGAGGGGGGTAGACTCACAAATCGCCTAGGTGGAACCAGTGCCGTATCGATCTTTTTCTTTTCTGGTGCTCCAATATGCCAACTTGTCAGATTTTTCTGAGTTTCAGAATAGTCCAAAGCTCTACTGTCACTCGATAAACCCGATATTGAAGACCCCATTGGTGCTTCCACTATACGTTTTGCAACATGGATTGGCGATTCCATACGTCGTGGAACATGGATTGGTGAATCCATACGTTTAGGAACAGACATTGGTGAACCCATGCGTCTTGGAATAGACATTGGTGAATCCATTCGTTTTGGTGCCTGAATGGGAATGTCCGACGCAGCGGACCTGTGCCTTGGATCGGTCCCAGAGAAGGACTCAATGCTCCGAAAGGAAGAAGAATACCCCCGAGGTGTCATTGGTGTCGATGTTGATTCTGTTCCTTTCCAACGATTCTCGGACGACTCTATTGGAGTTGACAATGCCACAGAAGCCGCCGGAAGGTGCGACCCGTTGGTTTGGTATGGATTCAAACCAAAAACTGTTTCTTCTATTTCACTGATGGCTTCCAATGTTGTCAATCGGTTGACACGAGAGGCAAGAAAGGCCGGCGAGCTCTCTTTTACTCGAGGACCAGCATTGTGCCATCTTTGGCCTCTTTCAGCTGCATCGTCTGCAGAATCATCATCGTCATCAAAATCGGCCAGAGTCAAGGACGATACCATGTCGCGTGAAAGACGCAACGGAATCGATTTGTACGTCTCTTGTGAGCCTGAAATCGGTGTACCTTCGTCTGATTCGGGCGCCTTCTGTCGATTGGCAGCAGGATAGTCAGCTTTTTCACCAATCGTGTTGTTGGCACCACTGGTTGGACGAAGCTCATCGCCAAGAAATACTCGTCTCAAGGCCCATAGTCTACTCTCATCTGGGAATTCAAACCTTAGCATCAAGTACTTGGGTCGACAGTAAATCAGAAAATTAAACGACCCTTGAGATCTACACGGAGTCAAAGAAAGACAAATCAGAAAGGTATAATTGCGTGGCTTCAAATTGGCGCTATAGACGACAAGTTCGAATACTTACGGAAGCAGTACAGCCTGTAAGACTACCACAGGATAGTACTTTACCAATATCTCCATTTCATCTGCTCGAGTCCGAGAGCTGCTCTGCAAACCAGCCATAAGCAGATTCCCAAGATGGCAGAGGACGAAGGCCATCACAAACAAAAATGCCTGTGAACAGACCAACTGCTGCCGATGCGACTGCTTTGCTGAGGGTGTCTTTGGCCTTTGTGTCCTGCCGTTGTTCTCGCTCGAATTAGAGCCTTTTGAAGTCGAATCTTCGCTAGATGGAGACTTTCGGTGGCGCCGAATGAACATGAAGATGCTCAATTGTGTAAAGGTTAAGCACAGGGTTGCCATAAACAGAGGTACACCATAGAAAATATACAGCATTGCTTCGCGTGCGTTGCTTCTTTCGACAACCCAAGCCTCGGATGTACTGGTGTCCTCGTAGCGTATCACAGTACATCCTCCTTCCCCAACCCTCTCCCCGTAGATGCCCATTCCAACACCAGCAATGGCAGTTGAAATTGGATATCCCAGTGCCACGAGATGCATCCATGGCTCAACGCGTTTGGCGATTACGGCATTCTTTATGCCATAACGAGCAGTCAATAAAAAGTAGATAGACAACATCCCTTGGTACCACATCGTTGCAGTGGCTACTTGAGTCACAAATGCCGAAAAGGTGCATGTGCCATCATTTCCTCGCGCCCATATTCTACTACTCGTTTCGGCCGGTCGAAGAAAAGCGGCGCTCGCAAAGTTTAAACTGAGAACAATGTCACAGATACTCATTGCGACAAGAAGTCTGTTGTAGGGAGTCCATTGTTGTACCCCCTTTCGTCTTTGCCTTGCAATATCAATAATTGCAAAGCTTCCCACTATGCTTAAGATGGCACTCGGGATTGGAAGTATGCTCAGAAGTTTTTGCTGCGAATCTGAGAGCTGTCTATAAGCATCCCTATAAGCATCCATTCTACTACTCTGGTCTATTGCATCCATTCTATTACTTTGGTCAATTGTTTTCTTTCCACGCTCTCCGTTTATATGGTTTTGTGTTGGAACTGGAAAAAATAGTTGGGATCAATGGCTCATTTTTTCTTGAGCAGAAGACGATTTTTTAATGGTATTGATAAAAAATAAATCTGCCACTTCATATTGTCTTCTGTTCTGGTCATCGCGTATTGTTTCTTTTTCATTCTTGACTAATCTTCTGGATTTCGATGTGAACCCGCTGCTGCACGACATATTGGATGCCAATATTCCGTATCACATCCCTTATATTGGATGCTAATATTCCGTATCACATCCCAAATCCGTTTTGATATAAGGACCGGTCTTTTTGATATATTTACCCGCTTCCAAGATCTACCGCGGTATGGTTGTCGTAATAAATGGGGTCGCTCGTTTTCTTCTGATCTCATCGTCATCGCGCTTTGTTTTCAATCAATGTGAAGAATCAATCTTCTGTATATCACCAAATTCAATCTCAAGGGAAAATAAAAATCCGAGAGGAAAATGGATCGACCACATTATATATGTACCGGTATAACATGCGACGGTTCTATACTCACAATATTCTTTTCTCCTCCGCTATGAATTTCTTCTGCTCTGGAACAATTCCTCGAAAACGAGAAATCTCCCCGGTCACCCACGAAATTCAATGGAAAGACACCGAGTTCAGAGTTGTTACTCACGAAATTCAAGGGAAAGACACAGAGTTACGAACTAGTTGATCGTGCCTATGAATAGCGATACAAGAAAAAAAAGGGTTACAATACTGGGTAATGCAGAAATGGGATCGTAGATAAGAAGTGTCGAACATGTCTCCCTCTTTTCGCTGCATTTATTTAGAGTGAGTCTCACAAAGCAAGCACCATGCACACTCACACAAAATTCAAAACCATGCAACTAAGCCTAACTACAAAGTTTCGCCCCGATCTTAGGAAAAAGCCACGACGCTCGTCATTGTCATCATCATCCAGATCCTTGCATTCGATCTCCGCTGAAGATTCGAAAGATGTGTATGAACCAAAGCGCCGCGTCTCATTCTGTGAAATTGATGTCGTTGAACTGCCTATGATTCTGGGAGACCATCCAGCCTGTCGCAATGGTCTTCCTGTCCAACCAGACTGGGACGCTTCGGATCGATATTCGATATCTGTAGATTCCTTTGAAGAAACAAGATCTCCACACCGTCGGTCTGGTGGCCCGATCCGTATCTCCTCTTTTGATCGACTTAATCTGTAAGTGAAATATGATGTTGCTCCTGTGGCTTCTTATGAGCACTATGTCATTGTCCTTCTAAAACGTCAGTATTTAAAAAACAATTCCATGTTTTAGTATCCGAAACGTCCCCCTAAGAGATGATGCTAGCCCTCAGATAATTGGAAAGGATGAAGCGATACCCAACACAGATAAGATGTAAGCAATGTTATGATGTTGAGAGCATGTTGATCCAAAACAGTAACGTGTTAATCCATTCGTTTACTCTTCTACGATCATCCGTTTCGACAGTATTACCCCGCCCCCCATCACAGCCGTATCGGAAGAGAATACAAAGAGCAAGGTTGGCAAGCAAAATGACGAGCTCAGACGGCTGGAGCATCGTTTGGATGTAGCGAATACAAGATATGACATGTTGCTATCAAGGATGGACGATTTGGAACTAATACGACTAAAGGAGCGAATCGAACGGCGCCGACGCCAACGCCAACGCCGACGTCTGTCTATGATATGATCACATATTATTCTTTCCATTGTTTTTCTTTTCCTCGCCAAGAGACTTGAAAAGACAGATTATATTGTGACGCTCGGAGGTCGTCGTTATAGCGGAGTTTGGAAGGTGATTTGTAGTCCGAATAGACTATAAATTAGCATTTGATAGGATTATTGTTACCAATGAGAGACATACAGTAGCCAATGTTCTTTTGATGTCGAGCTCAGTATGATGCTGCGTGGTAGTTGAACATACACATGGTCCTGCTTGGTTCTGTCGAGACTTGTTGGATATTCCCGGTACTTGGTTTCATCGTTCACGAACTGTCAAAGAACACAATGGGAAAGAGGACAATGAGTGCCAGACAGTGTTTCATGAATCCACAAGTACTCGGCGACGTTCTCAAGCACTACTCCAGCTCCGTTCTGCAAGCGGCACTGCTGTCGAAAGTCATTGTCACTGTCACTGTCAGCCTTGCCGTTCTGGAAAGTACGCAATCTGAACTTCCATAGTACTGGCTCCAAGAGTGATGTCATCTTAGTCCTCATACATTGCCCCAATTTCGCAAAAAAGCAAGCATATACGTAACTTCGCCTACCGACGGCCCCTATCCCACCGCCGTCTCGTGGCATCGATTCCAAACCTTGCGACAAGATTGAGTCCCACTTGGCTTCAATATCCCATTCAGACATTCTATCTAAAACTGACTTTTGAAGTACCATCTGGATCAAAGGAACGACCTTGCTCGGTGTATACATCAACAAATAATCCAACATGGTCTTTCCACTGTTATCGCGCTGGCAAGATTTCAACCCTTGGATTTGCTGAAGTAGCGACAATATGAAAGGGAGTCAAACCGAAATCATCTACCACGATCTCCGATGAATCGATTGGTTCGCACTCGAAGAGTTGTAGCACGCCTCATGTACCGGTAAATGGGCATATCTATTCTTTACACCCACACCGTAGTCTTGTAGCAGATCGCATACAGGAAAAGCATCTGTCTCGTCAACAACATAAGATGGAAGAGATAGATTTACCAAGGACTTGCAACCGGAAAACAAATTCTCGGAATACATGGGGTAGAACCGAGACCGCGTTGCAGAAACCGTTCTGTTCAGTGGAAACTCGGCACCAAGCAGACTTGTGCAGTTTGCAAATACCCTGAAGAATAGCTCGTAAATCGTCGATGGAAATGCCACGGCACTCAATGATGTGCATAGAAAAAAGGCTTCACTATAAATGGTCGTGAGTCCCTCTTGGAATTCCACTTCCACCAGAGAAATACATCCACAGAAACTGCATTCCCCAATTGTTCGCAATTCTTTCGGGAATGACATATTCGTAAGAGAAATGCAATCTTCAAAAGCACTAGTGCCAATTGATTCCAGGCTTTGTGGCACCTCAATGTCGGTGAGAGAGACGCACCCAAAGAAAACACGAGAGTGAATCAGTTTGAGCCGCAAAGGGAGTTTGACGTAAACCAGTGACGCGCAGTTACAAAACACGCCCTTGTCTAGGCTTTCTGGACCTCCTTGAAATTGTACATTGACAAGAGATTTACAGTCAGCGAAAGCAAAGCAGCCAATTGTCTCCACTGTCGCCGGTATCGATAGCGTCTGGACACCCCCAAGTTCTCTTCCGATGAGTGAAATACAAGAGTGAAATGCATCACACTGTATGCGCTCTAGACCTCGACTAAGTTGTAAGTCGACGAGAGAAGCGCACCCTCTGAAGGCTTCAAGCTCAATTATCTTGACCCTCGATGGTATCACCATACTCTGCAGGGATTCGGAAGTGTTCTGAAAGGCTAACCTTTTGATTTTGCGTGTCCAAGGATGAACCGTGGCGTGGATAACATCTGAAGGTATGCTATCATGAGATTGCCCTCGGTAGACAAACTGTTTCTGTCTTCCTGAGATTACTTTGTCTGGGAAATCGGCCTCACCATCAACAACACTGTTGACCCTTGTCTGGTGTTGCGTCTTGAGGATTGAATGTAGGTATTCGGAAAGTTTCATTTCACATGGACAATAGCCAAATTTATTCGGAGAGAAGTCTTATGTTATAAGATTTTCGCTCCCTGTGAACGCGGGGTTTAGACAAGGACGGTTTTGATGTATGCATACAGCTTGGGATGAACGATGAAGGATGATGGTGAAAGCGATGAGATGAGAGTAGATATATATATGCAGTACCTACCGGTACCGTACCGCATACGTGTACGCGTATTATATACAGATTACCGCGGTACGTGTACCGGTACGGTATACGATAAATAAAAAGAATTGTAGGTCGAGTCAGTCAATGTATTCATTAAAACGAGGCCGGCGAGGCGTGCGCGATCTCGTTCGGATGAAGAAGAAGCAATCATATAAAATCAATCTAATCTGATCGCTCCGTCCTATACGATCCATTCGACTAAAGAAGATTCCTCCACTCCGAAAAATGAATCTTTGCGGAAACAATACAGTATATACAGCATTAAAAAAATGCAAAGCTGAAAGCGACCTCATCAGCCGCCAGGATGCAGATTGAGTCAGCCAACAAGAAAAATTATACACAATCGTATCGAACTTGGAAAAGACGTGTACTGTGACAGAACGAGAAACTTGTAACAACAATATGATGCAGCACCAGCAACGAGACGAACAAGACAGAGGAAGACAAAGGACCGTTGCGATCAGTGTAAGTTTCCTTGTTGTGGTTGCAGCTATTGTTGTATCACTGGTGGCCCTAGTCGGAAATGGAGTGGAGAGGAAAATCACCAGTAGTCCGGTTGGATCGCAAAATGTGACAGAAGAACAGGCTGGCTTTGCGGTGGTGCTGGTCCCAACGAGTTCTCCGACGGGTCTTCTTCGCACTCCGTCATCGTCACAGAATAGTGTCTCCAGCTTTTCACCATCCCTGGAAACCATTTCAAATCCAATAGAAAAGCCTGAAGCCTCAGCTGAGCCATCAAGAGCACCAGCTGCAAAGCTGATACCCCCGGCAACACGAGAACCTTCTAACGTTCCGACCACAATAGCAACTCCAATCCCAAGTAAAAATTCCACACCTGTTCCAACGCCAGAACCTACACCGAGACCTGTAGTGGTACTTCCAGGGCCCACACCAAAGCCTACTCTACGAGTCACATCAAAGCCTACGCTTGCTCCCACTGCTACTCCGACACTTAGAGCTACTCCGGAACCAACACCAGAACCCACTCCAGCCCCTACACACTATCCTACTAAAGGTCCTACTCGAGGACCAACGCCTAGCCCTACTACTCCGGAACCAACACCAGAACCCACTCCAGCCCCTACACACTATCCTACTAAAGGTCCTACTCGAGGACCAACGCCTAGCCCTACTCAAAGATCAACTCCTTGGCCGACAGCAAATCTAACTTCAAAGCCAACTCCGACACCCACTCAACGTCCTTCTCCACGTCCAACACCGGCTGCACCTGTTCAAGCACCAGTGCGAAATCCGGATTCCGACAGTGCTCCTTGCGAGTGGGAGGAATTCAAGGATGGACAATGCCGAATGTTGTATGGGGGCACTGTGGAGACATTTACAGATCATGTTGATTACTAGTGATAAAGCAGCTAGTGTTATGATTGTGAAGTACAACGCTTAGAAGATCATCCATATCTTATTTCTCGTGTACGCAACAAATGTATGGAGATCTACAATGTTTCTGTTTGCCTTTTTCCGAACGTGCTGGACATGGCTCCCTTGGAATTGGGGAGAAGAAGAGAGCTTTCAAAGCTATCTTTCCGCTTTTCGTTGAAATCTTGAAGTGCTTGGAGGACTTGGTCCCTTGCATTCCATGTATATCTCGTACCATTGTCAAGCAACCCCTTTGGCAAATCCTCCATTGGGACTTCTGCTTCGCAAGGTTTCGACAATGTCAGATATGATGGCGTCCTTGGACGATGAGTTCGTTGCGGTGTTTCCATAACAGGCAACGATTGGTTGATTCATCCACTGTCATGTTTGTTGTAACTTAGCATTCCCAGCGGATACAACCCTGGCTCATTACTTGACATTTTCAATCACAGCCTTGGAATCGAGTTTGGTCTCGAGAAGTGCCAAAGAATGATGATTCTGGTCCTTCCATTTCCCCTTTAGATATCTCCGTCTTCCATATGGCCAGCTCAAAAAGAGATGTCATCTCAATCCTCAAGCAGTTGCCCAGATCTCCAAAGAATGTATCGGACACTAGCTGTCCCTGTCTCGCATTAAACCACCACCATGAAAATATTGCCCGCTGCATCGTTGATCGAAGGCGGCAGGGACACGTTCACCAAGGCTGTGGATTTCAGAAAATACATGTTGTGCGGTATCTAAACGCTACTGGTGTCCAAAGTAGATGGTAATGCAACAGCAGTTAACGCTTGCAGTCTTTGAAGGCCCTCATCCCAATGCACTCCAAACTTTCTTTAAGATCGATGTCTCTAATCGGAGAACAAGCAAACGCAGAAGCTCCAATTGTATGTACAGTGCTCGGTGCGGAAATAGTAGAAAGTCGAAGCGTGAAAAGAAAAGCCCCCCAGCGAATAGCAACTTGCGAATCCTTCATCTTGCCCTTCCTGAAGATGGACTACATGTGTTTAGAGACTCACATCCAGCAAAGGCTTTCCGTTCAATTCGTTCCACTGAACTTGGTATTAATATTGTGCAGAGAGATTTGCATCCAACAAAGGTGCCAGATGAAATGCACTCCAAGCCATTCGGAAGTTCAACATTTGTCAGTAAACCGCAATAACCAAAGGTGCAACCCCCGATGGTCTTCAGGCTTTCATTTAGAGAAACTTTGACGAGGAACACGCAGGCTTGAAAGGCCCCATACGGATGGAAGTATCACCCTGGAGAGACTTTTACAGAAGCAAAATGCCTCGTCACCGATACTTTCGAGCGGTCCCTGCTCGTGAAGCAAGACTGCGGATAGCAAATGACAATTTTTAAAAGCCCAGGCTCCAATGGTTTTGACGTTCCTTGAGATTTCAACGCGACAAAGGGATCGGCAATCCAGAAACGCCAAGTCATCAATGATTTCTCGAGACCACCAAGGTTGTAGTTGGACATGGCGGACTGTCGATAGACAAACTTTTTCCATCCTGTGAGCATCTTTCCACTGGTATTATTCCTTTCTTATTGCATAAATCTCGACGACAGTGATTCAACGAGGTTTCACTCTTGCAATTTGATGGTTGCACCAATAGAAACTTGGCTGGTGAGTGTGGTTGCTGTAGTATAATCTCTCTCACGACTGACTGGCCAGCAGCCGTTGGATATGGTACGTATCATAACTACTTCATTTCTTGATCGGCACGTCTTGAAAATAATTGCTTCGCCGTGATGGTCCTTGCTGATGGATACTCATCTTATTGTTCCAGTCATTGATTGAGGTGTTGATATGTGTTGATGTTTGGACCCACTTATTTGAACCGTCCGTCTATGCTGCGATCTGCCATGTTCACTCTGTCATCATCAGCTAGCAACCGCTCCTTTTTACTTTCGGTACACATGATCCCCCATAATCCGGAAACGCGATCTGAATCCCCGAGTTTCAAAACTTTGTTCAACGTGAAAACGTTTCGTCCCGAACAACAGTAAATTCCGATGGAGCTTCCTCGATTCAGTGCACAAAATATCTGCTCATTCACTGGTACGCTCGATTACTTAAAGGTAATATTTCCTGTTGTGGAGAACTCTAATTGGAAAGCTGACATCATGACAACAATTAGGCTCAAACTGCTCAATAGCGAAAGGAAGCGACGCAAAAGCTGGGAAGCCGTAGAACCTCAAACCTATCAACACATCGGAATTTGTCGTTGAAAACCGCCGTCAAAAAGTGACGTTGGTTACAACTTCTTGAAATCGAAGGGAAGAGCTGGATTGCGAACCCAAATCCGCTCTTGGGAGAAGCCTGAGTTGGAGAAGAGCTAATCAGTTGCTGAGAGAAGCACCCCTCCCTGTATGCAAACAATAATCAACTTCTCAAGAGCTAAGGGAAGAGTTGGGTTGCGGAAACACAAACGCTCTTTTTTTTCTGGAAGCGGTTCCGTAATTCCTACCGGAAGTTCTTGGTGGATGTACATCACCTACCAAGCCCACAAGATATGAGATCTGACATCATTCCATGAAGATCTTGTCAGCTACGTACATCATCTACCAGAGCCACCAAGAAAGAAGAGCTCTGACATCACTCCTTCCAGGATGGGTGATTCATTATTTCTCGTGCAACCGGTACCCTCATTTTTCGATCTTTTGACGAATCCAAACAGATTTGCCAAAAGATATCAGTCCGAACGTCAATGAAATTCTCTGCTGCTACTCTTGCACTCGCCTCCACCCTCGTTACACCCACCTCTGCCGCTCTTTGCCCGCTTATCACTGAAGGAATCACTGGACTGAACACTGAATACGCCTTGGAAGGAAAACTAAACGTCGTCGATTTCACTGCCTCTGTGACGTACACGACTCTTGCTGCCGGTAAGCTATCATATAATTGCTGTACCAGCGATACATATCTTGCACAAATCAAATACTGACACATTGAAAATCGATTTTTCATTATAGGTGCCGAACCATACGTAAAGATCCTCGGAGCTAGTCAAGAACCCACAGTAACAACAGAAGACGGCATTCTTACTATCTCATCTGGAAAGTGCGAAGCCCTAGACCCTGTAACAGACGCCCCCGTTGCATCCGACGCCCCAGTTGCATCTCCAACTGTCGCAGCACCAACCGTCGATAGCCCAACTGAAGGAGCATCCAGTGCCAGTTCTCTCTCTTGGACAACTGCCCTTGGACTTTCTGCCGTAACCATGTTTTCTTCTGGCCGATACACTACCGCTGCCACTGCCCTGACCCTTTTGGCATCTGCCGGACTGGTCCAAGGTGGAGGACATCTTCCCAGCGAATGCAACCCATCTCTGTCGATTGAGGTTGGCGTTCCCCCAGGCGCCACCACCACCGAAAAGTTTGGCGAAACCGATCACTACCTTGCCGCGAATGTTGACACTGTCGTTTGGGGATACTTTGACCCCGCAGCAACTGCTGCCGATGCTCCTGTCACTATGAGTTCTGGAGAGACCATCACTGTCGAAGTCATCACTCATCATGCTGGACATGACGTAAGTTTGTTTGATCATCATCAAATATCAACGTTCAACATTTCATCATTCTCTAACTATCCGTATTCCATGTTACCAGTACGCCAAGATGATCCGTGGAGACCCAGCCATTGAAGAAATTTTCGCGTGGCAAGCCAACGAAACTACCTTCAACAAGAATGAACCCAAGCTACCTGGATCTGGTGTCCACTTGATCACTGGCCCCGTCAACATTGAGGGAGCAATGCCTGGAGATATCCTTCAAGTTGATATTTTGGAATTGGACCCCCGCCCCAACCCTGAGGGAAAGACTTATGGAACCAACTCGCAGAAGTTTGCTGGATATCAATTCCGTTTGGGTAAGAACTTTTGGAATTGTGCAATTTGTGTTATTTGTCATTGGATGACAATCTTCTAACATTGGATGACAATCTTCTAACCCGGCAACTACTACTTGACCACAGGTGAAAAGCGTGACGGAACCCCTTACACTCGAGCTGGAGGAACCGAAGCCATCACTGTTTTCGAGTTTGTTGAAGATGCTGACGGCAACATGCTTTACGGAAAACCAGTCTACATGTACCGTTTCCCCAACATGACTATCACCGATGGAAGCACCGTTACCTTTGATGGTAATCCTGCTGTTGTTGTTCCTCAAGAGTTCAACATGGGATACGAGGGTATGCCAATGGAAGACGAAGCCATTGTCTATCCCGCTGGATTTGATGGCATTTCGGTCACTGACGAAGGTGGTATTGTGTACATGAGCCCTGACCCAGCTGGACTTGACTGGAAGGTCCCCTTGCGTCCTCATCTTGGAACCTTGGCCGTTATGCCAAGCAACACTATCAACTATGTGGATGATGCCGCTCCAGGCGGTGCCAACAGTATTCCTCCATCCCGTTTCGGAGGAAATGTTGACGATTGGCGCATTGGAAAGGGAGGAACCATGTACTACAAGTGTGAAGTCGAAGGATGTCTGATGCTTGTTGGAGATACCCATGCCGCTCAAGGTGACTCCGAACTTGCTGGAACTGCTATGGAAACTAGTTTGACCACCAAGCTCAGAGTTACTCTACACAAGGAAGATTCGTTGCCAAAGCTAGTGACTGGTGTAGATTGGCCACTGTTGGAGACAAGCGACGAATACGTTGTCCATGGATTCGCTTATACCAACTACCTTGACGAGCTGGATGATCCCTCCAACATTTTTGCTGAAGGTGCCAGTATTGATGCCGCAATGGCCGACGCTTACGTCAAGACCCGTAACTGGTTGATGGATGCTTGGGATTTGATCGAAGAAGAGACCATCGCCGTCATGACCACTTCTGTCGACTACTCTGTCACTCAAGTTGTCGATGGTAACTGGGGATGTCATGCTAGTATTGTAAGTCCAAAGAACCTCGAAAGACACAATGGTACTGTCTGTGAAACTAATCTCCTCCTTTTGCGCTTTTAGCCTAAGTTTGTGTTCGACAAGTCAGGTGCTGCTTATGACTATTCTTGCACCACTTCCAAAACACCAGGACGCCGCAACTTGAAATCCACCCACCAACGTCGCTTGAAGGAAGACGAACGTCGTGATCTCTTTGCCAAGTATGCTGGCGAATCTGCGTCTTACGAAGAACACCACGCTCGTTTCTTCAACAAGGTCACCGAATCTTGCGAATCTTGTGGTGAATCTTCTCTTCGTGGACTCTTGGCCGACAAGTTTCTTGATGCCAAGCTTGATGCCTACGAAAAGGCTACTGCCAACTAATTTCCAGTCACTTAAAATTATCGTTTCATGTTAACCATTGACCTCATCAAACGTATTGCACGCGAGTTGCCCTTATCCAGAGATACGTCCACTATATTGGTATACCCATCGGAAGTGTTTACCCATTCTTGGCGGACATGTTGGGGACTTCACCTGTTGGAATCGTACACAAATAATATAGAATGGCACCAATCAAGTTGTATGTGTTCCAATGATTACTGGAACTGTTGGGATCTGCCCCTCCGTGCTGTGCCCAACAACAGCTTTGCAACGTCAAATCTGTCATCGAATACCACACAAAACAATATGGTGTTGCGGCCTTCGATGGATTCGTCGCGGTAGGCCTTATTGTTTCTTTTTAACAGTTGGAACGTCTTAATTTTCGTTGTCTTCCAAGCATTTCATTTTCTTAATACAATCGTTGGTGTAATTATCTTCCAACTTTCATGATTGCCATTCTAGAGGAGTGTGGCGCATCATTTTCAATTTGTGCAGTCATTTTGAATTTTGATGAACACGTGTATGTCTGTCGTCCGGTATTTGGCAGCAGGGGTATCTCATTTCGTGATGCTATGTGGTACAGCCATGCCCACCACAATACAAGTTCTGGAAAAGCCAATACTCTCGAACAAATGAGAGCACCGGTATAGTGATACCACGACAGTCTCTCTTCATGTCGGCTACACAAAATCAGTCTGAAAGTGCGTACGTGCTATCTTATTGATTCGAACTAGTCCAACTTACTTCATCCTCACCCACGCCACGTCACCCACGCCACCAACAAAACAAATGAGGGCCACAAAACATCAACAACTCATTTTTCTATTCTTCTTTTTTTCTTCTTCCCGCCACCACATCATGCACTCGTCAAAAAACTTTCAAACTCGTGAAGGCAATAAACTCAACTGCAAAGGACACGCTATACATAAAATATGAAGCATACTTTTCTAATTCTTTTGGCGTTGGCAGATTATCACTCGACCACAGCTCTTCAGCAGCAACGACAACCAGCAATCAAGAAGTCATCGCCGCCAATACAACCACCATTGAACAACGACGTTGCATTTCTCCGTTGGATCGATGAACAACCGAATGTGGAACGGAGCGTAGCGGTACAAGATGACGGTATAGCTGGTCGAGGTCTGGTAGCCACTTGTCTGCTACAACCGGGTCAAGTAGCAGCGTCCATTCCTCCCGCACTCACCATTCGTCACGAGGACGACAATGAAAACGACAACTGGGCCGGTGAGTTGGCAGCCAAATTATTAAATCATGTTCATCGAGGTCCTTCAAGTGCTTTAGCTGCCTACATCGAATACGGGCTCCCCGAAACAGCACCAACAGTTCCGTGCCGCTGGGACACTGAGCAACTAATGCAGCTTCAGAATGCCACATTGCTAGAGACCATTCAACAAGTATCGGAATGGAGGCATGATCAAACATCCCGGCATTGCACTACTTCCGACGACTCGGAATACCTAAAATATTTGGATTTGGTGTGCAGTCGAACGCTCAAAGGGGGTGGAGGACGACAGTTGGTCCCACTGATTGACCTGGCCAACCACGCTACTCGAGAACAGGGCGGTGGTCAGTTCCGAGTCTTAAAGGACGGGACGGTCCAGTTACTTGTGGGAGAACGTACCATTCAACCTGGACAAGCGGTTACCTTGGATTACGGAGCACGAAATGTTGATGATTTCTTGTTGCACTACGGATTCGTCCCGGATCGATGCTATTCCGATTCAGTATCCTTGTTGATCCAACGGAAAGAGGATGATGGTGACTCTAGTAGTAGTACCGAAATATTCTCCTGGAACGATTGCCAGGGTTTTCGGGGTCATCCCGATTCTTCTGTGCGCAGCGCCGCACGAACACTTTTGGAATCCTTTCCCACAAGCTTGGAGGACGATGTCCAGAGACTAAACCAAGGCCAAAACCATGATTATCCGGTGGATCGATCGATAGTATCTTATAGATATGCCAAAAAGTCAATGTTGGCGAGTTTGGCAGGTGTCCACCAGTGGTCATGAGTGATGATCACGACGAACAATAAACAAGGCAAGAAGCAGACACAATTGTGAAAAAGCATACTCGTCTACTAGAGTACTTCGCCTGAACCAAGCTCATATGGCTCAAGCAGACTTCTAGACCGGACCAACACTAAACGAAACAATGCCTCTTTTTTTCCCGAAGAGAAATTGATTAGTCATTCTAGCATACCAGTGAGTTGTGAAGGAGTCTTACATTGACCCAAGAGTGAACCACAAGATTGGAACGTTGCAGTTCGTGAGAACACAGATCCATAGTATAGTAGACTAGTCATATGATGATGATATGATTATAATACAAAGGACCTCTATCCTAACCCTGTAGAGATTATTACTATTATCATCATCAGTCTTCTGTAGTATAGTCCTAGTTATAAAGTGATGAAGTATTCCGCAATCGCCTTCTTGTTGGTATTCAAACACGCGCGTTTGTGAAATGAGATTGTGTTTGCATATGTATGGTTCAAAGCTTCTTCTTGGACGTAGTTTAGATGCATTTTACATGAGTACAGGAGTTGTCGCTTCCGCAATTTTGGATATTCTCAAATTCTCCCTCGAGCTTGTTTTGGTGGTGAAATTCCAATGCTTTGTGATCACTCAACTTTTCTGAGTTTCACCGAACCCGTGAGATAATTGTCGAACAACGAGACCCCTCGTACTCTATCCTTGCTCGTACGTGTACCAGGTCTTGGTTTTAGAGCCTTGGCCGTGAAAACATCGTTGGTTGAGAAATAAACTGGTTTTCTGTCCTACCGGTACGTGTACCAGTATACCGGTACTGCGGAGTGTCTTTTTGCACCCCGGTATTGTTATTGTCAAAACGATTGGAAACTGTCATAGTGTCTTTTTTATATATGGTCGAAAACGATACATAAGTTTTCAAAACTTAGATCACTTTTTGAAGTGCAGCAATATTTGCAGATAAATGCAAAATCATGTCAAAGCGGTAAATGATATATAAGAGTATGTCTTTTAATTTTAATATGTATCATCTCTTTGGAACAAGATTCAAAAATTAGATCACTTTCCATTCACTCATTACATCGCCATTTACATGATCGTCCATCAAAGACCCTTTCCGTCCTCCCACATAAATCGAATAATCACAAAATGAAAAGCCACTGTTCTCGCTTCTGTTCCGAATGTAAATTACCAATGTTTCGCATTGATGAGCTTCCCATCGGGAGACTCGACCTACAGGAGACCTTCCAAACGGGAAAGGCTTTGCGCTCGTCAGTGGGAATCTTCAAACTGATCTCGTTGCTCATTGCTTCGGGATTCTTGGTGCATATCTTGATCACAGACCAGGAACCTCTCTTTTATCCTGCATACTTGACAGCATGGGGGTTGTTCTTTTCGATATGCTACCTTGCTGGTTCCTTGAGATTGACGGCCTCTTCTTCCTCATCGCCTTCCGACGAGACTAGTGCCACCAGATTGGTCAAGTTTACTTGGCTTCTCTTTTCCATGTCTTCGGTTTTGGAGTGTGTCATCACCTTACTCTATTGGGGATTCCGACCATCCAGTACGGGGCCTGTTAGGGTGGCAGACGTCACGACGCATGGATGCATTGGGGTTGTCGTTTTGATGCAAGGATTGCTAGTGGACCATATCCCCTTGCGTTTGAAGCACAGCAGCGCTACTGCTCTCTTTGCATTTATCTACATCGTTTGGACGGTCCTTCAAAACGTGGTCATCCAATACAGTCCATTTGACGATGATGAGTCGGACGATGACGCCATTTACGGTTCCTTCCGCTGGAGGAGAGATACGACCACGAGTCTGATGTTATCATTGTTTGCCGTGTTTGTGGTTATCCCGTTCTTTACGATACTCGTTTGGGCGCTATCTCTTCCCGGAAGAAGGTACTTGGACAAGCCAGACGAGGGATCCGTAATGGAAGAAACCGACGATGTTCTCGATGAAAGCAGCAGGAGTAGCGAGGTTGATCCGGAAGCTATTCAACGCTAGATTTGCAAGAACAGCCGCAGCCAGGCTGTGCGATCCAAAACTGCAACAATATTGCGTCAATAAAAAAGGCTACAGTATATAGCTAGATAAAATTGTTACGGTCAATCGCTCTTCTACCTTGGGACTCGCTCGTTGTCACTGTAGTAGTGCTGAGGCAAGCGTATAGCTAGTTCGATGAGTCCTTTGCTCCTCTGACTCCTTGCCGTACAATTGTCGCAGTCATCTGATCCACTCATACAATGTAACCTATTCATCACTGGTTGGTACATTGAAATCAACGTTGATTCACTTGTATTCAAATAGTCATGCGGAGTAAATACAGGAGGTACACAAGTTCCGCAGTAAACTAATAACGGCTATATAACGGCTTTATGGTCCACGAACGACGAAGGACGCATAATTCAACCGTATATGCCAATAATAAAAGCGCAGCCCGCGGTACACGTGAGACCCGTATTGGCTTCCATGCGAATTGAACTCATCATTCGGGAATACGTTTGCGAGCCCCATCAAATTATACCAATGATGAGATGCACCTGATGGTAAGTATATGACGATCTGAGTCTTCAGATACAAATGAACTATCTAGCAACCCATCGGATGACTGACCATATATACGTATAAAGAGAGGCCGATAATGTCAGCATCATCAGCAGAAAAGTGGGGATGAAAGAGTAGCCATGCAACTCATTGAATACAAGCGAATTCACGGTGACTTTAATTTCCCCCAAAAAGATGGACCAAAAAGATGGATTCGCGGCAATGGATTCGTGGAGGAGACGACTGCGACAATGGTATAGCATTCGAGGACACCAAGACTACAACCATCGACCAGCACTTGCGTTGACGAAGGAACTAGGTTTTCACACTGGAAGCCGATCGAGAGAAGAAACAAGTATTTTTGGCGAAGGAAGATGGCAAATACGTGTACAAGATTTGCGAGGTTTTAAAAAAAAACACGGCCATTGTAATAATGTGCCATGCAGATTTCAGGATAATGTAATCTTTGGACAATGGGTAGTAACTATCCGTAAAACGTTTAGAAGGTACAAGAAAAGAGGAGGGACTTTTCTGACACCAGAACGCGTTATCGAACTTCACAATCTTGGGTTTCCTTGGACGCTCATGTTGAAACAGTGAAGTGATTTCAAGAGGATGAAGAGAACAGCATTTTCATCAAGAAAATTTATGAAGATCTATCGCAACGTTTTCCTAATCATGAGAATCTGGAACTCCAGTCAGACATTGCTTGTCAACCAGCGCCCAAGAGATTATCTCGAGAAGAAACACGTGACTCTCACAAAGAAAGTTGGCGACAATAACGAGTACTAGATTTGGGAGATTTCAGACAAAAATACGGTCATTGTAATAATGTGCCATGCAGATTTCCAGAGAATATGATCTTTGGACGATGGGTAGTAACTGTCTGTAGAACGTTTCGAAGGCAAAAGGCAAAAGGAGGGACGACTCTGACACCAGAACGCATTATCGGGCTTCGTAATGTTGGGTTTCCTTGGACAGCTGATTGTTGTGTTGGGCCACACGAGCAACTCAAAGAGGAGGAGGAGAACAAAATATTCATCAAGGACATTTACAAGAGATTTATCGCAACATCTTCCAATTCATGAGAATCTGGTTAGTCTCATCAGGTAGCACGCACCAACAACCAACAGGCAAGAAATCATCAGAGAGGCAACAACAGTCCCTTGCGCTCCCGGCAGAAAGTATTCTAGGAAAACGGAAAACGAAGCCAATAGAAGAAGATCATCAACGGGAGAAACTAAGTTCTTATATTGATGCCCAACCAGTTACGCAAAAGATGCAGCAGAGCCAAGCCAACCACCAACGAAAACAAGACGGCAGCAAAAGTATGTAAAAGCTCAATCTCCATCGTGGCTGCACGGGATATTCGTAACATTGCAGAGTCGAAAGAGCTAGTCTTGCAAGAGCCAATGGAGAGGCAAATAGTGGAAAAGCTGACACTAGGGGAGAGACTACGAACCAAATACGAGAGACGACTTAATAAAACATGATAAGTTTATAGACACTGTCATGATACTTCAATACATAAATTACTGAGTATATCAATAGCCTACTATGTTATTATTGCAGTTATTGCATGAGCAGATTCAATGTAATAAAAGAAAGAAGCTCTAGGGTTTTGGCTTGGTAAAAATGCCTGGTTCCAAGTGGTTGACAATGAACCCTCCGAGAGCGACGAGAGCATGCGCCCCGGGAATCATGTAATTCAAGTCACCGAGGCGATACGCATCCACAGCAACAGTGGTAAAGAGGACAAACTCGGTCAAGATAATTTGACCACGAAAGTGAGCGTGTTCTTTGAAGATTCCCATACCACAAAGGACCATCATGCCCAGATTGAATCCCCGAAGAGAACCAAGCATATGGTTCTGACGGACCGAGTTCTCATCTTTCTCCGAGACATCGTCCTTCTTTCCAATCATCTCTGCCCAGCCTTTCAGATCCGAACAAGCCGCGACCGATGCCCCATGCATAAGGCCAAAAGCAGGAAGAAGAACGTGTTTGAGGAGACCCATATTGAATGCACTGAGAAAGTGAAGCGATATAGGTACCAAGCGATCGTAAAACTATATGAAATGCCAGAAGTAATCAAATACTTCAAAAGATTTTATCAAACGTTTTAGTCGAATGAGTCGGATTATTCGACTTAGTGTATCGTGTGTACGGCGTACGTCCAAGTACGTTTCAACAAACAAAAGTGACAAGTGGCATAATATCCAATATCCAAAACTGACTCACTCACTCACTCATCATGTTCTACAGCTGGTTTGTGGAGAAGAATGAAGAAAGTGATACCACTGCTTACCCATGCCAACTTAGCTCCCTGTCGTGTGATGGCGGACCTATGAATCACCTTCCCACAGAGACGAGTTGTTCCTTGCAGCATTCCTGTTACTGCTATTCCTACTAGTACTCGGAGGATCGCCAATTGCTGATGATGAGTTGACATCTCCAATAAGGGCCAGTATGCACATCAGTGTATGAAGTTTTGGTTTCATCTCTAAACCGTGATGGTTTTGGTTGCGAACACTATTTCTAATCAGACTTTCCTGAGGATTGATAGATTGATTGATTGATTGATTGTCTCGTTCAAGTCGTCGGACACGAAATGTGGTGGCAACAAACACAATGGACCTGACCTTTGTTTGGTTCCATCACTGCGGTCGCCAAGCTCGCATCTCCTGGGAAACACAATCTGCGTTGCGTTGCCAACTAGCATGCCGATAAATGCTCCGTCGAACCAGGCATGCAGTACTTGCAGGAAAGCAGCATCGCGTCTTCTTTTCGCTGCCACGGAAATGTTCACGACAGATGGCCTAAATGGGACTCAACCCTTGCAAAATGGCGTTCCAGAAAAGTGCAACAAGTGGACTGTATTGACCACTATTTTTGTGACCCTGTGGAAGCTGCCCCGAATCTGTAATTCGACAATTTGCCCGGTTGCGGTGTCTCGTCGTTGTCGTCGTCATTGTCGTGCCAGATGCATCACCACAGAAGCCAATGGTCAGATATTTCCACTGTACCTTAAGTTCCAAACCTCATGACTGACCCATATCGTGTATTGGATAGGAAAAGATGCGACAGATAGAGCATGAGATTGATTCGAATATCCAATCGCCGATGATACCCTTCATTTTTGACAGTGGCAATATATATATGTTTCTGCGGTCGAAACCGAACGACGAGTGTCTTATTCCTGCCCGCGGAAGGTCGTCAAGAAATACATACCATTCCGCATGATTGGCCGCACGGACTTTAAACTGTACTACTATATTCCGCAGTTTGGCAACCACCACAAATTTGCTATATGGCGACGACCTGACTGTGACAAACATATAAAAGTGCTCCTGCCTGGCTCCATTCGATTGAATTGAAGATGTACCTTTATATACACACATTTAGGAGCCCCACCAGTTGAGCGATCACAGCAAATGACGCATCCTAGATCTCGATTTATTTTGGCAAATACATGTATACTATGGATATCTATGGCGCGTCATTTTGATGCAAACGACGGAAATCCAATTTCCTCATGATTGATTCTAGCTAGAACTGGCGAAAGCCCAGAAATTTGGGATACGGCCAGGTTGCATTCGTTTTGGAATTTGCCTTGTTTTTTAAAAGCGGGCGACATCCGTTCGTTGGTGTATATAAGAAACGAATTTCGACAGTGTGGAAAGGGGAGAAAAAAAATGCGAATGGGCAAATGCATGTTGCTTGGCAATATAATGCACTACTCGCATTACTTTCGTGTGCATCGCTACAAATGAATTGAAGAAGCCATCCACTCTCTGTTGATGGCAACAACGAAAACTAGCAAAACGTAATATTTGGATATCGATTTGAAAATGATTACAATTATAATAACTCCATGATGGAATTTTTAACCACGACAAGTATAATAATAATTTTTTCTGGTTATTATTACTTTTAATATACGCTGATGCTGTGTAGGGTTAGACAGCAACAATGCCGCGTGTCGTATATGAGAAAACATGAGATTGTTTGACACTCAATGACTGACTCGGGTTTTGTGAATCGTCGTCGTCATCATTAATTGTTTAAAATCAACTGCATCCGTGTTTTCCTCCATTTTATGAAAAAGGTTGATTGGCGACGATGGCGTCATGCTAGCTGGATATACCGGTATAGTGTCGCCTGATGAGGTTTTGAGGTTGATGTGACACGAAATGCTACGACGTCGTTTTCCAGTGAGCGACAAATACACCACGCGCAATAAAAAGGCCCAAACAATATTGTGCGCAGTGTTCTCATCTGCATGTACTGTATATTGATGTTTCGCAAATGTCAACGAAACCCTTCGCTGAGAATGTTCCGACGACGACGACAATGACGACAAAAGGTTGTACGAATGAATGCATGCTCTTGATGTGATGCCTTGATGGATGCATGTCTTTCCACTGGCTCTCTCAATTCTCTCCACCCACCCATTGAGAACCACACATAGGCTCCCCCTTCGCGTCAACGTGAGGATGGCACAGATGTCACGTTATTTCGCCATCACAAACTTCAGAACAAAACCTGGGCATGAGAAGTCTTACTCTGGGTTTTCGTCGTTCTGATTGGTGAATGCTGTGATGTGCGATAAAAATTGCTTTCGAAAAGTTTACGTCGTGCTTTTTGGGGTATCTTCCGATCTGCGTAGATTAAGTACTTTGTTCTACACGGAGTTCGATTTCCAAGTAGAAGTTCTGTTTTCCCGATCCTCCCCAGCGCTCCAACAAAAACCAAAAAAATTGACATCAAAACATCAATGATCAGCATCCATCGTTCAAAAGAAGCACATGCCCATACCTTTCAACGAGAAGAACAGCGGACTCAAGGATAAGGCAGAAGAAGCATTGACAAGTAAATCGTCATCAGCAGCAAAACCAGCCTCTCCCAACAACAGCATTGTGGAGACATCCAACATGGCAGGTTTGACACTAGCGCCTCGTCGACAAGGCGAAGTCCAAGAACACGATTCATTTGAGCACCGCGGTTTGCGACCAAAGCTTGTCGCTGCGACATTGTCGCAAGTAGCTATCCTTCCTAAAAAACACGTCGTAGGACAGAATTCCGGCCACGGTGGTGGGGCTGGTTCAGAATTCCCGAACAAGAATGATGCCACATCGACTGTTTCGTCACATCATTCGAAACCCAAGCCTTATCAGTACTCCACATCATTGCCGCCAGCGGGGCACTTGCAACCACAGACTTCAAGATCGAAATCATCTTCTGTGTCACTGACACCACAACAAGCATACAGAAAGCTGCCATCATCATCATTATCAGCAGCAGCAGCATCTTCAGTCACAAAACATCAGCAACCAAACTTTGCATCTCTCTTTGCGGCTGCCAGGAACAATAAACTACAAGAACAACAACCGCAACAGCAACAACAGCAAGAAGATACCATGTCAGTAGAAAAGGTTCTCCCTGATCAACAAGTCAAGTCGGCCAAGAAGGCTCGCAGGAAACGAACACCTCAGCAACAGCAACGGGGACAAACCTCGGGACGATGGACCAATCAAGAACACCAAGCCTTTTTGGATGGCCTTCAAGAATTTGGAAGGGAATGGAAAAAGGTTGCCACTCGCATTCCTACTCGGACGTCGGCTCAAATCCGATCTCATGCGCAAAAGTACTTTTCCAAGTTGCAACGAGAACAAGAAACCATTCAGAATCTCTCTTCTCCTGCGGATCAAGGCCTAATGATGATGGATCATTCGTCCTCGCAAGAAGACCAACCGAAGCAACAGGCACAACCGCCACATTCGATTGCTCCCTCGGTTCAAAAGAACATTGAGCGTCTCATTGCCGATCCCCAAGCTGTTCAACGAGAAGTCGAACATACTCTTCGGGCTCTGCAAGAACGTTATCGTCAGCTTCAGGCACAGTTGCAACAAAGGCAACAGCAACAGCAACCACAGAACTTGCTAGGTGGTCCGCGCAAACCAATGCTATTGCAACCTCCTCCTCCCGTTGTCGCAGCGGAAGAAGAAGAAGAAGAAGCCAGTTCCACTGGATCTCGCAAACGTTCTTACCAAGACATAGAAACATCTACTGTTGCTTCTAGCCAGCAAGAGCAAGAGCAACAAAAACAAGAAGCTTCTTCTGATGATCAGTCCTCGGTCACCACCAACATTTCCGCATCGGTGGCTTCTTTGGACAATGAAGAATTGATTGCCCTTCATGTGCTTGGTGGAGCCTTGCCACGCAATGAATCCAATACCAGCATTGCTGACTTGTTTGCCGTGGCATCGGTGTCGAGAAGACAAGACTCATCTGCACCGGCCTCTCCTGCCTCTCCACAAAGCAATGCCATTGTGGATGCTTCCATGTCATCGTCACCGAAGGACCACAAGAAGTAAAAAGCAGTGCAGTGCAGTGCAGTGCACAACACTTGAATCAATCCCCTGCCCAGCGTCCCATTTGAGGATGCTTCTTTATTGTCTGGAGGACAAGAAGTAATAACTACCTATATGTGTCCAACACTATATGGGAACAAGATGATGATGATGATGACCCGCGCCTTTGTAGAAATTCCACATGTATATTCCCTAATATTGCGCGCCCTCTCATATACATCACAAATCTTGTCCCAAACAAAATTTTGAATGTACGAACAAGAAGAACACTATACTATACCAACAGAACACTCTCATGCACACGAACACAGATTCCCCAAAACATCCGCTCATAAGGAGTACAGTACTATTAGTGTATCGATACAATAATCACAATAAACCAAGAGCATTATAATAAATTCTTGTGTTTAGCCTCTTAGAAAGTACTATTAGTCCTAGGATAGTGCATCGATAAATAATAATAATAATGTTTATTAAAATAATACCAAGAACAATAATAGATCTCATGCATGTCCTCGTTAGAAAGTAGAGGTACAACAAGAGTATCGTTTACATTCATTCGGTCCTAGACATGCTACAGTTGCGAAAGTCATTGTGGGCCTTCACAGCGTATGTGCCAGCAGGGTACTACTAATGTCCGAGAATATTTATTTAGAGTCGGGAATACTTGCGCCGCAGCATACCAAACACACATGACACATAAAATATTGCAAACTCCTGTGGGTATGCTGTAGAAAATTGAAACAGAATGAATCGTACTGTGTGATACCGGTGAAATAGGTACAGCGTCAAATAGGACGACGTCGGTGTATTGTCCGAAAACTTTAAGAGCGGTTGAGGATTTGACACGATCATACTTTTTGCGAAACCCGAAACGAAGCGAACTCGAAGTGATAATTACTTTTTTAAAACGAAACTGTGATTGCAACGTGATATACATTTAAAGTATTGTATTGGAACTCGGAGACGATGATGGTTTTGACAAGATTCCCAGTATCATTCGTTCATTCTCGGAGATGATGACGATTTGACAAGATTCCCCAAACTCACCTGAAAAAACTAGCCTCACAAAATACAAAATCCCAAAAACGGATCCCAAACCAAGCTAAAACAACATTTGATCATGTACTTTTCAACCAAGATTGTCGCCTTCCTTACCCTTGGAGCGATTGCTACCATGCCTACCATGGCCCAGCGTGGCGGCGGTGGAACACGTGGCGGCGGTGGTGGTGGTGGCCACCGTCCCGGTGGCCAACGTCCCGGTGGCCAACGTCCCAACGGTGATGGTAGACCAGGCCATAGTCCCGGGGGGCCATTTGCCAACGCTACCTTTGTCAATATCACTTGCAGCTCGACCGGTGACTTAGATTTAACATGTGATCCTCGTGGCGAATCTGAGGACGGATTCTTTGTCTGCCGAACTATGACCGACAGAGAAGGCGTCGAGCGCAGCAGAGTCGAGTGCATTCCTTCTGACCGATCCATTGAAGGGGCTGACGAATGTGGCTGCTGCGGAGAAGACTGTCCCGTGGCATGTGACACCTGCCCATGCACCACTCGTCGTGGTGACGCTGGAGCCTACGTCTTGAGTGACGATGATGACGAGCCCTTTTGTGCTCCATTGAACGCCGCCATGATGATGGTGTACGATAAAGATGATGTCTCCTGCCTTGCGGATTGCAGTCTTGCAGAGTGATCAACGAAGCATTGAAGCATTCGAGTGCTTTGCTTAGATTAGAATCTTATAGTTGAATCCGTATAACCATTATTATTTAAAACACCGCTCGTATTATCATTTTGAAAAAGTCACAGAACTTAGTTTCCCGGCATCCTACAATCAATTTCAATCCAGTATGGCATCATATAGTCCATTTGAAACCACCCTCCCCAGGACACACTCTCGGAGGATTGACAGAGCTCGTTCGTCACTATTTTAGCACGTGCTATAGGTGTTGATACCTTGACTGGTATCTTGTCAAGCGCGCTATATTCAACTCGACTCTTATTGGTACAAAGGTGTTCGGGTGTGATTTTATCTAGCCTATAATGATAGCTCCTCCCATCCAGCCAGAGGACACTCCGACCATTTTGACCCGGCGCGCCGCAGTTACAGTATATATGGTTGACAGGCACAAAAGACCCCCACGTTAAGCTACATATCCACATTTGAAACGACCGAAGCCAATCTCTTTCAATGAACATAACCATTTTGCACGATCGAATGACACAGACAAACTACTCTCACAAAACGAAATTACAGACAAAACAATACTGAGAATAGCAAACCAAAGATTCCTCACTATGTACTTCTCAAACAAGATTGCAACTTTCGGAGCCCTCGTTGCCATGCCAGCCACCGCCAGGCGGGGAGGTGGCGGATTCCGCGGCGGAGGTGACCGAGATGGTGGCCGCCGTGGTGATAAACTTGGCCGTGGCCCTTTTACCAACGCAACCTATGTTGATATCACATGTGATGCGGACTTCTCCTGTGATCCTCGTGGTCCATCCGAAGAAGGTTTTTTCGTTTGCCGTTCCTATACTTGTAGCGACGGGGAAACGAAAAGTCGAGCCAAGTGCATTCCTTCCGATCGTTCCATTGAAGGTTCCGATGAATGCGGATGCTGTGGAGAGGATTGTCCCGTACCATGCGATACCTGCCCTTGCACCACTCGTCGTGGAACACCTGGAGCATATATCTTGGATGAAGACGATGATGAACCCATTTGCGTTTCTTCAAAGGCGGCCATGATGCTTACTTTCAAAAAGGATGAAGTCTCTTGCCTCACCGACTGCAGCCTCGCTGAGTAAGCGATGGAGGACGAAATAATTACATTGTCTAATCTAGATCAACACCATATCAAACAGCTCAACTCGTTTTGCAATTGTACAACGCACTGCTTTCCTTGAACATGGAAGTAATACAGATCTATTCTGGACCATATTTTATCTAATTATACTCCCGAAGACAAACAATAAATAATACTCCTTATTATAGTATGTGTTTATGAATCGATACACTTGATTCAAGGTTACTGTACAGTGTTATACGGTCCGCTCACGAACAATAAGGGCCTGGATACCGCGACATACCCCTTCTTGCCACTTCATATAGCGACTAAGTTGGAACTTTTCAAAATACGCCACTTTCTATGTATCTCTCCATACTATTTATGGACCTGGAGAGTCGGGCGCAGTGTTATTAATGCCGAATTATCATTTGTCATTGATTATATCATCCTTCTTCATTTTCAATTTGTTGTTTTGCTTCAATCGATCTTCAACCAAAGTGTTATGACATTATGTACACCATGAGACTATTTAGATGATGCTTCCTTGGTCCTTTTTGAGACGCGGGGTATCAATACTGCGAGTGATGGGGTTCTTGGTCAAGATGATGATGGAGGAATTGCTTGAGATGAGAAATTGTTACATGTCGCGCAGCCTACCGCAAAGCAAGGAACCGCGAAGCATTTGGTGAGACGCATTCATCCGAAGCTTGGAACAGCTAAAAGCGCTGCTGTTCCTCCTCTCATTCGCAATCCCATTGAAAGAGCTGGAATGTTGACGGTAGGCAATCCGTTTGCCATGGCAATTTCTTGTACCTATGCAGCTCGTTGCCCTATCTCGACAATTTGACGCCCTATCTCGACCGATTCACTGGGTGGAGAACAATAAATCGCCCTTTCTCGACAGATTGACTGGTAAAGAACAATCCATTTCCCTATCTCGGCAGATTGACTGATTGATTCATTATACATCTCTATAGACTTATCACGGTCAATCGCTATCTGTACGTTGCTCGAAGTGTTTCCCCCAATGTCAACTTGTTTGATGACTCGAGAACCTTCTCATTTGTCAATTGGTCCATTTGGGAGTAAAGGTTTGGCTCGCGCATTGGTTTTGTTTGCAATAATATAGTTTTAGATTCATTAGACATCTATAAACTTTCATCACGGTCAATAGCTTTCGTGCAGTACTTTGCTCGAAATCTTTCCCCAATGATGGTGCATTTTCAGGAAGCTCGTACATCTACAGTATTTTAAAATATATATTCATACACAATGAGACGTTAAAATATCATAAAATATATCTATTTAGAATCATTTTCAATATATTTATTAACGGTAGAGATACTTAGTTCGTGCTATATATATATTTAGTTTTTATGATATTAATATCCTTCCGGCAAATTGAAGAACGTTCGTCTTGAACAGATCGATATGTAATTGTTGTGGAGACCCTCCTCTGTAACATAATTTTGTAGCACCGGTATAGAGCGGCGCTGCAAGAGTTAGTAGACGGTAAATTTGAAGCAACGAATGAATGGTGCCTGACCATCAGCGCCCATTCTTTCGTTTCAATCCCAATTCCAACAACGACTAAACATCGCCTTTAAGTTCAATCTTCAACAACGATAGAGCATCAACAGGTGAGGATTGACGATCCCAGTAGTTTCTGGTCGTAATTCTGGTTCTAATATTGCATCGCTATACTATATCATGGATCATCGTCGATCAAAGATGCTTTCCTTCCTCCCGCACAAAGCTAATTTCATCAAAAATGAAAAGCCACTGCTCTCGCTTCTGTTCTGAATGCAAATTATCAATGTTTAGCATTGACGAGTTTCCCATCGGGAGACTCGACCTGAAGGAGACTTTCCAAATGGGAAAGGGGTTTTGCTCGTCGGTTGGAATCTTCAAATCGATCTCGCTGCTTATTGCAATCGGATTCTTGGCGCATGTCTTGGTCACAGACCGGGCACCTCTCTTTTATCCTGCCTTCTACACAGCGTGGGGGCTGTTTTTTTCGATAGGCTACCTTGCCGGTTCCTTACGACTAACGGCCTCATCTTCCTCGTCGCTTTTCAACGAAACTGACGCCACGAGATTGGTAAAGTTTACTTGGTTGCTCTTCTCCATGTCTTCGGTTTTGGAATGTGTCATCACCTTACTCTATTGGGGGTTCCGATCTTCCAGTATGGGGCCGATTAGTGTGTCAGATGTCACGACACATGGATGCATTGGGGCCGTCGTTTTGCTTCAAGGATTGCTAGTGGATCATATGCCCTTGCGTTTGAAGCATACAGTCGCTACGGTTCTCTTTACATTTTTCTACCTCGTTTGGACGGTCATTCAAAACGTGGTCATCCAGTACAGTCCTTTTGACGATGACGAGTCGGACGATGACGCCATTTACGATGTTTTGAGATGGAGAAAGCATACGATCCGGAGTCTGATAAATGCATTGTCTAGTGTCTTTTTGGCTATCCCATTCTTTACGATATTCATTTGGGCGTTATCTCTTCCGGGAAGAAGGTACTTGGACCAGCCAGACGAGGAATCCGCTATGGAAGAAACGGAGCACTGCGATGGGACCGATAGCGAGGTTGATCCTGAATTTGTGGAAATGCTAGATTATTTGCGAGAACATCAGCCTGTGCGATCATCACAAATTCGTCATCCGTTTGCCGACGAATTTCCGCACATATAGAATAAGCGGGCTCTTCAGATCGTCGGTCGGAAACCATTACTTTCAAAATTCCAAACAGTTCGATGAGAGAGTTACTGATCCGGAATCGGATCATTTCTTTGAGTGTTGCGTTTGTGGTGGTCCCACTCTCTGCGGTACTCCCAACATGGAAGAATTCGATCATGTCGACACGGGCAATGACTGCTCCTAAGAGTTCTTGTAGACTACAAGTTGCTTTTATACATCTAAAGAGCTTGTGCCGGAAGGAAATAGCAGTCTATGCATTCGAAATCTACATTGCTATACACATCGTGATAGATACTTACAAACTTATTAGGTTCAATCGCTTCTCGAACTTGGCTCGAAGCCTTTCCTCCAACGTCAACGCTTGTACCGGTACTACCGGTGCATTTTGTGCAGCACACTGTGTAGAAGGGTTTGGCTTGTGCAACACTACCTGTGTTGGCTTTGGTCTATCTAGATCATCTGCTGGGTGGGCTTGGATAGTATTGTTGCACCCGGAAGACTCGAATCCTGCATTGGTAGTACTAGACTTCAGAATGTTACTAGTTTCACGTGCAGAACCCTTTGGGTGTCGTCTTGCTGTAAATGGTTGGCTATCAGTGTCCAAACAAGTTTTTCGCATCCGAAAATTTGGGATCCGATGATTATCCGGTTCGGCTGATAGGTCTGTTTCAATACGCTCTTGATGAGTTTGCTTTAGCTTCTTTGTTGCCGGTTGGGTATCCCGGCATTGTACTTTTGTTGCCGCTTTCCTTTTCCCTATAACAGTAGTTTCTACTACTGCGCGAGCAAGGACATGTTGTTGGTTCTCTGATGATCTCTCGGCCGTTGGTTGACGAGCAATATCTGACGGGAGTTCCACATTCTCATGGTCAGGAAGCTGTTGCGACAAATCTTTGTAAATTTTCGTGAAGAAAATGTTGTTCTCGGCATCTTCTTGAAAACGTCTCTCTGTTTTAGCATTGGGCGTCCAAGGAAATCCAAGATTGTGAAGCTCGACAATACGTTCTGGTGTCAGATTCCCACTCGTCTCCTCCCCTTTCTTCAGCTTTCTAAATGTTCTACGGACTCCAGTTACCCACTTTCCAAAACTTTCATTTTCCGGGATTCTAGCCGGTACTACATTACAGTGACCGTGATGTTGCCTGAAATCTCGCAAGTCTTGCAGTCTTCGTCGCCAGCTTGATGATATCTTGGCCGTTGGCTGACGAGAAATATCTGATAGGAGTTTCAGATTCTCTTGATTATGAAGTCGACAAATCTTCGTGATGAAAATGTTGTTCTCTTTAGACTCTTGAAATCCCTTCACTGTTTCAATATTTGCCGTCCAAGGAAATCCAAGCTTGTGAAGCTCGATAATGCGCTTTCGTGTCAATGCTGTCGCTTCCCCTTTCTTGAACCTTCTAAACAGCCTACGGACTGTCCCTATCCAGTTTCCAAAGCTCACATTTTCTGGAAATGTCCTCGGTACATTACAATGACCGTATTTTTGTTTGAAATCTCGCAAGTCTTGTAGTCGTCGTCGCCATCTTTCTTCGTGGGAGTCATGAGTTTCTTTGCGAGATGATTTCTTGGCCGTTGGTTGACGAGTATCATCATGACTGTCATCATTGTCAGTGGATTCGTTAACGTTAATTTCTTGGGCAGTAGTAGTAGTAGTGACTATTGGAGCAGCAGCGGGCTCCTTGGATGCAATATGTTGGTGGACATATTCATGTCGTCGCCCCTTGCTTTGCCAGGTGAAACCAAGTCTAGTAAGCTCCTCCACACGCTCCTGTGTCAACGAAAGTGGGGGGCTGAATGCTAGATGCGTTCTCAGGATATACCATTCTCGCAGTCGTCTAATCCACGAATGCAATGTAGAGTATTCACCTTCGGAGGGTACATTGAAATCACCATGAATTCGTTTATATTCAATTAGTTCCATGGCTCGCTCATCCCAAGTTTTATTTGGAGATATTGACATTATCTGCGTCGATAAATTAGTCAGTTGATCGTTGTCAATCGTTGGAATAAGCTCGATAGTTCTTTGTATCTAGATACTTACTCAGGCCGTCAAACTTGCCTCTGGGTAATAGGGAAGAGGCTTGAAAACGTTTTCCTGGTTGAGTTCAATTCGAATGGAAGCCAGTGGCCAATGATGACTGCAGTCGTAATGTACTTGTAGCCTTTTTCATGCATTTATTTTGTGTTATATGATGCGATAAAATATAAAAAAGTTTCTGAAAATTGCTGGGCCTGTCCTTCGTACGTCCACATAAAACACTGGTAAAACCATTACTGCAACAATTCTCAAAAGTTCGCTGACGTGTATCCAAAATCCGAGTCAGAACGCAAATCTGCAAATTATATTTATTTGATCCGTCAACGTCGTTATTATAGTACGTTGATACTGTATATTAATTCTGTGGCATCATCATAGTCATTGCATTCATTGGAAGAAAACCTTGAGCAAATAAAAGCACCATAGTCCGAAAGGAAAGCTATTGATCTTCAATAAATCTACAATGACTGAAGTGAGTGCTGTTGTTGTGCTATTCTTCTTCTTGGCACTGCTGGCAACAACCGCCACCACGACCAATGCCTTTTCCAGTACCAATAAGGCAACTACTGCCAGGTCCACACTGCAATCAAGATCGACGTGTTCTTCTTCTTCTTCAAAATCCTCCAGCACACGCCTACAATGGTTCAACAAGGACGCTAAAGAAGACGGTAGCCAAGAAGAAGAAGAACCAAAAGAGGACGAAGAAGAAACTTCTGGCGGTGGATTTAGTTTCTTCAAGGACTTTAAAGGTATGATGGAGAACTTTGACGACGTGGTCGATGACTTTGTGTACAAGCGCATGGGTGCTGGTGAACAATGGTATGGAAAACGCAAATACAACCCCTCTGGACGAGTTGATGGAGAGTACAATGGCATGGGTAGATCCGATCAATTCCGCATTGAATTGGCCCGAGTCCAAAAGGAAGAAATGGAAAAGCGCCGTCAGCGACGATTGGCAGAAGAGGAAGAAGAACGTCGGCAGAGGCAAATGAAGTAAGAGACGAATCGCGTGACGACCTTGGGACCTGATGCCGACTATCAGCCCTGAAGAACCCAACTACATGAATCCTGAATATCAAAAAATTGAAAGCGACGGGTTTTGTATCATGGATGCACGCTGGACCCCAACAATCGATGTGACATCCAATACAATTGTTTTCGGCACGTTTGGAGTGTCTCCGTATATTCATTCCATCATTGTATGGCTTCTCCTCTTCTTCGTTGGCCTGATACTAGACTGTTTCAAGTTTTTTTTCAAAATAGACCTCCTCGTACCATTTTGACTACATATGTTGTTGTGTGTACCAGACGCCTGATAGTGTACCTGGTATGCAATAAACTTGGATCCTGTCATGAAATTCTGTCCAGCTCACCTGTGACTTCTTGACCAAATAGATCACTACTATACTAGCTAGAAATTTGAAAAATGAGAGAGGTCTCCTTTCTATCTCCGCTGTTGATGGTTTGTGTCTAAACAGTATAAATGCCGCCGAGATGAGGGTTCTTTCCCAACCAAACCGAACCCTTTGCGTCTTCCGATCAAATCAAGGGAATGGCTCGACCATATCGGAACACCATTGTGGCTAGCTATAGGTACAATTCAGTGTAGGTCGAGAGCAGAGATTGGTAGAAGCAGAAGTATTTGTAATAATAGCTACATCTTATGTAGATGTTAATGCATAGTTGTTCATATATGAATATGTATACAAAATGGAAGGTGGAGACCCCGATCAGCTGATGATGGTGATGATGATCTATTGAGGTCAATGCAGACTTCACGGAGCTGCAGCAACAGTGGTTAGTTCCATATCAGCATCCTCGTCTTGTTCGTACTTCTTGCCCCATTCGACCTTGGCCCACGCCCGTTCGTAAGCAAACATGAGGCCCGTCTTGCAAAGAGCATCCGATCCAGCAATCTTACTGGCAATGGACAAATCCTTGGTGATGAAAATAGCCATAGTCAATGAATTGGCAATGGCAAAGAGCCTCCACACCAATGCCTTGACGAGTGATCGCGAGGCGGCATCCGAACCAGATTCGCGTCCGGCTTGACTGTTATTCATCAAACGTTCTCCAATAAACATGGTGGCCATTTTGGAACCAAAATCCGAACCCACAATGGAGAGCGCCGATGCCACGGATCCTGAAAATTGGAGGGAGGTGCAAAAGGTAATGCTGCCGGCAATGATCCGCCACATGAATGCCTTGGCAGCCGATCTGAGAGCCGTTTCCGAAAAGGAAGCCGCAGTTGTTGTTGTAGTTGTTGTTGTGGCAGCAATGCCATTTTGCAAGTAGTCCTCCTTGCGCATGCGAATCTTGGACAATTCCGCATTCAATGCTTTGACATCATTGGCCGTTCGGGAGTGTTCCTTCCTGACAATGGTTTCCTTGCGATCTAGGTACTGCAAGATTTTGTCCTGAACCACACGAGAACGCGGAATCCGACGAGCATTGTCGGTGTTTGTGCTGTAACCACCCACCGTACTGGCAAAGAGTGGTGACTGCACGGATCTCGATGATGATGACGATGATGATGGCGAAGAGGAGAATGCCAAGGCGTTAGTCGCCAAGATCAATACAAGGAGCAGCATGGTGAGCTTGCTGTTCTTGAGTGGAGACATTCTTGTTGTGTTGTGTGTTACAATTACAGTGTCTGTGTGTGTGTGTATTTTGTGCTCTAGTAATATCTGGTAAAAAAAAAGGATGTGGTGAGAAGTCGATTTTGTGTTATGTAGTCCACCACGTGGGTAGCGCATTGCCGAGCTCCGCGTACATTCTCCAGAATTTTGAAAGTTGCATCCGAGAGTTGGACCTCTTGGTCAATTTAAAATGACGGTCCATACTACTTCGTTTGCCCGAGAATTGAGAATAGGCCTTTACGTTTTCTCCGAAGAAAAGGCCGACGGAAAGACTGAAACGGGAGACGGAAGGACTGACGATCGAGTGAGTCAGTTACCTCGTTGGATACGCCTTCCTTACTTCTAACTCTCTTCTAGTACGTACTGTCGCATTTTGGATATTTGAAATTCGAAAATTTTCTTTGGAGAAGATTCATGCATTCGAAGATGTCGGTGAGTGAGTCAGTCGGACGAGGCACTTTCAATACGGTCGAAGAAATCGTTAGACGGTCCACTTTATTATTTCAGCCAACAATGATGGAGAGGAAGAATGGATGGGAAATCGGCTCTGGTAACAGAACAGTATTGATCAGACGACAGCTGACGCAACGAAGAAAATGACCATATTATTGACAGAAAATACATTGGAAATTCCGAAAAAATAGACGGAACAACAACATCGTCCTCATGGTGTAGATCCTCATGGAAGTTTGGATATGAAATGGTGACTAATAAAGCGAAGCTGCTTCGCTCGGAGCAGCCCGAAGAACGAAGATAGTGACGGAAGGTCGTGTGATGGAAACTGGTGATACGTGCAATGACGGGGGAAGATAACAAGAACAACTCAAGTCGGGTATGGATTGCGAAGTTCGTCTGCTTAGCTTGCCTCTTCTACTACAAGCAGATGGTCGAAGCAGAGATCGGAGAGGATTGAGGAGGAAGTGTGTGCAGTGGTAGTAGGGAGTAGTAGCGGCATTGGGACGATTTTAGCCCATGCTGCTGGCCTGCAGCACTTTGATATCTTTTACCTTTCCTCTTTTACCTTTCCTCCTGCTGAGCGAGTAGGTTCAAAAGAGCTATGAATTCGAAATAGACGAGCGAAGCGAACTTACGCCTAGTGGCATGGACACGAAAATCAGACCCATTTCACTCTCCTCGTGACACTGATATATATCATATAAATTTCCTGTTTGGAGTCCAAGAGATCATCTTTCGTTCGTGTGCAGTAGAGAGAAGTGGCGTGCGTGGTAGCTGGTACCGGTAGCATAGGAGTGCGACCTACCGCCCGTAGGTCGTATCGTTCAGAAGAGCCATACCGTCTTATTTTGCGAAGTGGTTCGCCCTTACGGTCGAGAGGGTCGACTATAGAGCGAAGCGGTTCGTCTTTTTTTGTTTCCAAAAATGGTACCTGGTACGATGAGGTACGAGGTACGAGTACTCGTGCAAATGATACAGGTACTATAGAGCATTCAAGATTACTGTGACCCTATCATTTTGTCGTATCATGTGTGACAGTTCGTGAAGCTGTTCGAACCTGTTGATCCTTGTTCCAACCGAAGCTTCCAAGGAAATCGACCGGATCATCGATCACGACTCTTGACGTGAGTATGAAAGGGTCGAAGACATGGACGGAAGATGGTCGCTTGTGTTTGCGCTGACATCTGACCATGGCACAATCTGGTATGAATTGGCTCATCAAGCGAAGCTGCTTCGCTCTGCCTAGCGGTACTTCCGGCATTGCATACAAGCAAGTTTCGCTCCATGATGACTACTAGCTGGTCAGAACAGATGGAAGTCCGGTGGAAAAGATCGACAAAATAGACGGAAGATTGTTTGCTATGATGACGGAAGACAACAAAGACTGATCATGCGAAGCTGCTTCGCTCGAAGCACCAGATGGTCAGCACAGATGAAGAAAAAATGAAAATTCAAGACCATGGACAACCAAACAACAATGCTGGAAGCTTGTGCGATGACTACAAAGGAACTAATTCAAGAGTAGCTACAGTAGTAGTAGCGTCATTGAAACCATTCTGAGCCCATGCACTTTGATATCTTCCCACCAACAACTACCATGGTACTGTACTGCACTGTACTGTACTGTACATCCCATGTACCTATTTTCTCTTCTTTCGCCCCTTAAATTACTTGTTCCACGCGGTCCTTATGACCCCGATCCGCGAATTCCCAACCCAAAATGTGGCAGGAATTTGGAATTCTGGTGACAAAGTAAAAATTTCAAAAAGCAGCTATGGACCTAGAACCTTTTCAGGTCGCTAGAGAATAGTTTGCCCATTCCTTGTAAAAAATTCCAAGTTGCTAGGAGGTCGTAGAGGGGCTTCACTACAGAAAACAACATTTGTGTAACGGCTAAAAAAGAAACCGTTATCAAGTCGATTGAGTCAATTAGTAAGTCGATTGAGTCAATTCCGATTTTGACTCGTGTGATTACCAAAACGAAAAACAAGAGGTAAGAGGGCGATCTCCTACCATACGACCTTGTTGCGATTACATTTTTAGATAAATTTCCCGGCGATATTATAAATATATACCTAAACTAGACCTCTGCATACTCTAAATTGCGAAAGTGGCTAGATTCGATCACAGGGAAGGAAATTCGACCAAGTCAAAGAGAAACCTTAGGAAAGAGAGAAAAAAATAAGCTAGCCTAGAATCTATTTACCGGCGCAGCACTCCAAAACACCGCCCAAAGTCGATACTAGTTGGTATTTGGACAACTTTGAACTTAGTGCCATGGTGTCTGGGTACTGACTCGGCGACTGAGAAGGATTCCTGACACCAAGTTTCATAAACCTGGATTGACCACTGTAGCAGGGTGATTGCCATTGAATCGCTTGCACGTAGAAATCACCCATTCCAAGCCCCCCAATCTCATCATACATACCCATGGACGACAACTGTATGTTGGAATGAAGAATTCTGAGGAAATTCGGTCCACACCAATACCATTTCCCATTTTGGACCGAATTTCACTGAAAACTCTTCCCATTTTTGTTAGATCATTCTTGATCTAGGCCGAAAAAATGTAAAGAAACCAGAAAATAGAAACAATAGGTATCCAAGGGACCTTCTGGTGTATTGTTGAATGTATAGTTGTCTCCAGGGCGGCCACACCGACCCTCATGATGACAGGTGACACGACAGCAGCAAACATTCGGATTCAAAAATCTCAGCCAATATTCCATAGAAAAAGCAACCGAATGGATCTCCGAGTAGGTATGGTCACTGCGAAGCTTTCCAGCACATGTTGCATATGAGGCCTTGCCCTCTTGACCTTCTGCTGACCAGATTAAGCAACCCAACAGAACATGTTTGGCGAATTTTGGTAGATTGTAGTGTAATGGAGGCGAAAGGAATAGTGAATCGCCGCTCCAGCCATAGTCCATCTATCAAACATGCTTGCCATAACATGTTATTCAGTTTTTACTTCTCTGGGCGCCCACACCGGCTACCCATTGTGATGGACGAATTCCCAACTCAATATTGTCGTGTGAAAATCGTCCTGTAGGAGCCCAGATACCGCACATCAAATGATACCACCGTCTTTCCTATAACATAATAAGCAACTTCCGAAGAAAATTTGACATCTTTACTGCCTTGCGACTGCGTGGGGTCCCAAATCCATGCAAAAACCGAATTTCAGACCTCGTTTATGTGTCTTTTGCAGTCATTTCAGAGGTGAAAGGAACAAACTCGTCCATTTCACCTCATACAAACAAGATAGATACGGTCACGACAAAGGCCGCTTCCAAAATGCAAGAGTTTTCCTCCCGAGGGTGGTGATTTCCTCGGCCTGAAGGCATACCATTGTTGGTGGAAAGAAGAATTGATGTGATTGAAGACGATCTCAACTGAAGGGCGCATAGAGGTGCGCGAAGAGTTAGACGTCTGATTACGTACGGAAAATACTGGTTCGCGCGCAAATTCTTGCTAAAGTACCAGGCGCCTCGTTGAATTTTTGCGTGGAACCAAAATGGAACCCAAAAACATCCGAGATTTCTGTTTTTTCCAAAACCACATCAAATTCACGTTGCTTGAAAGCAGAAGCAGAATGGGATTTTAATCTTGCTACTGCACTGCTTAGCCTACAAAAAGGAATGTAATTCATTGGATCTATTACCAAGCCTACGCAACGTTGCCTACATATTCTTCCAATTCATCCCAGTCTCTACTCACCGGCACACAAGCACCGTCTTCGCCGTCCTCGTCAACATCATCTTCAAAAGATTCAATTTCTTTCATGAAGTCCATCGCATACAACACCTGTTCTTGGTTCAGTTCTACGCGATCCGTCCGGTTGCCTTCGAAGTAAACCTCGCCATCAAACTCGACAATATAGTTCGCAGTGTTGACGGTTTTGCCATCTTCTTTCACGAGGTTAACATCCACCACTCGACCAACAGCCGGCTTGTTGTCATCAACTGCCACAGCAACTCGGATACAAAGGTAGCTCTCCAACATAACAATCAGCTGATGTTCGACCTCTTCCGCCTCCCTCTTTTCATTCTCTCTTCCACGGATCAAATCCTCAAAATCTCTGCTCTGAGCTTCAATGATTCAATGAAAAATTCGGCAGGAAGCTCCACGTCTTTGCCATTTGTCTGGATCAATAATTTCAGAGCCTCCGCCTCTGATTCTTCTCTGATACATTGGACCGTTTTGGCATTCTCCACCTTCATTTCGCTCTTGATTGCCGTCAATTCAGCTTGGAGTTTTTCGTCAGCTTCGACTTGAGCGTCTTCTGCTGTGGTCTGTTGGATTTTCCCGACGGTGTCATCGTAGGTTGTCCTTTTTGGGCGGCCGCTTTTGTGTGGTGTGACAGTAGGCATGCAGTATTCGAGGCCGTTGATTGATTTCTTCCTGATTCTTGTAGATGTAGCAACAGTGTGGGCTTGGCATTGTTTGTCGTTTGGCAAATCTGGCCGAGGAGGAGCTTTACAACGTTTACACGAGTCACAGGCCGTACACCACTGCTTTCCACTTGCATGGGTACAAAGGTACACTCTTTTCTTCTTGTGATGGGACCGTGGAGGTGTCTCCTTGGCGTTCCTCTTTCCACGTCGCGTTGCCATCGTGAATGATGATGACGAGTCATGAATTTCATCCTCCCTCAGTCAAAAATTGGCGCGAATTAGTTTCAAGCATAGGGCTGATATCCTCAGCCCAATGCGCTTCTATCTGTCCAATCGGCGTCGTTATGCGACGTCTTCTCAAAATGACCATTTTGGATCTCTATGGTGCTATTTTTTTGGAAAATGCCAAAATTTGGGTGGAAAGGGTGGGAAATTCGCGGATCGGGGTCTTATGCCGCCTTCCTTGTTTGCGCAAGTGTGGGATCCAATGATAGTGAGAAATGGAAATGAGCATGTGGTATTTTAAAATCAGATAATGATCTGAGACATTACTGTAGGGAGCACGGCAAATGCCTTGGTATTTATTGCAAATCGGCTTCTTGTCGCTAGTTTCTTTTCGAGCGAAGCTGTTCGCTTTCCATTGATGATATTGCATGTGCGAAGCAGGGCTTTGTAATCAGAAACCTGAAACAGTTTCAACTACTCGTAAATGGACAGAAGTTCAAAGTACCGGTACCGGTATGTGAAGAGTAGCAACATCGAGATGGACGGGAAGCAGGTGGAAAGCTCGATGAAATCGACGGAAGATTCGCTTGGAAAGAGGGGTAATCGAAAATTGTGTATCATGATGAAGGTAATGGATTTGGATTGGTGGGCGAAGGGCTTCGCTCTTCTTTGTTTGGCGGAATGACGGCAGCATGTTATTGAAAAGTATCGACGAAATGAACAGAAGTAGGGTATGTCTTTGACGATAGAGAACACAGAAGGTAGAATTCGGATTGAATTCGAATTGAGCGTAATAAGGTAACGGGTTGGGCATGTGCTGTACTAGGCAGTAGGTCGTTATCTATTAGCAGCTAGGAGTATTTTGGTGCAACCTTTCATTTTGCTCGTTTTTGACCCGTGCTCCAGCGCTCGTTACTCTACCAAGTGCCTTTATTCGGTCTTTGCCAGTTGATTTCTTGATTCTAGAGTGAGTGAATCAGTTGCTGTCAGAGATACCGGTCGGGTTTGGTTAATGATTTCTTTCCTGTTCAACGAGCGCTGGAATGAATGGTCCCACAAGCGAAAATAAGAAACATAGAAATAATGAGAAGGATATCGGAAGAAATCAGGAAGAGAGGAGACGGGAAATGGGGAGCTTTATTTAGGAAATGGTGACGGGAGCAGCTGCCAATAAAAGCTTCGTTTTTCTTAACGAGACATACGCGTGGACCCTTTCGGATCAAATTCCTGAACTGTTGAAGGAATTTTTCCAGCGGAGCAAAATCTTGTATGCGGGGTTTATCTGGTCCCGCGCTTGCAGTATAAAATACGATAGGTTTGTATACTTCATTTCTTTTACACCTAACAATATAACACTCGCTCCAAATGACAGCACAATACCACACATTCAGCCTCTCTCCTACCTCAGAACCAATTATCTACTCGCAAACAATGTCAAGCCAGACGCGTCACGAGGATGATCCACTTTGCAAGAGCAACGACCGGCAAGGGTTGTACGACGACACTAACAACAGCAGCAGTCTCGAGAACAACTCGGCTCTATTTTCTTTCTTCCCCACAGCACCATTTGAGCTATCTGCACGCGACGCCGTTGCCATGTCAGTGGCTACCATATACGAGCCGACTCCTTTCCGCGATGGCACTTACCTTGAATCTTTGAAGGAAGAGTCAAGTGCAGTGTTTGTGCCAAGACAAAGTACGAGTGCCAGTAGCACAAAGACTATTCCGCCTTTTGCACAGATCGATTGCCGTCAGCAATCGGATTACAACCCACTACAAGATGATCAACTCTCCGATTACTTGGAAGAGGAAGACGACTCGCCCTACGCCGCTGCTCCTACTACACGGACGTCGGCTCCCAAGATTTCCACTTACAATCGACACCAAGACAACCGTTGGGTTGAGCACTACCAAGCGCTTCTCCGTTACAAAAGTAAACACGGAAACTGTCATGTTCCACAGAACTACCAGGAGGATCCCGGACTCGCTCGATGGGCAAGGCGACAGCGACACCAATACAAACTCAAACGCCAGAATCTAAAGTCATCTATGTCCACCGAGCGTCAGGTCATGCTGGAACAAGCCGGCTTTGTCGCAGACCCCCAGATGGACAGCTGGGAGATTCGTCGCCAAGACCTTGAAGAATACAAACGAAAGTATGGGGATTGCAACGTCCCAGCTCGGTACACCGAGAACCCCGCATTGGCCACTTGGGTCAAGCGCCAACGTCGTGCTTACAAGCGATTCCAAAGTGGAAAGCCGGGTTCGAGACTGTGTAAGGAGCGCTTTGTGATATTGAGCAGGATGGAGTTTGTGTGGAAACGACGAAATGAAAACACCACAACTGCAAAGAAAAGCGCATTCTCTACCAGCAGAAACACAACTACCTTCTGAATTTTGATGGATTGGAGACTCGTCCTCATTCCTCCTTGTCTTCAAAGACACCCCAGTTTTGTTCCACCTCCAAAGCTCGCATCGGACGTGCTAATTGTATTTAAAATTTTGCATACCTAGGTATATTATATCAGTTTTCTTTTTGCTAACTCATACCTCATTGTCTCAACTCAAAAAAATCAAAATATGCGCGACCCATACCAGGTACCTTCGGTGCCTACCTGGTAAGCACTCTCAAGATGCGGCGAGCTTTTTCCAGTACCTTCTGATAGTATACCGCGGTATACAATATTGGCCGGGTTCGCGATCGTGAGCCACAAGAGATATATAATCCTTTTCTCGTACCGGTACTGTACCGGTAGGTGTATGAGAACACCAAGAAAAATAACACCGACCATAACGATATTTGATCAGAAAGAGTGTACCGGTGCAAGAGCATCGAGGTTTGTGAAGTCGACTCTGAAATGGTTCCAATAAGTTGATCATTGCCCAATACGATGCTTTTGAGCGTCGTCAATCCATTGATAGACTTGGGGTATATGCTGGGCTAGGTATGATATGTCTGAGAACAACTTGGCGTCACAGCAGTGCGGATTGAGAAAGCATGCACGTGCAAGAACTTGCAAAGATTGAACAGAGTCAGCTTACGGTCAATTCAGCTATCTCCAACAATCGAATGGTGCCCTCGAGATTGACGCATTATCCCAAAGTGAAGTGCTTCATGGTGTTGGGTATAGCTGACCGATACATGATGAGATGTTGTTTGGGACAATTGTTTCATTTGTACAAGTGGCGAAGAATGATCATTTTCATAGAGGACAAGTTTCGTGAGCTCCGTCAGTTCACAAAGACTGTCCGGAATGGAGCCGGTAATCAAGTTGGATCCAGTGAATTTAAAATCGGTAAATATGAGCGAAAAGGTGAAAAAGAAGTTGGTGAGGATCCTGCTGTACGAGACCGATTCAATGACACCAATCCCAAACAAAGCACCAGCACTTATTCCACCATCAATCAAGACGAGACATACAACTGCATAGCATATCTTGCAAGCACCACGACTTTTTGCCTTGTCTAAAGAGGAGGAGACGACTGACTGCGTCCGCTTGTTGGGTTGCCATTTTCATTGCATGTCGACTTCTCGCTCCTCCATTCGAGATCGGAAGCGTTCCTCTTCATTTGCTTGATCTACAATCTTGGGAACAAAAGAATGTTCCGCTTCACTGTCAATTCCCTCGGTTGAAAGATGATGGTCCTGTTCGCTTCGGGAGGACGAAGGACTTCTGCTACTGGATTTGGGACAAGAAGTTGCCTCTGCATCTAGAGCTGTGGCAGGTTTGCTGGGACGATGCTTACTCTTGGACTCGTGATGGGGTTTTAAAGAGCGATCCCTACTGGCCGCCCCGTTTGAGCCAATCTCATCACCATCCCCTTGAGTTTCCGATACGGCGCTTGGTTTGGAAGAACAAGTACTACACTGCTTCGGACCATTTCATTTGAGACTTTTTGTCTCTTTCAGTGGAGGCTACAGCTCCTGGCTAAACTGTACGGGTTTTGGAATTGCGGCTGCGTCTAGTGGCGTCGTGATCCTCTCGTTCGTGTCTTGTTGCTGGACTTCTATGATGGCGTCCAGGACACCTATCTGAAACTCTGTTGTGCCGTCCAGGAGAAATTGGGCCCTTATTTTTTGGTTCATTGTCTTCTTTTGACTTTCGACCTCGACACAGCCTCCTACTGTCTTGTGTCCTTGTCACTGTCAGGAGCATCGGCCTCTACTATCCATAGTGCTCTTATTGGTTGCTAATGTAGTGGCGATTTTTTAGTTTTGCTCAAACGCTATGAAATTGCACGTCCACTGCATTCTTCGATCTTCGCCACTGTCCCTCCCATTTCCTTTCTCCTACTTATAATATAAAAATGTTTCCTCGCCTTCATTTAAAAAACTAGTGTGTGGATACCGCGGTACCGGTAGAAAATTCAGTCGTTTCTTGAAAGAGGAACAGAAATAGTTTTACTAACAATATCTGTCGTTCGCTAATTTGTACCGGTAAAAGGGATCGCGCCAAAATGGCACATTCGGGAGAAGGCAAGACGGCGTATCTTCCTCAGGTTGCTGCCGCGCCGAGCCGAACTCGAACATCATCATCATCATCATCATCAGCGTCATCAAAACAGAATCTGGTACTCTCTGAAGGACTCTTTGGTAATCCGCAACTCTTCGATAAGTACCGAGAGGTGATAGAGACAGAGATCCTATTCGAAAGGCGGTAAGAGCTCTTGAGTGTTGACATTGTTGCACTCAATCCAAAGGCTATAACACGACTAACACTCCACCTTCGCCTCAAAACCTGAAACCACAATTGTTCCTGCAGAGAGCATTGTCCCATCAATATCATAAGCAACATTCGCCTCCTAGTTCGACCTTGTGTGCGTGATTATGCCCAAACAATATGATAATGGCTGGGCAAGCCACATCAAAGAACTCAAGAAATTTAAAGAAAAGTTTGGTCATTGCAATGTGCGGCGCACCCAAAAAGACTACATTCGATTGTCCTATTGGATTCGAAGAGTTCGAGGACTCTACAAACTTCGTCGAGCTGGGAAAAGGACAAGCTTGACAGATGAGCGCGTAAAGGAGCTTGACGACCTCGGCTTTGGTTGGGAAGGATGGAGTGCCAATCGTGACGATGTCTTTCAAACACGAATCAAAGAAATGAAAGAGTTTCGAAAGCGCCATGGCCATTGCAATCTCCCCTGTCCCTACGCCCATAATCCCACTTTGAAATCTTGGACCAATGGCATGCGGCAAAAGTACCGACAATACCAGGCCGGTGAGAAAACCACCCTGACGCCAGAACAAATTGCCGAACTCGAATCGATTGGGTTCGATTGGAACGTGGCATCGACCTCCTCCCGGCGAGGTGCTAAAGTGCAGCCAAGTCACGAATCTGTGATTTCCAACGACCAAGGATCGTCCCAGCCATACGAAACACAAAGTTATTACCAAGAACATGTTTCCGTTCCAATGAACGGTGGCAATTCTCCTTCAACGCCTGCTGGACCATTCTCGGGCTTGGAAAGTTTGGCTGAAATTTGCCGCGTCGTTTCCAAAGAGGAAGAACATAGCATTCATAGCTCATCCCAAGCCAATACGCCAAACAAGAAACAAAGGCGCAAATTCAAGGAAGGATGTGGCCACTGGACGGATGCTGAACACGAAGCATTTTTGGAAGCCCTTGACAAATTCGGTAGGAAATGGACCAAGATTGCCAGCACGATACCCACTCGATCCACCTCTCAAGTTCGTTCCCATGCCCAAAAGTATTTTGATAAATTGAAGCGAGGCCACCAAGACGTCAGCGACGGAGACTTTGGTGCGTTGGTGGAATCCATCGAATCGGGTAGTTACAATTTCAGTCAGTCAAGTGCGAGATGAATGAATCTAGCAATCAAGATTCCAAAATAGATGGGACTATTTGCAATGGTCCCCATAGAAGTATTATAGCAATTCTATGCAAAGATAGTATCGTAATACGAATCAAGTAAAGGCAATTTCTCTAATACGAATCAAGTTGGTATGTACCGGTAGCATACAAAAAAAAACATACCAAAGCTATTGACTGCTCCATTTTATGTGTCTGCTGCCACAATGTCCAACTCTTGCGTCGGAACAGTCTCGTAGATGCAATCAATGAAATCGTCTTCATCCAAAATCTCGGAACAAGCATCTTCTGCTTCCACTTCCTCAAGCAGACGACGATGAAAGTTGCCTCGAGGATTGTCGAGAAGGATGCAGGTTTTCGGGAATTGTGGCTCAGCCAAATTGTGGAAGAGCATTCCTTCCGTTGGCAAGACTTGCCATTCGCTTCCAAACTCGAAAAAGGCATGCATTTCAGTAGATCCGTCACGGGCCAAGGTCTTGCCAGTGGTAAAGTCTCCCAACATTCCAACAGATTTGCCAAAGGACTCATAGGTACCGTTCTGTATATCCACTCGGACGAACCCTTTCCAAGTGGATAAGACGATCTTCTGACTAGGATAGACCGAATCCAAGTCAACAATAAAATTGCGTCTCGTGCGGTATCGGATTTGATTCTTGACGGGGAAACCACCAAGAGTCTTCAAGGGACCCTGGTATACTCCATTGATCCAGTAGCGATTTCCCTCGCCCCCTTGATTGGGTTCGATGGTGCCTTCAATCTCGAGTGTATCATTTCCAATCTGAATGGCAGCCGCACGGTTGAAACTCCAGAAACGAACATTCTTCGTTCTAGTTTGAACTTGCAAACCTCGGCCATTGGCAAAGTTATCATCCTTGATGAACAGCATATCGCATTGCCCATGATGCTGGTAGCGGTCGCCCTTCCATGTCTTGTCTATGAAGTTCGGTGCGCAAGTGTCGTATTAGCATGTAGGACGCAAGGAGTATCGCAGGACTACATGTCAAGCGCGAGTACTCACAATGTAAATCTCCTTGGCTGCCGACACTTGTAGCTGAAATTGGAATCTGGTAGACTTTCACATGGCCAATACCACGAGCGAACGATTCTCCAATGGCAAAAGTATTGCCATCATCGGAAAGGGCAACAGACCATCCAAGATGCTGATAGTCGTCACTCCCATCAAAGGCTTGTCCAATCTGAGTCCAGGCAGAACCGCTCCATTTGAAAATGACGGCCCGGCCAGAGGCAACAGTACGAGGGTTTGACGCATGAGTAGGACCCCCGACTGCCAACATATTCCCCGGGCTGGAAAGTGATATGGAGTATCCAAATTGACCAGAATCTTGGTTCCCTTTAGACTCTGTGAAGATGTCCTGCCCAATTTGAGCCCAGCGTTCATGCTCAAAATGGAAGACACGGGCACGTCCAGCATATTGGCCCTTGGTAGGATCTCCTGGTTCTCCGAGTGCAAATGTCTTTCCATCACTGGAGAGAGAAAGATAGTTCACTGTGTAGGAATCGGATGTCATGGCTGCTTGGAAGTCGGATCCCATTTGGACCCAGAGGTTATCAGTCAATTCATAAACACCGACATTTGCCGATTCGTTGACGGCGTTGTACCCTCCGGTTGCAAGTATTTGTCCATCGGCGGAAAGAGCGAGGGACCAACCATATTGATCGTGATCGTGCTTTCCTTCAATTGGCTGGCCCAATGGACGCCAATCGTATCCATTCCATGAGAAGGCACGAACTTGACCATTGCGATGCAAAGTGCTTACACCAGGTGCACCAACCGCTAGCACATTTCCCGCGCTAGAAAGCGAGACCAATTGACGAGTCGGCACCTCGCCGCCATCGATTCGAATCGATTCACCCATTTGGAACCAAGTGTCATCATTCAAATTGAAAACTCGGACACAACCAAGAAAGTCGTTGGAGGCTGGTTCTCCAATGGCAACTCGTCTTCCGTCGCCGGAAAGAGATACCGACTCTACAGTTGACATGGGATCCCCTTCTATCCGGTTGCCAACCCGATTCCAAGCGGTTCCGTTCCAGCCAAGGACGTCCACGTGACCAAACTTGGCGTTGGCTTTGAACTGAGTGGCAGCTGCGACTGTATGCCCGTCGCTGGACAAGGAGAGGGACCATCCAACGTTGCCAGCTGCAACGCCATCACCTCCCTGGCCTAGTGAATGCCAAATCTCCTTGCTCTTGAGCTTCCTCTTTGTAGAGCGAGAGCCCCTTCTACGATCCACAGGAGTGGAAGGTTTGGCCACTGCAATCTTGTTTCGTTTTGTAGTCTTGCGAAGATTAGCATGTGTTGTACTCTTCACTTGATTGGCAGTTCGTAATTTCCCAGCTTCCACCGCCGTCGATAGCAGTAGCGTTAAAATAATCATTATCATCGTACATTTCATCGTGAGTTGTTTTCCCTTTTTTCCCTTTTTCAAGCAAAAAAGTGGGCAGGATCAAGGTCCAAGAAGACCTAACAATAGCATCTTGTGGTGATCAGGAATATGACCGGTCTAACTGTTCGGGTCCAATCTTATGCCCGAACCGAACCCAGAATTGTGGCACTATAGAAGAGTCACCAACAAGATAACAAAGAAGTCACAACATTCTTGTATAGTGCTTCAAACGGTAATCCAGGAATAAAGTTCCCTAAGGCACAACCTTGTGTGGTCATTGACTTATTCTATTGTAGGCCTGAACCCGAATCACATCAAAAAGAACACAACGGCATGCTGAGCGTCCGTTCAGGATTCTGATTGTAGTGGTAGTACTATCAATCGTGAGGATCGTTGAAAGAAGCATATGCTAGTGCCACAGTACTTACAACCAGTCCAGGGTCATTTCCAGAGTCCGATTGGACATTCGAATCAGTTCAACCGTAGCACAAGGGTTGTTAGACTTCTACAGTCATCAGACTACAGTACGGATCGACATAAATGTCCCACAGAGCTGATTCAGTATTAACTTCAACCAATTCTTCAGTAATGTTTGCATTTGTCCAATTTTTGTGTGGTGTTGTTCGTCACAGAATCTGAATCCGCATGCATTCAATCATTGTCCATTCTGTCACAAATGGTGGCATTCACAATTGTTTCGCTAGTTTCACTACACACGAGACACATCACCAAATATTGTCGGTGTAGACTCCTCTCTTATGCATACTATGTCGACGAAAAGCCTTCAATCAAAGGTCCTAAAGCCGTGCCAAAGCATTCAAGGGCGAGAGATGCGAGGGTTCTTGTTGCATATCTATACCGGTAGATGATGAGCTTTTCTCCATTTTTCATTTGTCAGTAGTTAGTCGTCCTAGTCGTCAAACCACCACGCAAGTGTTATATGCGCCAGCCGCTCTGATGCTGATGAAGCAGTTTTGAAAATTTGACGAGTGGCACATTCACTTGTACACGTTTGCCCATAATGACGGTCGTGACAATAACGTCGAAGTGGTTTCCAACATCTTCCATGCCGCCTCGTGATCATCATAATAAGAGTTCTAGCACAACAATAATATCACAATTATCAAAACTATTGATTTCAATCGTGATACTATCTTTGACAACAACAATGGCACAAGCATCATCCAACCACAATAATATTATTGACAATGTCAGTAACAGTAAGGTCGATGATCCTGCTACGTTGTTGGTATTTTCGGATCTGGATGGGACGCTGATTCATTATCCAGAATACCTTCCAGACAATGATGAGAGTTTGTTGAAGCTACCGCCCTCGTCCACGGGTATGCGAGGCGTTGTCTCCTCCGAAACGCTCAAGCTGACGCAAGATCTGCGAACACAAGGCAAAAAGTTTGTCCTCGTCAGTGGGATGCGAACGACTACATTGCTGAATCGGCTTCCTTACCTACCCAAAGCGGATGCCTATTGCTCGGAAGCAGGTGGTCGCATCTTTTATCCTACTGACAAATTGACGGAGGGATGCTTCCAAGTCGACCCCAAGACTTTTGAAGGTGCCACAAAAGAAGATCTAAAACCCTTTGGTATTGTGGAAGATATGGATTGGAGACGAGAAATGGAAAAATATACAGGGGAGTTTGATCTCGACGGCTCCTCCTTTGAAAACATAGAATCTTTTGAGTCTACACCTGCGGAGAATCGGGTTGGGGGACTATGGGACTATGCTCGTGACTTGCAAAAGAAGGGCTATGTAATTGACATTCGGGGATATTCATCTTGTTTTCGATTGAACAAGATGAAGCAAACTCAAATATCTGACAAAGACTTTCAACGACTCATCAACAAAAAAGTCTTGGCGAAAAATGGCCTAGCCACAAGCGTCAACTTGAGTTGCATTGATATCTACCCTGCCATCAGTGGAAAGAAGAATTGGTATGTTTTGAGGTGAAATGATGTTTGCGTACAAAGTGCCAGTTTCTAACAATTATCAAATTTTGCAGTTGTCAATACCTTGGAGAAAAGTTCTTCCCCGACGTTCCGAAATCCGAAATCTTGTCAAACCATGCCATTTGCCTATGCGACGATGACAATGATATCGAAATGGCCTTGGCGGTCCGGCATGCCTACCTCCCTTCCCTTGCCTCCAAAACGATGGAAGCAGTCATTGAGAAACACACGGATCGCTTTACAGAGACTTACAAACTTGAATCCGCTTCCTCTGGAAGTGGAACAGGAGCCAGTGATCTTGCTTTGAACTTGATTCTGGAAAGCGGCAACTAGCCACAACATACAACAACTAGCTACTATACCCACAAAGATACGGCAATAATTAGCTGATTTTAAGATCATCATGGTGTCTGAAGCTATGTGCAATACGAGCGCAAGGCCTTCAGCATTGGAAGGCCGAGGCGCTGTTGTTGCATCGGAGTTGCCTTTACTATGCATTAAAAAAAACTTTGCGGCACGTGCATGTAGGCGGGTGCAGAAGAGCTTAGACCAAATCTTCTTGGTTTCACGCGATGCTGGCCCAAACATACTTGTATGATCAGCTTCTGAAAATGAAACGAAGTTAAAAAATTCTTGATTCTTTCAGCCCATCAGCCTTGGCATACGCGCCCCAGTCCTCGTAGAAGCGTATAGCTTCATCCATTCGATACTTTGCTTCTTGTTGATCGTGGAGCTCGTTCAACAAAAAGTCAGAGTATCGTTCATTGGAGAGAGCAGCGTGATTCAGTTGTCCCGTTTTGGCAGCATACACGATGGTTTCCTGATACAACTTCTTGGCCCGTCCCGTGTCCTTGTTCAAAGCTGCTTGTTCTGCACTTAGTAGTGTAAAATACGGTTGGACGTTTGGGTTTCCTTGCTTTCTTAGCTTTGCGATATGCTTGAGGATTTTACCTGCAGGATTGCGGTATCTTCGCTTCTTAGTTTTCCTCGCCATTGCGAATAGCGCCACTCCCCTCAAGAATGATTCGTACGCCCCCATTGAATCCATTCTAAAATACTTCTGGAAGACCCCTCCCTTTGCTATAGAAAGCCTCGCTGCTTCCTCATAATCCCCAAAGTATACCATCGAAATATAATTGCTAAGAGACTTCATAGCCGGCAAATTCTTCGCTTTCGCATCGCCCTCGTGACTAGACATGGTATTGATGCTCATCATTGACGTTTGGTCCGAGGCTCCCATAAGATCCAACACTGTTTGCAACAAAAGTCGAATGAAGTCGGAGTGATTGGATTGTTTCAGATCGTCAATTACCCGAAGATGCATTTGCATATTGGCATCGATTGTCTGCAAACGCATTCCCATTCGTAATGGCATGAAGAGAGTATGGGACATCAAGCACCAAATGCCATCCGAAAGATTGCCAGTTCTCATGCCTTCCGTGTATCCGTCAATAAGCTTTGGTCGACAACTGGCCAATGGAGACGACCATGGTAAAATAAGATGATGAGATATAAACACTGTCGAAGCTACAAAGTGTGTCGATAGTATGGACTTTTGCATCAAAGAGCCTGTCTCGGCAAAGTAAGTCGCAGATTCCACATCGCCGAACGCCTCCAAGCTGACCATACCCAACAGACATTGGGCAGCTCCCGAGAACGAAAACAAACCGTGCTCTAAGGTAGTCGTCACCAACTTTGTCGTCGCCAAAGCAAAAAGGAGCGGGCTCGCTGACTGGACACAAGCATAGGTCATTCGTCCCAATATTGTCATGGTTGCCTCAAGTTTGACATTATCGGAAGGCTTCAAAGCCTGGTAGTCTGCCTTGGTGGTCTTTTTCGCAAGTTTTATCGTCCTTTGTACCGATCGGATCGCATGTACTGGAAGGAGGAGGCGACTCTGAACAAGTTTGCAATCGAACTCTTTCAGAACCTCAAGGCTGAAATCAATGGCCTCTTGATATCTAACTGTCACAAAACACAGTATATTAGTCTTCACCATGTACAAACGGAACTTTTCCATTGCCGTGTAGTCGTCTCGATTCAAAATCACATTGCAGTACTCTTGGGCGATATCAACATTCCCAGTTGCCACTTCCATCTCTGCCCCCATGGTATATGCGTTCAGAGCCAATTCGCGATGCTCGTTCCACCTTCCGCTGGGTAACATTTCGATGGCCCTAGTTGCGTATGCAGCCCCATTATAAAATGCAGACAGACGTTGCGCTTTCTCGGCCGCCCTCAGGTTGAGTTGCGCAAATTCCAGACGTCCATGAACATTCGACTTGTTGATGAGATTCGTGACGACAAACAGCAAGAGTTCAAGCTTGTCGTCAGGAAGATCGTTGAGCAAAGCGAGTCCAACTTCAAAATAGAATGATGATCGTCTGCTTTCTTCCATTTCCAGGGCTGCTTCTTGAACCTTGTCGTGTACCCATCTGTAGTAGTCTTCGTCGCGTTCTATAAAATTACCTTCTTCGAGTTTTGCAAGTAGCGCCATTGTAGGGTCCTCCTCTGTCGCGCCTCTGGTACTTGACCCATGCTTTTCCCATAACAGAGCAAGGACGGATGGGTCAAATGTTGATCCAAGACAGGCAGCATACTGCATCAGCAACCGCATATCCGAAGACAGTTTCTTCATTCGAAGTTGCAGCAAGTCGACTACGTTTGCCGTAGACATGGTCCCATCTTCAATCGCCCTGTCGTCCCAGACCCACTTTAGCAGTCCCAAATTAAACGATATCAATTGTTCTTCTTCCAACATGGCAATGAACTGCACCACAAAGTTTGGGTTCCCAACAGTCCGCTTGAAACATATCTGAGCCAATCCCCGCGTGGCATCTTTGTCGTCCATTCCCAACAATGCCATGATAATTTCGTGTACACCATCCACATCTAAATTCTTTGGCTCTATATGGGTCAAGTCAAATTGGCCCTTCTTTTTCTTCTTTTCCAGATTTTGCAACACAGTCGACAGGGCATCCAGCGAATCAATGGCGTCCGATCGAACAGTGCCAATGATCATCAGTGATTCTTTATTGAATGGATCCGACAGCAAATCTTCAATGACACCCAATGATGATCGATCTGCCCACTGCAAATCATCCAGAATAATGACTAGGTGTGAACAGTGCTGGCACAATACACGAATGAAAACCTTGAAGGCATTCTTCCATTTGGCTTGCTCGGCATCCGGATTGTACAGTTCTTGCACGAGGACACTTCTTTGAGCCAAAAGGAATTCTGCCGGTGCCAATGTCTCTAAAGCTGGAATCAATGCCGCCAAAAGAGTCCTGTCATCTCCTAATTCCAACGCTAGCTGTTTCTTCATTTGTTCTGTTTCCCCAGTCGCGATTAATGCGTCCCGATAGAGCTGATTCAACGCATCTACCAGGCCAGAGTATGGCTGCGTGCCACTTTCTAGGTTGAATTTCCCCCTTCCAACGATTCCTTTGTCGCTGCTTGATATTTGTTCTTCGACTGTTTTTGTAAGTGAACTCTTCCCCAGTCCGCTCGTTCCTTTGATGACGATTAATTCTTTTATCGTATCGTTTAGCGCTCGATCGCAGCGTTCTTCGAGTATCTTCACCTCCTTGTCTCGGCCAACCAGTCCGACAGCATCATATTTGAGTTTATTGATGGTAAGTTCTTGTATTCTTGGATTAAACGTGGGAGCCTTGAACACTGAAGAGTTATTGTGTTCGCTTGTTGCCAACATATCTCGAGACGATTTAGTGCTCCGTCGTTCACTGGAATCAACCGTAAAGGTCCCACTGTCGCTGCTCGCTGCCGACCTTATTGACATGGATGTGGAACGTCGCATAGTAGTGGTATCCTTACTGTTATTCAAAATGTCACGGCTGCTTTCATGATTGGGCTGTCTGCGTAGCCGGAACGACACTGGCGAGTTGCGTTTATGCTGATCCATGAAGCACTTTTGATATTCAGTTGAATGCACGGTACTATCTGTATCTATTTTGATAGGTACAATGAACTGTTCAAAACACTCGAGGGGATATATGATGAGTACCGGTATAGGAGGCAGCACGCACATCTGGTTGATACGCGGATGCGCGACCTCTATATCATATCCGTACCTCACAACTCCCAACGCACTTATGATACACTTTTCGCATTCGTACTTTTTCGCATTTCTGAGGTACCAAATTCAACCTTGATCCTCCATTTTTTCTTTATGAAAATACGTATTTTCATGCCCTTTTAAAGTAAAATCAAAGTATCGAATTATGCACGGTTTTAAATGTAAATGAGGTGTACCGGTACATCCTGCAAAAAGGTTCCAAATTGCTGCCTTTTCCAAGGTGGAACCTTGGCTTTGCGTTCTCCACCATCTTGGCCAGGAAGATGGAATACAATCTCAGTGAGAATGTCCCTATCATTTTCAAATCATTTTCAAATCATTTTCAATGTAGGTAAATGGTGAGTCAGTTGCAAGAGAAGTCATAGTGCTGTATTTTCACTTGAAACGCTTCAATCAAGATGCAACAACAAAGTCAAATACGTAGCAAATGTAATAGCAATGGTTTGCTGTCACTCTGCAGAGTGTATCTCTTCAGCAAAAGCCTTTGGCTATTCGAATAGTAACCCAACCTTCACAGAAGAGTCACAGAGAAAATTGTGGATGTCTAGTATAGAGGCACTTGAAAGTGCTTTCATGGACCTTTTGACTAAGGTCTAGTTCTGTACCCAACCGAAGGAGCTTCTACAGTCCCAATACCTTGGGCCTGTTCTGTGGGCCGTGTCATTCCCCACTATTTGCAGACCTAAAAGTGTACAAGGTAGGGTCTGCAACTGGTGGGAGAAGCAGACATAACGGGCACACATCCGATAAATGGGGTTTGCAAATCAGCACACGACTACCGGCTTCTACTTTATCCTTGCTTCTACGTACGTGTACATGTCGTCCGCTGAAACCAAATCCAGGCTATTTTTTTCAAAAAGCAAATCAAAATATATGAGGGGAGAGTTTCAGGGGACATGAGAGACTCGCCAAACACCAGAGTGCTGAATAATAATCAGGCAGATCCAGTCCTACCGGTAGATCGGATGGTCCTGGATCATCAAGTAAAGGATAAGCAAATTAGAAACGATCCATACCAGCCACTTGTGATCTGATCCGCAAACCTGCTTTTCCAGAATGGACGCAACCTAACCAAATCACTGCAGCTCCGGTTGAACAAGTTCTAGCCTTCAAAGAGAGTGCGACAGTATATTGGCAAACCGGAATTGACTAGCACTACATGAGGTGTAGAAACGTACATGGTAAAAACTTATTGTTAGAGCTTCTAGCTAGATTCTCGTTTGACTATTATTTTTGTCTTCAACAGTATCCGGTTTTGAGTGTCGCTTGTAATTGTTTGAATGAAGTCATTGTCCCCACATTGGCAGAATCGAGTCCTCATTTATTGTATTCTATTCTCTCATCAGAATAAAAATATGAAAAAGAACTCCGCATGCGTCTTTTCTATACGATAGTAGAAAGCTTCACAACGGAGCCCATAGTCGGGATTCTGCGCTTGTCGTCGTCTTTGAATCTTTCCCAACAAAGGTTGATTATTGGGTCCTCGATCGTTGCATACACATGTAGTATATTTGCGATGAAATTGAGCTCTGCGTTCGCCCTTTATGTTTCTACCCAATCAACAAGCCGATTGATGCTTCAGGTCCAGATCCTCAGCAAATTGCACAGGCTAGTTGTCGCAAGCCTCAGAGAAGTGTACACTTCACTAGAATCGCAGCGATAATCTCAACTGGTAGATTTGACTGCTCTCTCATGCTTTGATTGACCTTTCCAGGATGATGTCGATTCAATCACAATATGATGCGATCAAGTTGTTAAAACCACTTTCCAACAAGCGCGAAGTTGGGGGATGGTTGCACTTCTATCGATCCGTAGGACCTTTCGATCGATTGCATGTCTCTCACAACAAAAGCCCTGATTCCGAATCCAAAATGCTGGCGTATTGTCGCAGCTCGCGTGAAGCTGATGATTCATTCTCTGCTTGTTGTTGTGCTGCTTGTTGCGCTGGAGTCAGTCTGCCGTTCTCGCTTCAGGCGCCTGTCATGTCGTCATGTTTATTTCACTAGGTCGCAACTGTTGTGGTGCTGCTTGTTTGTTTTGCAGTTCCTTGGCTTTTGTCTGCAAGCTTGAAGTTGATGTGATGTCGATGCAAAACAATGACACATATTACAAAATGCTTCAGAACCTCACGCTAGCGACATATCCGGGTTAGGAGTGCTTTATTTAACAACTAATGGTCTGCCCTCCGTCATATTCAAATTACACGATATTTTGAATTTCATGAGGAAAGCTGCCGACACGTAGAGGTGGTACGAAACATACGGCGGTTTTCAAAAATACCCAACCCCATTTATGAAATATGAGCCATATTATGCAAAGCTGCCCTGGGAAACGAAGACGGGCCACTTTGCAGATAATGATTAAGGTATGCTGTAAGGGCTGGTTCCTCCTTGTAGGTTTATTATCGTCTCGTGTAAGAGCGAATTCAGAGATTGCCTTTGATTTAGTGAAGTGGGTGAACGAGCAAAATCACGGATACGTTAATCCGAAGCTTGGGATCCGCCAAACGGAAGATGATGGTTTGGCATTCTTTGCCAGAGCCAAGATTGAAGCTGATGAGGTTTTAACTCATATTCCTTGGAGTGTGATTATTGCATCAGATGATCAAGACAACCCTGAAGACAACATGGACTGTGGCACTGTGAGGAACCTTGCCAGAGAACTTAAACTTGGTGAAAAGTCGGCGTTTGCTCCATATGTACAATATTTGCTTTCTTTAGATGACGGCCAAATTCCAAGCGCATGGACTGACGCAGCAAAAGCTATCCTAGAAGACATTTTGGGAGACGATCGTATGCTGCCGCCGGGGGCAGCAACTTTTATGCTTCATGATGAATGGGTGTATGAGTGTGATGGTGATGCCAGCGATAAGCTTACTTTCAAGGCAGCGGAGTTAGTCATGCAACGGGAGGATGCCGCACTTATGGTGCCTCTCTACGACTTGATTGAACACAGAAATGGAGAATACCTCAACACAAAAACCATGATCAAAGGGGGAAAGTATCACAAGACATTGGCCAGCCGTACCATTCAGTTGGGCGAACAGATTCACAAGAGTTTTGATATGTGCGAAGAATGCGACCCGGAAGCCATTCGGGTTGGTTACGGAACCGCTGGTAAGTACAGCTCATAAAGTGACTGTATGAAATATTATGTGCACTCAATGCTTTCTTCTCTAACCTTCATTTTGCCAGAAATCTTTCGTGATCGTGGTGTCGTTGAAAGATTCCCTCAACGCTGGACCTACAAGCCCTCTATGAAAATTGCTACAGACAAAGATGGAAACATGTTCTCTCAAACTCTTGAGCCGGATCTTCAGTTCACAATCGTAGAAAATTCCGATGGAACCGTTCAGGTGAAATGGACAGACGACCTTGAGTTCCAGGACGACGGGAAAAACTATGTGCGCCGCATTTTTCGCAAGCATCTCCAGCGTCTACACCGCTACAAAAATGTGGAATACTCGATTGAGAAACCTGAAAATATTCCACAACACCAATGGAATGCTATCTGGAAGTATTGCGAGGCAGTGGGGAATTCGCTCGTTTACGCAATCCAATCACTAGTCAATTCCGAAAATATCAATCCATGCAAACCTGGTCAATCGCTACTAGAAGGTGCTTGTGCTGCAGATCTTCTGGAGCTCTATGAAGTGCACTATCATGATTTGGGATGGGAGGAGGATGACATCGAATATATTGAACCGTACTGTAGTTCATCTCAGATCATTGAATACGTCGACTACCCAAGAATTGATGAGATACAAACGAATTATCAACTCTTATCTTTCTGGGAGCGTGAAAGCGACGGAGATATTTGCATGAACCTGGAAACTACACTGCAAATATGTTCATCTTACCGACCACACTACCATGAGTTCTTTGTCCACTTCCCCGCTCGATACATTGATGAAATCAAACGCGTCATCTTTGTCGGCGGTGGAGATGCAATGCTCTTACATGAGGTACTCAAATTTCCCGAGCTAGAGAAGGTCGTCGGCCTCGAACTTGACCAGCAAGTTACAAGAAAGAGCTTCAACTACTTCAAATCACAACCTCACTGGGACGAAGAGAGAGTAGAGTGGTGGTATGGAGATGCGACAAAGAGCCTACCATTGCTGCCGCAGGATTATTGGGGATCATTTGACCTAGTGCTTGTAGATCTCTCTGAAACTGTGATGTCCATGTCGGTAACTGGCGAGCTCGATATCTTCTCTGCTCTCGCGTTGTTACTGAAGCCGGAGGGTATCATGGTGAAGAACGAACCATACATTGATCAATTCAGTAACTTTTTCGACCACACGATTCACATATTCTACGGTACACCTAAGATCTGCACACAGGTGCTTGTGATGGGAAGCAACAAGGTTGACTTTTTGCACCATCCCGTCAAGGAACGCCCTGAAATCGAACAGCTTCTCTTGGAACCGCTCGATGATCCATCCGATCGGTTTAAGTACTTTCACGACTATCGCAAAAATAACGCCACGGAGCAGGGCAAGTGTATCCTCAAAAAGGGAAGCGTGACGACGCAGCAGGGAAAAAAAGCTGGAATTTTGGAAATTTTGGAGGTGGAGGAGGCTTTCATTTCCTCGACGGAAGACTTGGAATCCTCAATCTATAGTCTTGCTGTGGATGTTGGATTGTCACCAGCGTTGTCATTTTCTGATACAGATGGCACAATAGTGGTTCTGATGAAGGAAGGCTACATCATTGCTCGATTATGGGCGGAGCGGAAGTATTGTGCGCTGGACATTCATCTTTGGGGGGCATTTGATAAGTCGTCACTGCTTCGCTCGGTCTTGAAGGAGGCTCTCTCCAGTGATAATATCTCATCATATCGGATTGTGGCAGGAGGTATGTTTGGTTCCAACACTGCCGATTCGGACAAGAATGTGATTGGCATTCAAGTGTCGCAACAGCGAAACTGTTCAACTGAGGTTGTGACTTACGATGGCAAAACAGATGAGGCCGAGGCGATGGGTATTGCACTGCTGCAAACCGTAGATCTGGTAGCTGGGAAGCCAAATCTAAAGGCTGCAGTCCTCTGTGGGTTCAAGGATGAGGAAAAGTGTGGAAGTGTTGATATCTTGGTTGCCGATGGCCGTCTGAAGACAGTTGTTCCGATTTGGGCTTGCCGTAGTCTGAAGAACGTGACGGAGGATCTAATTATGTATTCCCAGATGTATGAGTGCGAGAAGGAAGTTGAAGACCTTCTAACCAGAGACACGATAGACACGATGGAAGAAGTAGACATGGTAGTTTTGGACCAATCGGCGCCACGGCAGATGGCCCAGATCATGACTAGCATAATGAGCTATCCTGAGAATCGAGATCGTTTTGTATCGGAGGAGCATGTGTTTGTTTCTCTGATAAGAGATTTGGGCTCTGAGTTGTGGCGTCGAGAGTTTTTAGAGCAGTATCGGAAGGAAAAACATGGTTTACCATTGTTCCGAACGGAGGTCTCGTTGAAGAGGGCTCATCGTAATCTTGGATTGGATCTTATTATTCGAGGCCAGAACAGTTTCCTGCATTTACACCAACTCGAAGGGAATCTTCGATCCAAACTTTCGCAATATACTGTTGATATGAGGAGAATCACCGGTGGGGCCCAGTACTATGACCCGGATTATGCGTTCAAGATTTTCCCTGACTCCGCTTATGACAGAGAAACTGCGAGTGAACAAGCAAAGAATTCTGTAGCACTTGGGCGACAGAGTATTTTTCAATTTGAATGGTTCAGTTCCGATGAAGGTGATATGCCATCATTTTACGACCTCAAAAGTGTGTTCCTGGCTACCTTGAAAGAAATACACTATAATACAACTTGGGAACAGGAGTACTCAGACGTAGGAGACGGTGAGGTTTTTGTGTCGAAGTTTGACGAGGGATTGGCTGTGTTGGTGTGGGATGGGCAGAAGCATGTTGATGTGAATCTGTTTTCAACGGACCAAAGTGAAGAACGAGCGAATGGATTTGGTCAGAGGTTTATTGAGCTATCAGGTTTATCTCAGTACCTCCGAGACGATCAACCACGTGGAACTGGAAGAGTTGTACTTTTTTCAAGCGAAACTCTCTATCGGTAAGACGGTTCCATTTATTGAAATGATTTTTATGATGTGCGTGAGGCAAAAATGCCAGTTTACAAAATGTACCGGTAGGCTGCTCGAGTGATGTAAAACTGCAAGAAATTTTATGGAAAGAGTTTTACGACATGCTTTCGAAGCGAATACACTTTTCTCCTGTGATAATTGTGGCAAGGTTCAGATTGATAGCTTGTCATCGATCTCACCTTCCACATTCCATAGTGATTAATATAAGATGAAGTACATTTACCACCACTTTCTATAGATCAAATTTCTCCGCATGATCTTCAGTATCCTCCAATAATGATGTATGGTTTGGCAAGATTAATGCTTTGCTCGGCGCACATAATGTAAAGACGGCACTGTTCTTTGCATCTTTTGGAAGCTCCCCAACCTATGAAATGCAAGAAAAAGAAGACTTGGCCCCTGTGCGAAATATACGAAATATGGCAAAGACGGCGAAACAAATTCACAAAGAAAATGCTCGCGCTGTTTCAGCAATGGAAAATTTGATATGGGAACAAGGCCCTAGAAAGGGAAAGATACGCGAGAATAAAGCAGAACTCAGTTGTAGATGTCTCTTCGACCTACTCGTATCCACATGAATAAACGCTGCAATCATGTATGGCTCTCAACCCAAGAACTTCAAGACTGCAGTAGAGAATTCATGTGGACTATCAAGGTAACATGCATGTCCGCCATCAAGCTCCAGTGATCTTGCTCCGACATAATCCTCCAACCTCGTAGATATGTCCCTTCCCCCACGATCTTTACTTCCAAAAATCGCCAATACATCGAAGTGTTCGAGTCGTGACAAACGCGCCAGCTGATCCTCAGTGGCTGCGGATACGGCAAAACAAGCCACTGGAATCCATTTCTGGACGTACTTGGGCAAATCAGGAAGTCTACCGTTCGACATCCAATCTACAATGCCCATCCCGGAGGCAGAAGGTGTTATCAACGTGACAGGCAGATTTATTTGAGCTTCTTCCTTCATGGCGGATAGCATTCCTGCTATATCTCGGTGACCTGCCTTAATTGAGAGATCCATAGCTGACACTGACACATGCGGACTACTGCACAGAGTCTCAAAAATTCCAGACGACTTCCAGTCCTCCTTTGTGAAACGGGCGGCGTGAAGCAAAACCACATGATGACTTTGGTCCGGAGAGAAATTGGAAGCGCAATGATAGTACGGCACATGGCGGGTCTCGCCGTACACTGAGTAAATAACATCGCCCATCTCCATGTTTATGAGAGCACTTTCAGGTTTTACTTTTGTCCCACCCTTCAACTTTAAATTCTGATGCAGAAGTACCAAGAGTCCCAAACAAATGCAGATAGACACGAATAAAACAAACTCTTGCGATTTCCATCGCTTGTTGCGATGCGCTGGGCGAGTAATACGTGACATGTGCTTGTATTGAAGTGGTGCTCAACGCCATGTTCTGTTACGGAACACAATACATATTGAATATATAGTCCAAATCAAAATTCTGACACATGCAGTGGAAATACGTAAAACTGGTAGGCCACGTCACGTATTCAGCCTAAAATAGTACTTTCAATTTGTTCTCGCGCCCTCGTAGAATTTTGTGGGTTTTGTGCCAATCCACCAAAGCCATTTTCATCATCGACCTTCCGACCCCTTGTTGACATCAACAAAACATCGGTCATCTCCATTTTATCGCACAATTCGCTTCCTAACATATCACACTAGTATAATATCGAAAAAAGTGGAGATGTGAGATGAATCCAAACGGTCAAAATCCACCAAAAAGGATGATGAATTTGATTTCACCACGATGGTAAGCTTTGAGGCACTTGCAGTCATCACCGACTGCAAGAAAATTGATGCACAGCTGACAGTAGCTGTATCTTTACATAAGCTATCCTGTTTCTATGACGTGATCTGGCCTCGTTTGTTTCTTTGGACCACTGAAGCCCACCATCAACGTCCAAAACGAAGAATTATTATGGTTTTGGGAGCCCACGAAGTCTCAAGGCACCAAGTACTTGAAAATTCCAGCAGAGGTTGCTTCTGGCGTTATACTACTTAAGGTTATGGAATCATCTGGTGATCAATATCGAGGTTTCTTTGTGCATATTCTCCATCGAGTTCATCAAGTGGCAAAATTCGTCAAAAACACGTCTATGTCATGGCTTGGGCTCCACAAGAAGAATAGGTGGATTCAGATGCTACGGCAGACACTTTTGATATATATACTACGCCATGAGCCGTGATTCAATTTAGGTTTTACCCCAATCATGCCACAATCAACAAGCGTTGTTAGAACTGTTTCGGTCAGCTTGCTCTTTGGGGTCCACAGAAGGCCACACATGCAGAGATCGCCAAGCTCCAAGGTATATAGTGGTATATTGGTATCTGATACAACAGCAGACCATTATTGGTTCACTTTCTTTGTTTAATTTGGAAAGATTTTGCGATTTCCTTCCTTTGTGCTGTCGGTTCTCTACCGCTCTGGAGGTCCCCCTGGCCGCCATTTAGACAGCTATCCATCCAACAACACACCAGAGTCTCTCTTGGATGCCTAGAGTTTAGATTTTTTGGGACCAAGGCAATGATTCGTCCTAGATCAAGAATCATGTGGCCAAACTGGTGTAAAAAAATATTGTAAGTTTGTTGAAATTGTTGACCTAATTTCCTCAATCTTCTTTATTCTAACAAGGTTTGGCACCTTGGAATGGGAGATTTCAAGGTGGAAGTGATTGAGCTGCAGCTACTTGACCTGGGGTCAATTTGGCATTCAATCCAGAATATCCCAGGAATGTGTCCCAGTCGCCATGTCGGTAACCAGGCACGGTAGGACCACTACAAAAGTGATCAATATACCTATATGTATCGTTTTTGGGTGTTTTTTTTGTAATGGTGCGGCAGAAATGAGATTCCTTGGTCTGTTTTTCTGTTGACCCATTCCCAACATTTCAGGAGCCTTGATTGGCTGATTGGAAATTCCATGTATTCTAGACCGAAATTTGCAACTTTTGTTGCGTATACCTCTAGTCTATGTAGATTAAACAATAATACATATTAAAATATCAAGATTTGTAATCAAAACCAGGTCTTATCGTACGAGATGGAGGCCTTGCCTCTTGTAATTTTGGTTGGATGTGTAGTCGATTAAGTCAAACTGGTATCCAACTCGATCGATCACAGCGTTCTCTACCACGGCTACGGATTTTCAACAATATCCGGTCTGATCTTGGTTTGGACTGTACATGTGGTGACCGGCGGAAACCCCCATATACGGTAATGTCTGTACGTCCTCTCACTGAATAAACATACTTCATCATGGGTAGAAGTCACTGGATATCGTTTGATGTTTTTAATCACAATAAAGACAATCATGCGGTATATTTCACTCCAAGATCGCTGATGAGAGGAGCCATACACGGGAGGCACCCAGCCAGCTCAGGGACATACAGCCTCTGGAGGAAACATGATACCTCCATCGGTACCACCTATTGTGCACAGTGACAGGACTATCCTCTTCAACTCCTCTTCGAACTACATCATCAAGAAGTTCTTCCCAAAATAGGCGATGATTCTGGCAAGGGCCTACATCGCACATCCTTCAATGCCCTGCCCCGGCAATGAGACGGCGCTGAAAATTCTCCTTCCAGTATGGTGGATGAGATGAAGTAACAATGCCTAGGCATATCTTGGAAAGACCTAAAATAGTTTGATAAAAATGATGATTGTGAAGTTTTTCCATTTTCCGTTGTTTGGGTGTGAAGTGGTGCACAAGGCCCTCCATTGGCTGACATGTAGGATTTCAAAAAATACCAAAACGGCTGTCGATCTGATACTTATACGCCAGCTAGAAGGGGGGAAATGGATAGTTTGGTTATCGTCCTAGGGGTTGCTTCTAGAGGAAAAGCCAACATGGATCATAAAAACTGCTAGTTGCGTTCATAGTAAACGGTTTACAATCAATTAATATGCTACATTATAATATAGAGTCCTTCGGCTGTGAAGTCATAGCAACAAAACTTGAACTGCTCAAGCACATCCCTGCTTTCTGTCGTGACAGAAGCCGCTACTAGTGTTCTGTCCTCAGTCCAATTCTGGATTGATGACCAAAAGCTTTCTTTCGCATCTCTGCTGGGTATCTCTGATGGGTCCAATGGTTCATGGTAAAAGGCGAGCTGTCAAACAGTAATCGGTTTGACAACATATCCGCAATCTAGAACAGCAGCAATGAGTGCTTATTGCAGTGATCTTCTCAGCAGAGACGACAGGCATCAAATCAAATTATCGATAACCCCATGGACCAGCCAGTGCAGAACAGTGTTGATTGTTGATTCAAGTGATGAAGAAGTGGTGTAGAAAATGGAAAAAATGCCATCCAGTATGTTCTTCACAAAAGAGCGCCAACATAATACTCCTGGCGGTCCTTTGCCCTCATCAGCATGGCGTAAGAATATACCAAACGCATTGCTCTGTAGTGCCCAGCATGCGGAGACCTCGTCCAGATACGTCCAGTGGCGGATTGATATGCTTGGCAATGGGATTCCGGCCTTATCAAATGCCATCAAGAGTGGGCAAATGTGAATGTGCTGGAAGCAAAGGTGAATCGTTGGCACTTGAAGGACCAGGAGCGCACCATTTCAAGTCTAGTGGTATCCCCGCTCATGGGATATGTTCCTTTCAGAGAGGATGGTTTGACAAAAGCGATGCTGATGCCGATGCCACCAACTTGTACAGGTTTTGCAGTGAGCCATGTTTGAGAAAATTCCACAATAAAGTCCGAGATGTTGCCATGTAAAACTTACATTTACATCAGTATCTTTGTTCTTGTTTCATTTCGTTTTGTTTCATTTCATTTGTTTTGTTTGTTTTGTATCCATCGAGGGTGATGTTTTTGTTTGTTGTGGGCTGCATGGTATGCAACAGAGATGTATTGGCTCCATTACTTTTCAGTGCAGCACCTCCTAGACATGGTGAAAATAATGTGAACAGAGCGGATCACAAAGGATCAGGATTCAACGGCCGTAAGAGCATTTAGAAGGAAATATGCAGACATATAATGTTTGTAGTGATTATAGTTGAACAGTGAACGCAAGATTGAACCAAATACTGAAAGACGACAGCGGAAACAGAAACAAACAATGCATGCCAGCGACACAGGTTTTGGAGACCAGGCAAAACAATCCATTTAAAAAATTCAAGGACTCATGGAATAAAGTCTACTTCAAAAGTATTTATTGCATGTTCAGCGTGTTGATGCAGATTTACGTTGTTGTTGGATGTTCATTGTGCTGATGGACAGGTGTGATTCTTGATTTCGTTCTCCAGATTTTGAATGAAATGAGAATGAGAATCGAAAGGCTTCTCATTCTCTTTGTCATTTACAAATGTAGTTTTGTCAATGCGTCTTTCACAGTGCACCCTGATTTTAAGAGTCACACAGGAGGAGTGATGACTATGGGTGGTGGAGCTATGCAGGCATGTCCAAGAAACAGAAGCTGAATAGCCAGTGCGTAACGTGCCGTGAAGAAGAAACAACCCAGAGTAAAGGGTGTGAGAATGGAACATTAATTTATTTGGTGACGTCTATAATTTATTTACCCCATGTGACGGGGTTGGCATCGCAGGCGCGAACATCTAAAGCGGAAGGTGGAGTAAAAGGTGCTGGGGCAATCTATTGTCTGATACTGCCTGTTCTTACACATTCTTTTTTAGTGTGCTATGGTATTTTATCGTGTTACAAACAAAATCCAGAGTAGCAATTGATTCCAAGCCCACATCTTCTGCTTTCAATGATACTTCATATCAAGATGAGTTATTTTGTGGGGCGGGTGTATCCAGATGGGTGCTCGAGAGCTCAGACCAAATCTTTTTTGGTGTCGCAATACTTGCCCCGCACTTGGATGAAGAGCTTATGAATATGAACCAAAGTTCAAAAAATACTTAAACCTTTCAGTCTATCAGCTTTGGCATACGCGCCCCAGTCCTCGTAGAAGCGTATAGCTTCATCCATTCGATACTTTGCTTCTTGTGAATCATGGAGCTCGTTCAACAAAAAGTCGGAGTACCGTTCATTGGAGAGAGCAGCGTGATTCAGTTGACCCGTTTTGGCAGCATACACAATGGTTTCCTGATACAACTTCTTGGCCCGTCCGGTGTCCTTGTTCAGAGCTGCTTGTTCTGCACTGAGCAGTGTGAAATAGGGTTGGACGTTTGGATTTCCTTCTTTTCTAAGCTTTGCGATGTACTTGAGGACTTTAGCGGCAGGATTTCGGTATCGTCGCTTCTTAGTTTTCCTCGCCATTGCGAAAAGCGCCACTCCCCTCAGGAATGATTCATAAGCCCCCATTGAATCCATTTTGAAATGATTCTGGTACACCCCTCCTTTTGTTAGAGAAAGCTTCGCTGCTTCCTCAAAATCGCTAGAGTATACCATTAAAATATAATTCGCGAGAGACAACACAGCACGGCGATTCTTCGCTTTGATACCGTCCTCGTCACTAAACACACTATTTGTACTCATCACTGTCGATTGATCCGACTCTCCAATCAGATCTGACAATATTTGCACAAAAAGTCGAATGAAGTCAACATGATTTGATTGTTTCAAATCTTCAATCACTCGAATATGCATTTGCATATTGCTGTCGATGGTTTGTAAGCGCATTCCCATTTGTATCGGCATGAAGAGAGTGTGAGCAACCAAACACCAAATGCCATCAGAAAGGTTACCAGTTCTCATGCCTTCCGTGTATCCTTCAAGCAGTTTTGGCCGACAAATCGCGAGGGGAGAAGACCATGGCAAAATTAGCTGGTGTGATACCAAGACTGTCGTAGCTAAAAAGTGTGTCGATGGTATGGACTTCTGCATCAGGGCACCGGTCTCCGCAAAGTAAGTAGCGGATTGAACGTCCCCTAACGCCGCCAAGCTAACCATACCCAAAATACATTGGGCAGCTCCCGAAAACGAAAACAGACCGTGTTCCAACGTCATGTTCACCATCTTTGTTGTCGACAAGGCCAAAAGAAGCGGACTCGGCAACTGGGCACATGCATAGTTCATTCGTCCCAATATGGTCATGGTTGCCTCAAGTTTGACATTATCGGAAGGCTTCAAAGCCTGGTATTCTGCCTTTGTGGTTTTCTTCGCGAGTTTTATCGTCTTTTGTACCGATCGAATTGCGTGCACGGGGAGGAGGAGGCGAGTATGGACAAGTTTGCAGTCGAACTCTTTCAGAACCTCAAGGCTGAAATCAATGGCCTCTCGGTATCTTACATTGACGAAGCACAGTATATTAATCTTCACCATGTACAAGCGGAATTTTTCCAGTGCCGTGTAATCATCTCTCTTCAGAATCACATCGCAGTATTCTTCGGCAATCTCAACATTCCCCGTCGCCACTTCCATTTCTGCCCCCATGGTATATGCGTTCAGGGCCAATTCACGATGCTCGTTCCACCTTTCATTGGGTAACATCTCAATAGTCTTCGCTGCATACTTGGCGCCACTGTAAAATGCAGACAGACGCTGTGCTTTCTCGGCCGCCCTCAAGTTGAGTTGCGCAAATTCCAACCGTCCATGAACATTCGACTTGTTGATGAGATTTGTGACAACAAACAGCAAGAGTTCAAGTTTGTCGTCAGGAAGATCATTGAGTAAAGTGAACCCGACTTCAAAGTAAAACGATGATCTTTGAGCTTCTTCCATGTCGAGGGCCGCTTCTTGAACCTTGTCGTGAACCCATCGATAGTATTCTCCGTCCTCATGTTCTACAAAATTGCCTTTTTCGAGTTTTACAAGTAGCGCCATTGTAGGATCCTCCTCTGTCACATTCAGATCCCTGGTACTTGATCCATGCTTTTCCCATAACAGAGCAAGGACGGATGGGTCAAATGTTGATCCAAGACACGCAGCATATTGCATCAGCAACCGCAAATCAGACGACAATTTCTTCATTCGAAGTTGCAGCAAGTCAACAACATTTTCCGTAGACATGGTCCCATCTTCAATCGCCCTGTCGTCCCAGACCCACTTTAGCAATCCCAAGTTAAACGATATCAATTGCTCTTCTTCCAGCATCGCAATGAACTGCACCACAAAGTTTGGGTTCCCCAGAGTGCGCTTGAAGCATGTCTTAGCCAATCCCCGCGTGGCATCTTTGTCATCCATCCCCAACAGTGCCATGATAATTTCGTGTACACCATCCGCATCTAAATTCTTTGGCTCTATATGGGTCATGTCAAAATGGAACTTCTTTTTCTTCTTTTCCAGAGTCTGCAACACAGTCGACAATGTATCCTCTGGATCGACTTCGTCTGAGCGAAATGTCCCAATGATCATCAGTGATTCTTTATTGAATGGATCCGACAGCAAATCTTCAATGACACCCAATGATGATCGATCTGCCCACTGCAAATCATCCAGAATAATTACTAGCGGTGAACAGTGTTGGCACAATACACGAATGAAAACCTTGAAGGCATTCTTCCATTTGGCTTGTTCGGCATCCGGATTGTACAGTTCTTGCACGAGGACACTTCTTTGAGCCAAAAGGAAGTCTGCCGGTGCCAATGTCTCTAAAGCTGGAATCAATGCCGCCAAAAGAGTCCTGTCATCTCCCAGTTCCAACGCTAGCTGTTTCTTCATTTGTTCTGTTTCTCCGTCCGTCACCAATGCGTCCTGATAGAGCTGATTCAACGCATCCACCAGACCAGAGTATGGCTGCGTGCCACTCTCTAGGTTGAATTTCCCCCTTCCAACGATTCCTCTGTCGCTGCCTGATATTTGTTCTTCGACTGTTTTTGTGAGAGAACTCTTCCCCAGTCCGCTCGTTCCTTTGATGACGATTAATTCTTTTATCGTATCGTTTAGCGCTCGATCGCAGCGTTCTTTGAGTATCGTCACCTCTTTATCTCGTCCAACCAGTCCCAAGGCATCATACTTGAGTTTATTGATGGTAAGTTCTTGTATTCTTGGATTAAACGCCGGAGACTTAATGAAAACAAAGGAATTACTGTGGTCGCTTGTTGTCAATAGATCTCTATGGGACTTGAACGCTGAAGAATTATTATGTTCGCTTGTTGACAACATATCTCGAGACGATTTAGTGCTCCGTCGGTCACTGGAATCAATCGTAAAGGTCCCACTGCCGCTGCTCGCTGCCGACCTCATTGACATGGATGTGGAACGTCGCATAGTAGTGGTTTCCTTACTGTTATTCAAAATGTCACGGCTGCTTTCATGATTGGGCTGTCTGCGTAGTCGGAACGACACTGGCGATTTGCGTTCATGCTGATCCATGAAAGACTTGTTGAATATTCAGATGAATGCACGGTAACGTAATTATTTTGTTAGTAGATACGACTGCACCGAGATCATATGAGAGGTGCAGCACAGGTTGCGGAAGTCCGGACGGATGCAGGTTTCTGATACACGATGTGCAACCTCTATATATGCGGTATCATATTTAGTAACTTGTTGCTCACGCGACACCCGTAAGCAATTTTCGCATTCGTAGTTTTTCGCATTATTGACGAACAAAATCCTTTATTTTTATTTGATTATAAAGATGCGTATTTATATTTATGCCTTTCTTAGCAAAATCAAAAGTGTCGAAATATGCCGGTTTTAAATGTATAAAATGGATGAATTAATCGAAAATATTCAGCTTTTTGAGAATTTTAACACTTTTTCACCGTCGCGCAAGGCATTTTTTTTACCAGAACGGATAGTTGAAGTTTGGGGAAGACTGGAGGTGGTATTTCATCGTGTTACAAAGATTCCAAGCCCGCGTCTTGGCACTTTCAATGATACCTCATATCAAGATGAGTTCTTTCGTGGGGCAGGTGTATCTAGATGGGTGCTCAAGAGATCATACCAAATCTTTTTGGTGTCGCAATGCTGGCCCCAACACTTGGATGGTCGACTTCTCTAAATGAAACAAAATTCAAAACTGACTTGACCCTTTCAGCCCATCTACCTTGGCATACGCGCCCCAGTCCTCGTAGAAGCGTATTGCTTCATCCATTCGATATTTTGCTTCTGCTGAATCGTGGAGCTCGTTCAACAAGAAGTCCGAGTACCGTTCATTGGCGAGAGCAGCGTGATTTAGTTGGCCCGTTCTGGCAGCGTACACGATGGTTTCCTGATATAACGATTTAGCCCGATTCGTGTCTTTGTTTAAACCTGCTTGTTCCGCGCTGAGCAGTGTGTAATAGGGATGGGCGTTTGGATTTCCTTGCTTTCTCAACTTTGCCATGAACCTGAGGATTTTAGTAGCGGGTTTTCGGTATATTCGCTTTTTGGTCTTCCTCGCCATAGCGAAGAGAGCGACGCCCCTCAAGAAAGATTCAAATATGCCCATCGAATCCCCTTTGAAATGGTTCCTGTAGGCCCCTCCGATTGTTAGAGAAAGCCTCGCAGCTTCCTCAAAATCACCAAAGTATACCATCGACATATAATTGGCAAGGGACAGCATAGCACGACGATTCTTCGCTTTGATACCGTCCTCGTCACTCAACACCGTATTGGTGCTTATCACTGACGTTTGGTCCGACTCTCCCATCAGATCTGACACTACTTGGCAACCAAGTCTCATTCCATCAGCATGATCGGATTGTTGAAGATCTTCGACCACTCGGAAATAAGTTTGCATATATGCATCGATGGTTTGCAAGCGCATTCCCATTTGTATTGGTATCAAGATGGTATACGATATCAAGCACCAAATGCCGTCGGAATGATTGCCAGTTCGCATGCCTTCCGTGTATCCGTCCAGTAGCATTGGTCGACAACTTGCCAATGGAGATGACCATGGCAAAATAAGGTGATGGGACACCAGCATCGTAGTCGCTACAAAGTGTTTCGATGGTATGGACTTCTGCATCAGAACGCCTGTCTCCGCAAAGTAAGTTGCCGATTGAGCGTCACCCAACGCCGCCAAGCTAACCATGCCCAACAGACATTGAGCGGCTCCAGAAAAGGAGAACAAACCATGCTTCAGTGTCATATTCACCATTTTGGTTGTAGACAAGGCAAGAAGAAGCGGTCTAGCTGACTGGGCACATGCATAGTTCATTCGTCCCAGTATGGTCATGGTTGCCTCAAGTTTGACATCATCTGACGGCTTCAAAGCTCGATACTCTGCCTTGGTGGTCTTCTTTGCAAGTTTTATCGTCTTTTGTACCGATCGGACCACGTGTAATGGGAGGAGGACCCGGTTTTCGACAAGTTTGCAACCGAACTCTTTCAGAACCTCAAGGCTGAAATCAATGGCCTCTCGGTATCTTACATTGACGAAGCACAGTATATTAATCTTCACCATGTACAAGCGGAATTTTTCCAGTGCCGTGTAATCATCTCTCTTCAGAATCACATCGCAGTATTCTTCGGCAATCTCAACATTCCCCGTCGCCACTTCCATTTCTGCCCCCATGGTATATGCGTTCAGGGCCAATTCACGATGCTCGTTCCACCTTTCATTGGGTAACATCTCAATAGTCTTCGCTGCATACTTGGCGCCACTGTAAAATGCAGACAGACGCTGTGCTTTCTCGGCCGCCCTCAAGTTGAGTTGCGCAAATTCCAACCGTCCATGAACATTCGACTTGTCGATGAGATTCGTGACGACAAACAGCAAGAGTTCACGCTTGTCGTCAGGAAGATCATTGAGTAAAGTGTATCCGACTTCAAAGTAAAACGATGATCTTTGAGCTTCTTCCATTTCAAGGGCCGCTTCTTGAACCTTGTCGTGTACCCATCGATAGTATTCTCCATCACGCTCTACAAAGTTGCTTTCTTCCAGCTTTGCAAGTAGCACCATTGTAGGATCCTCCTCTGTCGCGCCTCTGATACTTGACCCATGCTTTTCCCATAACAGAGCAAGGACGGATGGGTCAAATGTTGATCCAAGACACGCAGCATATTGAATCAGCAACCGCAAATCAGACGACAATTTCTTCATTCGAAGTTGCAGCAAGTCGACCACATTTTCCGTAGACATGGTCCCATCTTCAATCGCCTTGTCGTCCCAGACCCACTTTAGCAATCCCAAGTTAAACGATATCAATTGCTCTTCTTCCAGCATCGCAATGAACTGCACCACAAAGTTTGGGTTCCCCAGAGTGCGCTTGAAGCATGTCTTAGCCAATCCCCGCGTGGCATCTTTGTCATCCATCCCCAACAGTGCCATGATAATTTCGTGTACACCATCCGCATCTAAATTCTTTGGCTCTATATGGGTCATGTCAAAATGGAACTTCTTTTTCTTCTTTTCCAGAGTCTGCAACACAGTCGACAATGTATCCTCTGGATCGACTTCGTCTGAGCGAAATGTCCCAATGATCATCAGTGATTCTTTATTGAATGGATCCGACAGCAAATCTTCAATGACACCCAATGATGATCGATCTGCCCACTGCAAATCATCCAGAATAATTACTAGCGGTGAACAGTGTTGGCACAATACACGAATAAAAACCTTGAAGGCATTCTTCCACTTGGCTTGTTCGGCATCCGGATTGTACAGTTCTTGTATCAGACCACTGCGATGGCTCACCAGAAAATCTGCCGGTGCCAATGTCTCTAAAGCTGGGATCAATGCTGCCAGAAGAGTCCTGTCATCTCCCAGTTCCAACGCTAGCTGTTTCTTCATTTGTTCTGTTTCCCCATCCGCCACCAATGCGTCTCGATACAGCTGATTCAACGCATCCACCAGACCAGAGTATGGTTGTGAGCTACTTTCTAGGTTGAATTTCCCTCTTCCAACAATTCCTTTGTCGCTTCCTGATATTTGTTCCTCCACAGTTTTCGTGAGTGAACTCTTCCCCAGCCCGCTCGTTCCTTTGATGACGATTAATTCTTTTATCGTATCGTTTAGCGCTCGATCGCAGCGTTCTTTGAGTATCGTCACCTCTTTATCTCGTCCAACCAGTCCCAAGGCATCATACTTGAGTTTATTGATGGTAAGTTCTTGTATTCTTGGATTAATCTTGTGTGGATGCGCCACCAACGAACTCGGTTCGACAACTGACACGATGCCTTGAGGAATTTGGACCTTCCGTCGTTCATTGGAGCGAACTGTTGCTGGCGAAGCAATGGGACTGTTGCCGCCGCCACTTGAGCGCATCGATATGGACATGGTGGAGGAACGTGACGAGGCGTCTATGTGCTGCATCATGTCACGACTGTCACCACCGGTCGAAACTGATTCCATTCCCTGCTTGTCAATCCCATCAGGCCGTCTTCGTAACCGGAACGACAATGGTGGTTTGACTTCATGGTGATCCATAAAGCGCTTTAGAATACTCAGATATACAAATGAATAAGGTCAATCACTCTCGCATTGCATACATTTTATGCTATATCTTGCGAAGAAAAATTCAAATGACGAACCGGTTTCTGATCTTATTTGATCGGACGTACGACAGACGACGTGCCGTTTTAACTCATATCACTACAAACCAAAGCGTTGTTTTCAGGTGCGAAATCACCACCAGATTACTACCGTAGTGATCGGATAGCTAAAATAATCGACAAATTTGAGAATTTTTGGCTTTGAAATTTTCCCTTTAAGTAGTCATTTGTCAATTTTGACGCCAATAAGTAGAGGTTTTCGACTCCTTGAGAAATGAACAAAAACCCTAAGTAAATATTTGAAGAAAATAGTGCACGTGCCTCCTCAACTGGTAAACGTTCGCAATTGCAGCCATAAAAATCGCAGAATGCGTTTCCTTTTTAGCGAAGTCAACTTATGTGCTGTGTGACTACTTTTAGTATGTTTCTACACAAAAAATCTGAGACATTCGGCAGTGAGGATTCGAGGATTGCCCGCCACTTGAAAAATCCTCACTGCCGAATGTCACAGATTTTCCCAAAAATGGAGTCCGACAACAGCACCAACCCAATGTCATCTCCTGCTATCAAGAATTGCAATAGAATGATACGATCTCAAACAATATGCATCTAATTGGTGTTTTGAACCATTCTGTTTCAAACAAAGTGTCAATTTTGGCCCTTTCGCCGCCCAACAAGATGGATTTTGGAGTTTCTCTGGTGCTCAGCACTCATCACCGCTTGTTTTCAAGGGTATGTTCGACTAGTGATGTTGCATCAAGAATGGATAAATTGCAATGCGCTACGGGAAATGAATACTCTGCAAGTCCTTCTATTGGCAATATTGCATCCATGCACCAATCAACCAACCGAAGTGAAGACTTTTGGGAAATTTCTGGATTCAAATGAGACTCTGAGACTCGTATTGTGTGACAGTCGACCCTGTGTGCTCAAGCGACGACCTAGCAAGTCATGGTAGGTTCTAATTATGTCAATTATTACTGCTGGAACGCGACTCGCGCTCTTGCTTGCCTTGGTGTCACATTTACGGTTAGCAAGTTGACATCTACTGTGTCATGAAACCAAACAAACAAAATCAAAACGGTTTGCTTTCGACCCAGCATGGCAAGAGGAGGGAACTTTCTTAATTCTTTTACTCCACGACCTAAGTATGGTACCACCGAAGGATATTATCTGGGTCGGAGGCAAGCATGTAAGTGATTTGACCGACGGTTGGATGACTATTTGAAATCTGAATGGCTAACAATTCAAAAGCAGAATCAATTTCAGGTGGAAAGGGTGACAAGAGGAGCGAACTTTCCAATTCGTTCACACTAGGACTGAAGTATGGTATTATTGAACGATAATATCTGGGTTGGAGGCAAGAATGTAAGTGACTTGACCGACGGTTGGATGACTATTTGAAATCTGAATGGCTAACAATTCAAAAGCAGAATCAATTTCAGGTGGAAAGGGTGACAAGAGGAGCGAACTTTCCAATTCGTTCACACTAGGACTGAAGTATGGTATTATTGAACGATAATATCTGGGTTGGAGGCAAGAATGTAAGTGACTTGACCGACGGTTGGATGACTATTTGAAATCTGAATGGCTAACAATTCAAAAGCAGAATCAATTTCAGGTGGAGAGGGTAACAAGAGGAGCGAACTTTCCAATTCGTTCACACTAGGACCGAAGTATGGTATTATTGAACGATAATATCTGGGTTGGAGGCAAGAATGTAAGTGACTTGACCGACGGTTGGATGACTATTTGAAATCTGAATGGCTAACAATTCAAAAGCAGAATCAATTTCAGGTGGAGAGGGTAACAAGAGGAGCGAACTTTCCAATTCGTTCACACTAGGACCGAAGTATGGTATTATTGAACGATAATATCTGGGTTGGAGGCAAGAATGTAAGTGACTTGACCGACGGTTGGATGACTATTTGAAATCTGAATGGCTAACAATTCAAAAGCAGAATCAATTTCAGGTGGAGAGGGTAACAAGAGGAGCGAACTTTCCAATTCGTTCACACTAGGACCGAAGTATGGTATTATTGAACGATAATATCTGGGTTGGAGGCAAGAATGTAAGTGACTTGACCGACGGTTGGATGACTATTTGAAATCTGAATGGCTAACAATTCAAAAGCAGAATCAATTTCAGGTGGAGAGGGTGACAAGAGGAGCGAACTTTCTAATTCGTTCACACTAGGACCGAAGTATGGTACCATCGAACGACAATACCTGGTCCGGAGGCAAGAATGTAAGTGACTTGACCGACGGTTGGATGACTATTTGAAATCTGAATGGCTAACAATTCAAAAGCAGAATCAATTTCAGGTGGAGAGGGTGACAAGAGGACAAAACTCCTTTAATTCTTTCATACCACAACCAAAGTATGGTACCATCGAACGACAATACCTGGTCCGGAGGCAAGAATGTAAGTGACTTGACCGATGGTTGGATGACTATTTGAAATCTGAATGGCTAACAATTCAAAAGCAGAATCAATTTCAGGTGGAAAGGGTGACAAGAGGACAAAACTCCTTTAATTCTTTCATACCACAACCAAAGTATAGTACCATCAAACGACAATACCTGGTCCGGAGGCAGGAATGTGAGTGACATGACCGTCGTTTGGATGACTATTTGAAATCTGAATGGCGGAAACAGAACAAAGAGATAAAAATGGGTCCCGGAGTTTTCTAACAAATGCTAGTGCACTGGTCAATCTAACACCTCTCTTGTAACTAATAAATATATAGAGAAAGGATTGGGAGAGTACTTTGGGGGTTTAATAGTCTAGAAGTACAGGGATCTCGGTCTGGGCATGTGGTGAATCGAATTTCTCTCATCATCAGCAACTTGTTCTGATGAGATGTCGATGATCTCACAACTGCTCAGACATCGTGAACCCTTATCATCTTTTGTTCTAGGTCTATGGTGATCGGTTTTGGACATTGTTTTGTAGATCTTGGGAAGAAGTTAAATGCTGGACTCAAGATCTACGACTCCACGAAAACAGCTTTGTTCCTATGATGAGCCAAAAGACGCGTTCTCACCTTTGAAATGACATAGATTTCCAGATCACGAGGCCTGGATCTATTAAGGTTACATAACTAATAACTATCACGCACAGGAATAGAATGATTTGTAACCAGAATAGTGCCGTTTTGACCAAGACTCGGACATAGACCTTGGTTTGGGAATGTCATGGTGGTTTTCCTCGTTTCCCGTCTATCCAAGGCCACTATTTCCGAATCTAAATGCATGAGTGTCTAATCTATGTACATATAAGAAAGGGCGCATGGTCAAATACCAATATTTCTTACCGCAACATGGTCGTTAGTTACACAACTTGGATCTAGGCCCTGGGTATTGGAATTTAGGATCGAATTGATCGGATTCAAGGTCATTGTGGTACCCGGCATGCGCATTTCTACGAGCTTGTCGTTCAATTCCTACCAGGAATGAAAACCAAGTTTCAAGTCAAAAATCACAATTTTCTGACATCCAGCCATTTTCCAGCATGCATACCACACACCACACAACCCTGATGGAAATAATAGGTACAGTATCAACATAGTGTAGCGATGTTTTGATGCATCAATGAATGGGAAGAGGCGTATGGGAAATAACAGATAATAGTGTTTCCAATGGATCATTCAAAGAAGCAGAAGAAGAACAAAACGAAGGTGAGTCTCATCATTGCACTGTTTGTCTCATTCGATGTTCTTATCCTTGATCATTTTGCTCACCACTCTTTTGCTTTTGCGACGATTGAAGGCTGTTCAAGAAGAAGTTCAAGAAGAAGTCCAAGGTAGAGTACAGTGTGCTAGCGTGATGGATCAATTGCACGAGGAGATGACACAATACAACGTAAGTCAGAGTCTATCAGACTGATTGAATCAATAATCCAAGTCTCGAATTCTCTTCTAATCATATTTTGTCTACTTCAGAATCAACAGGGAAGGTCAAGAAGTGATAGCATCAATGTCACCCTTCAAAATCCTGCCGAACGGCTTGCAATACAACCGGAATAGAGAGGGATTGGGACGGGAGTGGCTTGTGACTCCAATCCATGTGTAGAACATGGAACAGCGATGACGAAGTGGTTGCTTTCCAATTGCGAAATTGAAGGTTTCAAATCAAGCTAGATAGGTACTAGATGCCTCGAGCAGAGCCATGAACGCACTATGAATTGCATTGCTTTAACTACTATTAATCGATACAAATGCTTGTACTAAAAACGTTGCTACAGACTCAAATCATTATTAGCCGCGCATTGGTTAGAAAAGAAGCGGTTATTTGGTATTCCGATAGCCGTTAATTTCGGTGGTCGCATGTAGAAGCGCTTTTGGCGAACTTGGTGTCGTTAAGTAGAAAAAAGGAGAATGTCGCTGTTGTAATATGCATCCCAATAACTACCAATGAGTTATATGCTTTTGAGACCCTTCTTGTGATATTGGAACCGATCGCTACACGAAGAACATAAAACTCTCCCTCACTTATGGACGGGATATTTACCAGGAAGCACCACTTATGGCGAGCCAGCATCGCCGATCAAGTTTTCCTGTTGTTCTACGGTTGTAATCCCGGTGCCAAATCGCTACATGATGGTTTGTAGTGATTGGAATGGTTGAAAAAGCCTTTCTGTTTGACCTATTCGACGCATTCGACCGAAGTTTTAGACGGCGAAAAACCTCGCACACGACCCAAATATACTTCGAAAAAACGATAAGTCGTCGCCAAACGTGACACGATTTCAGGTTTTCCAGAACCGCATGCAACGGCAGATGAGGCAGATCTTTTTCTCTCACAGAACGACAGAAGGGGTAGCCCACGACCATGACGCTTCGAAGAAGCACTCGCCAACGCAATCCCACACAAAAGCCAGCTCCAGCTCCCGCACCAGCTCCCGCTCGTACCAAGCGCAAGGCAGCACCCAAGAAAAAGAAGGCAGCGCCCGCTACAAAGAAGAAGACCAAGCTTACCAAGTTGAAGTCACTCAAAACAAAGCAAGCTGAATTTTCTCTGGAAGATGTCGTGGTGGATCCTCAAGCCAGTCTAGGACACGTCGTGGTCTGTAAGACTCCTGATGACGACGAAGTTCCCACCGATGCCATGCTGGCACTGGTAAATCCAGCCAAGAACTCGGACAAGTTCTATATCCTTCAGTTGGTGGAGGAGGAAAATGTTGACAATAAATTCCATCTCTACATGCGCTGGGGACGTACTGGAACATCTGGACAAGCTCAAATAGAAGATTTTGATGACTTTGACAAGGCATATGCAGCCTTTGACGAGAAATTTAAGGCCAAGACCAAACTTCCATGGGCAGAACGCCAAGAAGCTGCTGCTCAAGATGAAACTCACTACCATTTTGTTGGTCACAACATGTTCAATATGGACGAACATTATGTGAGTTCTGCGGGCCAAGACAATGCCTCTGAGGACAATCCCAAGTGGCAATACTGGGTAGGCGATGGTGTCGATGGCAAGGAAGATGGCTGGTACGACTACGATGCTACTGGAGGAGCCCAAGTCGAACGTCTATGGCGAGAGTTTCAGAACCTCTTGGCATCCACTCAACAGCAACACGAAGCTACCTATGTGGCTGTCCGGATTGTAGCCAGTGGTGTCTGGAACTATGCTGTCGATTTGGTGAATATGACCCAAACCAATGTGACTCATGCCAATCACACACAACGTTTCATTCGTCGTTTTACTGGTGGAGATGACAACGGACCACCGGCTGCGGTGACATCCACAGCACCAGTCGTCCCAGTGACTCCCTCGTCTTCCAACACTACGACCAACTTGAAGACGCCTCCAGTCACTACTTCCTCTTCCGCTGCTGCAGTCATCACACCTGCCCAACGAAATCTCTTTTCCACTCCTAAGCAGTCCGCTGGTCCTCCCGTGGATGATTTGATCAGTGTCGTGGGCAAGAACGCTTCCGACTATACAGTGGTCGAATCTGGTGAGAATCCAGGGACTTGGTACGATGTTGTCTTGAATCAGTGCAACATCGGGGGAAACAACAACAAGTACTATCGACTCCAAATGTTACAAGAGATTAGTACGAAACAAATTTACGTGTGGTTCCGTTGGGGGCGTGTTGGTGAAATGCCAAGGTCCAGTACTTCGACTTGGCTGGGACCTTTTGATGACGAAGAAGGCCCCGCTTTCAAGGCCTTTACCAAGAAATACCGTGACAAGACTGGCAATGTCTTTGGCGCTACCGATTTCAAACCCAAAAAGGGCAAGTACACACCAATCGAAGTCGATCACAATGTGGAAGTTACCGACGAAGCCTTGGACGCGGCATCTGCGGCCAATCAAAAGAATGCTGTGAAGACTGAAGAAGTCGAGTATTTACCCAGCAAATTGGACAATACAACAAAGGATTTGATTCAAACTCTCTTTTCCAAAGAAATGCGCAACGAAGCACTATCGAGTTTTCAAATCGACTTGAAACGATTGCCATTGGGAGTCCCGTCGCAGGCCCAAATTCAAAGTGGTATTGACGTGTTGACGCAAATTGAAGAAAAACTCAATGATCCTTCCAGCCAAAGCGACTCGTTTATGGAGCTGTCGTCTCGATTCTACACCACCATTCCCCATTCGTTTGGACGATCCCGTCCTCCCGTGATTGGAGACAAGGAATCCTTGCAGAGCCGCTACGACATGTGTAACATTTTGATGGACATGTACTCTACTTCCGAAACCCTTCGCAAAATTGAGGCGGAAGAAAAGAAGGCAACTGCTGTCAAAAAGGTCCTTCCCAGCCCAGTCGACCAACATTATGAATCCCTTCATGCGGATTTGGGGCTATTGGACAAAATGTCCAAGGATTTCCAAGTCGTCAATCAATACTTTGAAGCTACGAAGGGGTCTCACTCGTCCGCCAAGTTGTTGAATGTGTGGTCAGTGAACCGTCATCAGGAAGATGAGCGATTCCAGGAACACGACAAGCTGGGCAATCGTTGTTTGTTCTGGCATGGTACCAACATTGCCGTGGCGGCTCCCATTTTGACCTCTGGATTGCGCATCATGCCCCATTCGGGTGGACGAGTCGGAGCTGGAATCTATTTGGCCAATCTACAAGAAAAAAGTGCTCAATATACGAGTGGATATGGTGCCAAGTATGCCTGCATGTTTTTGTGCGAGGCTCCTCTGGGCAAACAGCACACGGTGGATCAAGATGGTCCCCATGCCTCTGGATTAAAAGCAGCTCCAGCTGGATTTGATTCGGTCCATGCTGTGGGACGCATCCAACCAAAAAAGTTTACCAATTTGAAATTGGATGGAAAGACGGTCAAGGTTCCTTGCCAAGAGCCACAAGACGGAAACAAGAAGTCTTCATTTTATCATGACGAACTATTGGTCTACAAGGAAAGTCAAGTCCGTCTTCGATATGTCATTACGGTCAAACTCTAAATAAGAGACGAATCAATGCATCAAATTTCAATAAATTAAATCGTTTGTAGCATAATTGTTCTCGAGAACACGTCTGCAGACGAAACAGTGATTGGCTTCGTTCGTCTTGGCCAACCAATCAAAAGGCTCTTACATTATGCAGGTGCAATTTTTAGTGGGTTTTCAGCCAATGAGAGTTAGTCAAATCACTAAAAATCAACCCATTTTTAGTGGTCTGAACCAATCACAGCGGGCCATTCTCTAAAAATAGACAATGTCCACTAAGTTAGTACTCGTCATTACTTGCAAATGATGATTATACTGTAGAGGGATGGTACCTGGTACCGTAGGCCCAGGCTAGATACGGCCCTGCCACTCTGCCATTGTATTATAAAGCACTGTCGCACCTTTTTTAATGAGTCACCTTACCACTGGATTACGAGCTAGCGATACAGTTACCCTATGATCACTTCTAGCTGCTCTGAAGAACGGGTGTGGCAGCCACAAAACCGAATTGACAAGCGCTACAGCATGAGGTGACGGATACGCCCATCTGTAGAAACTTCGTTTTCAATCTTCTATTTATATTATAGATTAATTTCTATCGTTTCAGTGTCACTTATGGTAGCATGCCCCTGTAAGAAACTGATAACAACTGCCATAGTTGCTAGTAGTAGGTGTCACTTCACCTTTGGAATCTAATCATTGTCTCAATTCCGTGCACCAAGGCCTTGTTGATTGTTTTCTCGTCAGAATAAACCCATCCCCTGTGACCATACGGTAGTAAACTGTCGTAGCGCGGCCTTATGGTGGAAACTTGGCCATCAAGGAACCCAGCAAGAGTTTGCCTCTGTTTTCGCCTTTGCATCTTACTCAAAAAACGGTTGATTATTGCATTTCTTCAATCATGTAATACACATGTAGTCTCTTTGGCGGCGAGCTTGTGCCTGGATTTGGTCCTTCCTCACCTTGCTTGATTCCCAAAATATTGAGTCCATTGACGACGCAAAATCTGACTACCATCATCAATGACGTCAACTTCTGCGCTGCATATCTGGAAATGTTCGTGACCTCAAATTCAGAGTGCGATAAATCTCCGATTTCTGATTGGATCTGCGATATGAAGGCACAGATGATGTTATTAGAGGTGCTCGAACGTCATTTCAAAAGTTTCAGAGGCATCGGTCAACATACATCAAACAATCATTGTTACCTTGTTCAAAATCCGTCAAAATCCTGGCTAGAGCCAGGGTCATAGAGCATATATTCTTGCGACGGTATGCATGAGGCCAGTGCTGTGTTGTAAAGACACTTTATTGCAATCCTGTTGCTTTCTCCTCTTTTCTTTTCTTTCCTCTTCGTTTTCTTTTCTTTCCTTTTTCTTCCTCTTCCCCCTTCTTTTTCCCCGGGGGATTTAGTATAAATAGTTGCACCAGCATAGTATAAAAGCCAATCAAAATGGTATCTTTGTGAAGCTGGTTTTAGCAAAAGAAACGGTCATTTTGTGACGTTCCAGTAAGATCCATCAATTTTCGACTCAAAAACAGTCATTTTTGATCGCGTTTTCATTTTCCAATGAAAGCGATGGTGGGCTTCATTCCTCTACCGCTTCAAAAAATATTAGCTCTCCTCAGCTTCATCAACAGCCATCGCTTCAGATACAGTGCTACAATAGCGGTCACCAAAGAATGTCAGTGGTGCGTTTTGTCTGTAGTGCTCGGGCACCTCAATCACAAAGTCACGAAGCTCAGTCAGAAGCGTATTGCAATCATCATCCATGAGCTTGGTGTATCCAAGACCGGTGAAGATAACACAGGGCGCTCTCTCTTCATTAGAAATGCAAGAACGTAATGCCATATCACCGCTTTGGGCTAAACCACTTTCCATCTCGTTTCCACCAATGGCAAATACAACCGCAGGCCAATCAAATGCCACCTCTGCTCTTCTGAACTCTTCCTGTTCCGCCTCTGTAAGAAAGTACAGTGGTGTAATTTTGTGATGTGTTGCGGCATTGGACAATGGCTGGAAGGTATGCAACGAGTCTCCAATCCGATTCTTATCTTGTCCCGCAAGGGCCGTGAACTTGTCGGACCCTAAACGAACGGGGATCAACCAGTCAATGCCCTTGCGGCCATCATCTACGACAATTGCAGCGGTTCGTCGATATGCACAGCGCAATAGATCTGGTGTGATTAGTTTGTCGGAGCCTTTTGAACGCGACAAATACACAAAGTGCGTAAAGCATACCACGCCATCGAATGCGGATGCTTGAAATAAATCCTGACTTTGCTTCTGATCGGTGCCGCGAACGAACTCGGACAGAAAAGTACGGAGCTTCACTTCCACGACAGCGGGACGGTGCTGATCTTCAGACCCTTCTGAGGCAGAGACCTTGCTCTCGGTCTTGGTTCTGACCATGGCTCGGTCCATGGCCAAAATATTCAACAAACGAACAATGAATTCACCTCTGTGCCCCTTCGGGACGGCTCCGGACAGAAAATACTGCTTCAACGTAGGCAGCCCTTTGTGGAGAAAACCAATGCCGCTCGTAGTGTCAGTTTTGACATCATACCCTTCCAGATAATACGGCTTTGCTGCGATCGAAAGAATTGGTTCCGAAGGATACGATACCACAAGATCCTCCCGGCTTTCTGAAAGCTTGACGGCAGTACCCATGTGACTTGACACCAGCGTTGATGCCACCATGGAAATAGGAGATATCGTCAAGCACACTCGACATGCAAACAATGCCAGAATTTGCGACGCATTCAGGTCTTTTGACTCCGTGATTTTTGAGTCTAGCAGCAGCTTTTTAGTCGCAAGGTCAAGAAGAAAGGAGGTGCTCCCCCCCTCATTCGACAAATATGCCTTCCACAGGGGTCGTCCCATGGAGAAAAGGTTGACGGGCTGGTGGCACTCTTCGCAGCTCATCCCCAGGAGTTTTTCGCAGCTGTTCCAAGGCAAACCTAGGGTATGGTGCAAGAGATAGGTGCTCATCGGTTCTCTTGCATCGTCGTCTGCTGTCGGTTTGTAGGATGCATCAAGCCGCCTGTGAGGAATGGTTTGAGTAAGCGATGAAAAAGTGCCAAGAATGACGAAAAAGCACTTGTCGTTCACCGACTTGTATTCGACCATCGCCTTTCGCATGCACCGGAAAAACGAAATATCATCGTTTGTTAGCCTTTGTAGTAACTCCGAGGCTTCGTCGATCACAATCAAGACGCTGCCATTAGACTCGGCTTGTGTTCTAGTGCGTTTCGTAGAGGATTGTGTGAGCTCAGAATCCTTGAGTTCAAAAGATGTCGCTTCTTCAACTGATTCAACTGCTGAGCGAAACAAATTGACAAAAGCGCTCTGTACGATTTTCGTTTCCTTTTGTGCCAAGCCAGCTTGCATTGTCACGTTATTCGTGGGGTACGCTTGTTTTGAAGCAAATGATATATAAACCACGCGACGTGCCTTGCCGTGACCTTGTTGTCGCAGTTCCATAAGTAGCCTCGATTTGCCATAGAATGGCAAAAAATGGAAAATATTTCGCTTCGATCTTCTCATACAAGTCTTCCTGCGAGCTAAGGTGGTTCCAGAAGCTGTCTGTCAAGTTGTTATCTCGAAACGGAATTTGAAACGCCCTTTTCGCCCTATCAATGTCAACAACAAGCGATGAAACAGTCGCAGTGTTTTTTTTCTGTCATTGTGCAACTTCAAAACTGTTTCGCACATTTTCATAATAAACGAATGTGGCACTTTAAAGACTTTTGGTTCCAGGTGTTCAACTACACTTCCAAAAATATTATCAATGACCAGCTCCTTACCAAGGTCATCTTTATGAGTATGGAATGAATGCAAAAGGGCATTGGCGAAGTCCGTTCGAAAATTCGGTTGCTGAGGAGAAGTGTGTTGCTTGAAAGACCTAATAGCTTCTTTTTCAGATAGGACTTTTTGGATGATCGCCTCCATTCCGCGACGTTTTGAGTAGATTGCACGATTCTTGATTGATTCTTGGGCTATCCATTGCTTGGAGTTTCAATGCTCTTAGTGTTTGTGAGATTGAATTGATTGTTCTTTTTCGTTTGGCGCTTGGTATGCGCGGTTTTCGCGTCTATGGGTCGTCCGATACGTCTTTCTGTCGCACGTGAACGAGCGAAGGATCGACTCTCCATACAGCTCCCGTAAAAAAGGCGTAGCCCTGGTACAAAAGTGACGATCGCATCGATCGAGTCGGATGGTATTTGACTAAATCGACTACACCTCCACCGAAATTCTGGAACAGGCAACGCCGGATGTGCTGGAGCGGCAATCATACCGTTGTTCGAGTTTTGTTGCTCCTAGAATGAATGACTTCATAGCCGAAGGACTCTATATTATAATGTAGCATATTAATTGATTGTAAACCGTTTACTATAAACGCAACTAGCAGTTTTTAATTATCCATGTCGGCCCTTCCTATAGAAGCAACCTCGAGGACGATAACCAAAATATCCATTTCCCCCCTTCTAGCCGGCGTATTCTCTCCTTGAAGTATCGGGTCGACAGCCGTCTTGGTGTATTTTGGAATCCTACATGTCAACCAATGGAGGGCCTCGTGCACTACTTCACGCCCAAACAACGAAAAATAGAAAAACATCACAATCATCATGATTTCTATCAAACTATTTTAGGTCTTTCCAAGATATGCCTGGGCATTGTTACTTCATCTCATTCACCATACTGGAAGGATAATTTTCATCGCCGTCTCATTGCCGGGGCAGGGCGTTGAAGGATGTGCCATGTAGGCCCTTGCCAGAATCATCGCCTATTTTGGGAAGAACTTCTTCTTCCTCTTGATGTAGCTCGAAAAGGAGTCGAAGAGGATGTGCCCCAAGGTCCTATCACCGTGCACAATAAGGCATCGTGATTCTTCCAGAGGCTGTACGTCCCTGAGTATGGCTCCTCTCATCAGCGTTCTTGGAGTGAAATACACTGCATTATTTTATTGTCTTGGGTGTTAGAAATATAAAATAGGACGACTATCTTCAAAATAATCATTCAGATGCGAGTCATTAACTCTGCATTGTCCATGCGACCAATCAGGTCTACATGCACTGATGACTATCTACTTCAGTTCCATAACTATAGTATCAACTATTCTGCACTCAATCAAAGTTGCAACAACAATCAATCTAGATGGTTTACTGAAAAGAATGAACAATTCTTTTCACTACGTTATTGGTTGGTCATCGCGTCAATTCACTTTCACCAAAGAATCTGGAACCTCAAAAACCTCAGTCAAATATTATACCGCATATAATATCTAACACGCTCCTTCGTCCAAGTGGCTCAACATCCATCAGCCGCATCATCACTTCACTGGATGATATGTGTCCTTCCGAAAATGGTCTTGTTGACGCCTTGCTTGAGACGACACTTTAAAAATGAATAGCTGTATTTCCGAGAGCAATGAACACCAAGTTCGCTCCTTGATTTTTAACCTTCAGAGTGAGCCTTCGTTCAATACTTTCGGCAATAGAAAATCCAATCTCCTTCAAAGAACCGAAGATAACCCCCTGTTAGAAATAGAAAATAGGACGACTATCTTCAAAATAATCATTCAGATGCGAGTCATTAACTCTGCATTGTCCATGTGACCAATCAGGTCTACATGCACTGATGACTATCTACTTCAGTTCCATAACTATAGTATCAACTATTCTGCACTCAATCAAAGTTGCAACAACAATCAATCTAGATGGTTTACTGAAAAGAATGAACAATTCTTTTCACTACGTTATTGGTTGGTCATCATCGCGTCAATTCACTTTCACCAAGGAATCTGGAATCCCAAAAACCTCAGTCAAATATTATACCGCATATAATATCTAACAATTATTGGGATGAAACATCAAACGATATCCAGTGACTTCTACCCACGATAAAGTATGTTTATGCAGTGAGAGGACGTACAGACGTTACCGTATATGGGGATACGGGATACGTTTCCGCCGGTCACTACAGGTCTGAGTGTCATTGTCAAAGTAGGATACACCGATCGTTGGAAGATAATACCATCATTGATACACTACACAATATCCTTGCGGTTAGACTGACTACAATAGTAGGAGAAGACGAAGATATCCCCATAGAAGACAAACGAGATTTGAATCATCATCACCAATCGTCTATCTATCGAGTCATCCCCCATCACGAGCATTTCCAAGAAGGAGCAGGCACCATGAGTCCGTCCGAGAATGAATATGAAGAAACCATTGCAAACTTAAAGCAAGAGAAAGAAGACCTCGAGAAGCAGGTCAGCATGCTGAATGAACGGAACAGGAACCAGGCAATGTTGCTGAAACGATTGGACAGTGCCCGGCAAACCGATCGAACTGAATACGAAGCTCAGATATTGGAGTTGAAAGAAGCCTTGTCACAAGAACGAATCAAGACTAGAAGAGCTGCCAACTTTCAAAATGGTCCCTGGTCTCCGTCCGCCTCACAACGATCCGTCATGGCACCAATCACATCACCCAGACAAACAACGCAAAGTGAAGGGGATCCTCGACAGGTTTCCCTAGATGATCGTAAGAGCTGGAAAGATTCGACCGGAAGTCTAACCTCATCCGGTAGTGATCGATTGGGCAACACCGCACAAGTTCAGAGTGCTTTGCTCGGTGCTGCCATGAAACAAAAGCAACGCAAGCAGAACAAGGGTGGCTTTTGGAGTCTGTTTGGGAACGACAACCATAACGAAGATACCGAAAGCGAATCGGCCAAACGGGATGCTGCGATTCTGAAAAATAATGAAGAGAGCCGCACATCGATACTGACCAAAGAAATCATGCAAGCGCTGGAAGAAAACAAGCGTGTCATTGTGGAACGAGAAGAGGAGCTCTCGGCACGAGAAGAGGTCCAACGCGTGAAGGAAGAGGCCATTCGCAAGAATCAGCAGCGCCGAATGTCTGAAAAAATGAGCTCCAGTTTTGGATTGCTTAGTTTTGGTAGCGACAATATTGACGAAGACGGGGATAACGTCAGGGCACCTACAACACCAGATCAGGTGAATATGATGAACATCAGCAAGCTTCGAGATTCGGATTTATTGGACGTGGATACACTACGGCGACTCATTGCGGACCGAACCGCAGGTATGAAAGAAGAAGACATGACCGATAAGACCAGCATTGTGGTGGGTAGGGAAGAAAAAGAAGATGGCAGTGAGAGCGAGTACGATCCTGAAGGGGATGACGAGCTAACAGCAGCCGCTGAAGACTGAGAGTGGACAGGGGCAAGGGGAGAAAGGTTACAAGAAGACAATCCGGTTTACATGGAGACGACAGACACATGGCCTAAGTTTTTCCTTCAATCTTAGGGGAATGGTTGGGGTACTATTGTAGGCAGCACAGCAAACTACACTTTGCATCACTTGACAAACATTGTCCCTTTGTCACCACTATGTCCAGCTATTTTTTGTGACTAGTATGCTGATGCCTACGTGATGCCTACAACTGTGGGGACAACCGACGAGTCGATTAGTGGAATACTATGGGATCCATCACTGGCACCATCTTCGTGGCGCATACTTTAAGACGCAGTACTACCATATAAACTTTTACATGAAACGAATCTGATCAATCACCCACACAAACATACACACGGAGGAGCATTATTTTCGAAGCAAATCTTTCCAGTAGTTACAAATTATGATGCAAATTTACCTTTCCGTAGACTGCGAATGTGGATACCATGCTATTAGGCTCGTTCCAATGATGTTGCCTCATCGATACTAGTAGGCAATCATCAAAGTCCTTTCATGTACTCTAGATCAGGAAAGGCAACGGCTTATTGTGGTATCAATTTCTATACAAGAGGATCATAGTGCGAATCAGGGAATAAACTGAAAACATCTCGTCAATGGCATTAGCCACATAGGATTGCCATGGATGTCCATCGAAGGAGACGAAGAAGAAGATTATTTCCACTATCTTACATCATGCATCATGCATGCTTGAAATCCCGAATTTGTTTCTGCACCACGTAGTCGCGTTCGGGATCAACGGACGACGGCTGGATGGAGGCAATAGGGCTCTCATTTCGCTGGCATCCGCAGCTGGTCAGAAGGTTACTTTTTTAGCTTCAGTTACGTCAGCCAACTGATCATGCAGCCTCGTTAATTGAATCAATCAGCAGATTATTCTTTGAAAACTGTTTGATTTAGTAGACAGAGCTGACCATCTGGCTGCTATAAATGAATTTCAGATGCGTTCTTTCTAGTCAACGTACGAAGGACAGGGAAGAGACGGAGTTGTGTGACGACAGACAAGAGAGAAACTCATTCTTTTTTCAATCGATCGACGAGAGCGTCGAACGGTTGTTGCAGTTTGTTGGTGTTGTAGTTTACAACAGATCCACAGCTTTCACGGCCAGAACCGCCTCTTTAGATTCTTGATACAGAGAATCAAAAGAGATAAGCAGAGTTTGCGTTGTCGTGTAGCCAAAGGTCCCAAATCGAACCACCAAAGATTGACACTAGATTTTGAAGCGGATTTTCTCTGAGGTATGTGTTTTGACTCGTTAAATGAGCGTTATTTACCGTAGAACCCGGATCTATAAATCCTCCTTCAAGAAGGAACTTTGTTCTTCACCGGTACTCGCAACGACACGACATACGTACCAGAGGCCGATCTTTGGATTTTGAACGAATGAAATTGGTTCATAGGGGAGGTCGTCACTTGAACGTTGAAATTGAAGAGATATAATATAAAAAGAGACGGCCGATTGATGTTGAGCATTGGCCTTTAGACAAAAGGAAAACTATACAGTCTTTCTCACCTTTTGTCTGTGTTTTCCTTTCTGATACTGCTTGTTGAATCAATCTATCGTTTTGGTTTTTCATTGTTCATTGGATACTTTTCATCGCTGGTTTAAAACCCTTTCGCGAAGAAATCTCAACGAAGAATCCATTGAAAGAAAAAAAGAAGATCAACCAAGCAAAGGAGAGTTTCGCTTTTTAGTTATCAGAGAAGACCTGCAACTGCATTGTATTGCTGTGCCAGTTTTTGAAGATTCAGGAGGTTATGCAATTGTTAGTTCCTCCATTGGAGGACAGCAGCGTAGGAGATTTTGGATCCAACAAGACAACCGACTCCTCCTCGCCTCTTTCTCCCAGATCTCGTTCTGTCATGTCGCAAGGCCTTCAAGACAAGTTCGAGACCATGACACAAGCCTGGGATCCATCCCGTGCTACTGCTGCGAAACGATCGGAATCTCCTGAAGAGGAAGGAGAAGATTCTTCTCACCACGACCACCACCAAAACAAGAAACGTAAAATCGCTATTGACACTGCTTTTGCCATTGAATCCGAGATGCAAAAGTGGCAACGTGGAATTGCCGAACTCGAAGCCATGTTGGAGCAGCCTCCCAGCGATGATTTGGAGAGGGATTCACCAAGCTCGTCCTCCAAACGGGATGCACGCGCTAGGCCTCCTGAAGTCGTTCGATTCCCATCACTGCCTCCTGTTATCCCTGCCGAAGAGGGTGACTTTGAAGAGAGCTGTAGTAATAGTGAAGATGATGAAGATGAGGATGAGAGCCAACAGAACGAAGCTACTGATGGTTATGATGACGAAGGCAGTGAAAAGGAACGGGAATAAAAAAAGAGAAAGAAGCAGCATGTATCACATTCCTTTTGTTGACTAAGTTTTGTGATATTAGAATTCAGAATTGTTTCATTACTATTATGTGCTCTTTATGTCTCTTAGCCTTGTTATATTGTTGCTAGCATATCTCTGATGTTTTTCAGCCAAGTACTCTTTCGCCCAAAACGAAAATGGACCGTCAAAATTATATATACCTAGAGTATTTCACAGTCGCGGCAATTCCAAATCTTTGCGATTCGACTTGTGGTGGTGGCGGTGCCTAGTAGGACCCAAAGTAGTCCATGCTTCATTCAGCCACATCCTTCCTTCTATTTTCCAGGGGGACATTCCTACTATTCGAATCTGAAATGCAAAAATGCCTGGCTTTGAAAGGAGCATGCTCTTTATGGAATATACCAGAATCCTGTTGCAGAGCTTGGTGGGACTCCAAATGTAGGAACCAACGGCCCAAATCAAATTCGCTTCCTTGAGCGAAAATTGCATTGTGTCTTGCAGGTACGTGTAGTAGTCGTTGTTGTCTTTGCCACACAACAAACTACCTACTAGCATGTGAATTGTAGAAGATACGCAGTAGGTTGCTGTGGATGTCGCTTCTCATATATGTTCCTCCGAATTATTGATTGACAGTCAAAATCACATCACCCACCGGCAGAAAAAAACGCCACGTGTTGTGTACCGGTAGGTTGTGTGCCAATGTCGAAAGCAAGACAAGTGAAGCATGGTCAATCCACGAACCGAACGAAGCTTTTTTTGAAATTGCCACGTGTTGGATGATACATACTACATACTGGATAACTGACTCGCTTCCAGGGTTCTCGACGGAAGAAGGATACACCATCACCGACCAACAAGCCAGCCGTATCGCGCTCGTTTCAGCATACTATTCGTCTCCTTCGTCAGTGCATGGAAAACAAATATCATGTTGCTTCTTCTTCCACCACCATTGCTCCTCCATGGTGCATCATAATTTCGATGCCTTTCATAATCATTGATCCATTCAACCCATACCCTATTATTTACCCCTCGGTAGTCAAGAACGCCAGAGCATCATTTAAAATTTGAAAGGCTTGGGGGCCCACTTGTTTCAAAATCAAGGAATGGCAAAAGGGCAAACATTGTGGTCTTAGCGAGGTTCCTGTAATCATGACATAGACATTGTCGCCAACATGCTGTGGATGTTGCAAGACGCCCTTGACTTGCAATACCATGTTGGTCAAGGATTCCAACTGTTGCAAACGTTGATTGACATCGCTGCACAATGCATGGGCACCACCCACCGTCAACGATTTTTGCGCTTCTGGCAAATAATATTGGGCCAAATCGCGGACCATGCCCGTGCGCAACAGCAGGTAATAGGTTTCCATGACGACATGGCCCAAGGCAGAAGGATCACCCACGATAAAATGGCGGGGCATGTTGGCGGTAGTTTGCGGCAATTGTGATTGCGGTGGTTGTTGAAAGGGATTCATGCCCGGCGGTGGTATGGAAGAGGTAGAAGCTCGTCGGGACGAGGAATTCAAACCCGGAGGCGGTGGTGGTATCGGCGGTGGATTGGACAAGGATAATGGTGGCGTAGAGGAGGGTGGTGGTGGCCCAGCACGTGAAACACCCGCAAAGGAATGAGATCGCTCCTGCAATGGTTGCATGGATGGCATGGGTGGCGGCAGTGATGGTGGTTGGATAGCTGTGGATGATGATGGTGGTTGCCGTTTCTGCTGTTGTGGTGGCGGTGATGCTGATGATGCTGACCCGCCCAAGGACAATCCAGACATGTTAAAGCCAGGAGGAGGTGGAGAGGAACTGAGAAGACTGACACTATTGTGGTTGTCGTCTACCTTTTCCTCTCCTTCCGCCACCTTGCTTTCTCCAGGATCATCGTGGTCATCATGGTCATCATGGTCATTATCAATTCCATCATCATCATCATTATCATCATCGTCGTCATCATCTTCCGGCTGCTCTTCATTGGCAGTCATATAACTACCTACACTCATTGCGGAAGATGACATTCGCTTCAATGTCTTTGAACCCCCTCCATTGGAACTGCCGGGACTGTTTTGATTGCTGTTGTTTGGATTCGTACCGCCAGTAGTAGTGGTCTGTGACTTGCGTGCACGCTTGAGTTCCTTCTTTTTCTGCTTGAACAGTTCCAAAATGCGCCGCTTGTCTTCCATTCCAAACTTGGGATTGGTCTTCAAATCGTCCGGGAGCTTCCACACCACCTTTTTCTTGCGCTTGCGGGGTGGCAAGGTTTGACTGTCCACGGTCAAAGTCAAAATGGGTACGTCCACGCCCTCTCGCATAATGTCAACTTCCCAACTGGGGAGTTTCAATCCATCAATAGGACGGGGTTCGCTTAAGTAATGACGGTCTTCCATGATGATGTTTTGAGTGAGTTAATGAATTGATTGGATAGTGATTGAACGGATTGGGTACAACTTTAGCAATGAAAGATAGAGTACTATATATATGCGGTTATTATGGTTTGATGTGTGTCAGGTATTTGCGTGACAAGTCAGTTCTGGTTTTGGGCTCGATCGGCCTGTACATTGTACGTGACTGTTCGTAGTACGTATCCTTGGTACCGGTGGTAGTATTTGGTCCAATGATCTAACTGCCTGTGTGTGTTTTGGAAATGTGGCGAACATTATCGAATTTCCTTCGCGAGCCAGCAAGAAGACAATCGGAATTCAGATTGTCACGGCGGGCGACGTCAGTAGCAGGTCGTTTGAACAACAAAAAGTCAGGATTTTACAACAACCACACTAGCGATACCACTGGTACTATACATCCAATTTATGATTTAGGTTGCTACTGTACGGTACTAATAACGCCACTTTTCAACTTATCATCCAATGTGCGTGCTGGCCTCTTCTTCTTGTTTCTTCTTCCTCCATTCGTCCATTCTTGGTGCTGGTGGCTGGTGGCTGCTGGGTCTCATGAGATTCAAGGACGAGGTTTTGGCTACTAGATTCCCTTCGTTCCTTGTTCATACCGCCCATGATAAAGTAGTGGGGATACAGTATAGAGAGCCTGGCCAAAGCTACTGCAGGATTAGGAGGTTATTGAATATGAATGAAGCTTACTTACTACTCGACTGACTGACTCGCAAGCACTCACTCGTGGTGCTTCTATGTAGTTGACCCATCCGACCAAATGAATCTTGGCAAAAATAACACCAACACGCAATTTCGCTCCCCTGAAAATATTGTGAGATCTCTCGCAATAACTTGAAACTGTCGAGATCTACCGTACCTCAGTACACACATATTATAATGCAATATAGTCTGTGTAATATGCGTGGTTCTGAGCACTCCGTCCATAGGGACGCATTATGAGTGTGATATAGTATTCATTTTTTGTAATATTATTATTGACATGCAACGCATCAGCAAATATTGAGACGGGAAGAAAACCACACAAGATAAAATCAGACAGTACAGTACTTTACGATAATAATATGGAGGGCCATCGTCATCCACTCGATGACTCGTCATCGTCGTCGTCGTCGTCTCGGACACTCTTTGAAAAGGGTCTTGCCTTTTTTTCATCAAGGAAACCATCCAAAGGCAAAGCAAGGAGGTATTGGAGAAAGTCTTATTGGAGATACAAACGAACGAACGAATCATCATCACGAGGTTAAGAGTATTCTTTGGGAAATGGCTTGGACACTGGTCTACCTTGGACATTTACTATCCTGGGGAAGAAAAACATGAGGAGACCTTGGAGCACTTTCAGAAAGCTCATGAGACACAGTGGAAACAATTGGGAGAAAAACACATGTGGTTACAATGCGAACCTACAACAATAACAGTGGCAGGGCCCTTATATGCAAACAAGGCAACTACGAAAAAGTGTCAGATTTGACCGATCTATATATGCGCCCATCATTGAAATTTTTCGGAAACCACCAAATTGCAAGAACTATAACACTTGCGACACTCCTTCAAATGCATGGGGAAGATCACCCTTGCGTTGTCAAAACATAAGTTGCCCATTTCCGCGCTGTCGTTGGACCAAAATAGGTTGGACGATGCTCTTTTTTGAGAAATTGGAAATGCTACGAACGGAAACCTTAGGTGAAATGCATCCCGCAACACCGGAGGCCTATGGAAAAAAAATTGGCACAAACATATAATCAACCAGACGTGACAAAAGATGCCGCCAATATGCTTTCACCAAAGCTCTGGAGTTTCGTCGAAGCGTGTTTGGTAAGGATCATATCTACGCACCAAGGATCTTGTGATTGACCTCAAAACTGTTGAATCAAATACCGAAAGTGCAGCAGCACCGAATGAGGACGATGACGCAAAAGGCGCAGTAGAGAAACTGAAAGATGTCCCGGGCATTTGCATCAAAATCCTAAGGATCCAAAAGGAAGCCGTAGTTGAAGTAAATTTCGCAACTGCAGAGGCCATTGAAAATCTTGGAAACTCATATTTGAAACGAGGCATGACGGACGATTGATGCTCTCACCAAGGCTCTGGAGATAGATTGATTCGTCCAGCTGTGTTTGGCAATGATCATCCCAAGACAATGGAGCCTGTGACTACCCTTGAAAGTGTTGCAACGTAAAGAAGCTGAGAAAGCTGAGAAAGTACTCAAGAACGAACAGGATATGGCAATAATGGGGCAAGACGTTTCGGAAGAGGCGATGGGACTCTCAGAGCTGTTTGATGCGGATACTGATAAAAAGGACATCCTCAGTGTTCAGTCCGATTTGGCAGAACTTTACAAGCATCTTTCGGCTGTCAAAGTTGAAATGAGTTTGCTGGACGATGGCATTTCGGCGAGTGCAAAAGCCCTCAAGATTCGTCGAAGGACACTTTTGGACGATCATGCGGACACGAAACGGCGAATGGAACAACACCTATTTTAGCTCAAATGTCTCTTGGAGAATCGGAGCTAACGGCAGCTTCGTCCTTGGCAATGCATGCGATTTTCGTGGGACTGATATTGATTAATCATGCGTGATCCTAACTGCTGATGGGTTGTTGATTCATACTTCCTCTTAAGGACTTGATATAAATCGTTCCCAGTCTTTTGTTGTTCACCACCTCCCGTGTAAAAATGAAAGTTCGTTTCTTTTCATGACTATAATTTTAAATTCAAAAATCTATAGAGTTTTACAATTGGTCCAAGATGTAAGGACGATAGCTGGTACCGCAGGTATCAAGTACCCCGGACCATCGCAACTAAGTGGTTTTTGGTTTTTCACATGTTAGTCCGATGAGTCGAGAACCTGTGCTTTTGAACCTGCCTGAGCAAGCATGCAACCCTACGGTATATTCCCAGTCCACACTTGTTATTTTCACTCATGCTACAGTATCTATTTTCAAATAATACAGATAAATCATTAATAGAGTACAGATTGATGATAGCGACACCTGCGCCTTGATCTTTTTATATATATCATACTGGTAGTCGATCATCGGATTCCGTTTAACCGCTATATTGTCTGCGCGTCAACAGAACACATGAACAAAATGTACCACGTCTACAGGCGTTTCTACGTGGTTCTGAAGTCCAAGCAAAATTGGCAACGTCCCGCCAAATTCGAACGGTTGGATTGCATCATATAACGGTATGATAGGAAACATCTCACAAAATTCGGCCACCGAGTCGTTCAAGATTCGAATTTGGTCCGATTGCAGTTCTGAAAACAGACACTTCTTATTCATTGCTCCTTTCAGAAGGATTTTTTTGCGTTGTTGTAGTTGCTGTGGATTGATTGATTGATTGCTTGTCTACTTTCTCCTACAACACCGACGTTGATATGACGAGCCTGGTTTCTCTTGGTCATGAACTGAGAACCGTGAAGGATGAACTGGATGAAAGAGTGTATCAATGCAAACGAGAACAAATAGAGAAAAAGTTCTCAAAGCTCAACGAGAATGACTTGGTAATGGAAGATGCCATCAAGGATGCGGCATCGACGTTTGAGGTGGTTCGAAATGAAACCAAATCTATCCGTAACCTAAAGCAACAGCTTAATGAGGCAAAGATGGCCATGGGCAACGAGGTCACCAAGTCCCACGATCAACTCAAGACAGCTCTGTCCAAGGTGAAAACGAGTGATTCTTGCAGTCCTTCTGTCCACAAGTTTAATGCTATCATGTTGGAGAAAAAAATCGAGGGTGCCGAGATGCAACTTGAAATGGGTCTGAAGAAGCTGCGAAAGATTGAGGTCTACGAAAAGGAACTAGACACTGCTACTGCAGATCTTCTTTCTGTGCTTTCAATATACCAGCAACGGTGTGTTGATCGAATCTTGAAATCACCAACACCTCCTCCGCAAGATGCCGAGCCGAGCTTGCCAACCAAGCAGTCAGCTCAAGTTCATGTTGTTGTCGAAGCCATACGGCGTCTTCGTGAAGAAAACGAAACGCTCAAGGCGGACCTCGAATCCATGGCTATCGACTTGAACGACAGCTCGAGCAATCAAGAATCGTCACTAATTGTCCAAGAGTTGGAAAACGAGGTATCCCAATTGAAATTGCAGCTCTTTGAGATGCAGCAAAATCAAGAAACGGAACGCGCGAAAATGGATACTGCCAAGAAGAGTACCCCTGAAGAAAACAATGAAGATGATACAGCTGAAACGGAATCGGAAACGGAACGGCCTGAGACGGAATCAGAATCAGAATGGGACAAGCCCGAGACTGAACTGGAACCTGAAAAGGCCAACCCGGAATCGGAAATGGAAAATATTGAAGAAAAGGTCGAGTTTAAAATCGAAGACAGCGCAAGGACTGCCATGAATCAAGCAGCTGATGAAAAAAGTGTCGCTCTGAAGGATGAAGAAGACAGCTACGGATTCGAAGACATGGCTCCATCTCCAGTCCCAATGCCCAAACCTGTGGTTGACATGGAAGATAAGCTTGCAGAGCTGGAACTTCACGACATGGGTGACATCAAGCTGCTTCAACCTGACTACGAACAACTCGTGATGGATCAAATGAGACACGAGGAGGAGCTTGAAGAGTATGCGGTGCAGATCCTTGGCCTCAAGGAAAGCATCGCAGAATTGGAGGACGAGAACAGAGAGCTCAAGGGACAGCTAGCCTTCGCAGAAGGCGAGGATGCATCTGCGGATGAAATTCAGCAGTTGGAATCCGAAGTCGCCATGTGGAGACTTAAATACGAAGAATCCGCCTCTGGTAGTTCGCAGGTACACCGGTTGCGTGTGGAGCTCGAACGAAGCAAAGCCAAGTCAAAGAAGCGAATCGCCGTCTTGCAAGAGGATCTCCAAATGCTTCAGAAGCAAGGTTCTGACCGTATCCAAAACTTGATCAAAAAGTTCAAGGCCTTCCAAGAAGAGGGAGCTGCACGTGTTCATTCTCTTGAAGTGGAACTAGAGAAGTCAAGGGCCCAAGTGGAACGACTCAAGAATCGACGTGGCGACGAAGACGACGAAGCCGAAGAAGAAGCGGAAAGAGATTCCCCGGAACCGATGTTCGTAGACGAAAGTGCAGATTCCGAAGTTGATGATGCTGAAAGTGACGATGACGAAGCCGAATATCCTGAATGTGACGATTCCGAAGTTGAATATCCTGAAAGTGAAGATGACGAAGCCGATGAGCCTGAAACCGTTGAAACTACTTCCCAATCCCCGGAGTGTGCCGGGGAAGATGCTACTGCTGGTGCTGATGAAAGTGAGCAAGTGCGATTGGATTGCGCTGGTGACAAGAATCACGATCAAGCTGACGAAACAGGTAAGCTTCGAGAACAGCTTGAGAAGATGAAGAAATCAATGAAAGAAGCCGAAGCGCGATCAAGCATTGAAATCAAGAAACTGCAAGACACAATAGCATCTATGAAAGCAGAACGAGAGATGAAGCAAGACGTCATTTCATCTCTCCATGAGCAACTGAACACAGCTGAAACAGCGTTGACGCAAAAGACGAAATCGACCAACTTCCCGACGATGTATTTGTATGGATCGCCATTGTATGACTCCGATACGGACTAATCAATGGTTCAAATCGATTTCTGATGTAGAATTGCTCACGTTGTAAAATAAAATCTTTGGGTAATCGTGTATCCTTTGAAGGCTTGAAAATTAGTAGACTACTATGAACGACAATCATACTATTATTATGACTTCTGTTTGTAAGTTCTGATAGCAAGCCACAGAAGCTCGTATAGTTTGACCTTTTTCATTGTACCGCATCTAAGTGTCTCAAAAAATATGCTGGTGGCTCCGTGCCCCATAAGCTCGAAGTCCACTATTTTGCATCATCGCGGGACTGGGAAGATTATTGCTCGTGAATGAATTTCCGCCAACAAAATGCGACGATATATTTTATGCGATGAGCTTCCAATATAAACCTCATCGCAATCCATCATCATCACCCAGAACTGCATAATAGTTATCGTAATAATGAGGATTCGAAGACTGATATCAATCTTCCACTTATATCTCCTCGGGACAGCGACAGCGTTTATACTCTCTTCCAATCATCGGCACGAGAAGACACTGATTTCATCCCATTGGTCCCATGCCTCACATATCCGATCGTCTCAAATACCACTGTCAGCTTCTGAAGACGATACCGAAGAGCCAGAATTTCTGCAAGTTGAAAGCCTCACTGCGAGCCAGGTCACAGAACTTGTTGAGATGTCCTTCTTTCAGGCATGTTTTGCCCTCTCCAAGGGAGAAATCGAACCTCTGTTGCTTTTCATTGTCGCAGTCAAGACACTATCGATGAAATATCCAGGAGCATCTGCGATTACGATTGCCAAGACAGTTGATTCGCTTCCTGCTTCTATGCGTCCGCTCGATCTAACAGAAAGAGACCTAAGAGAAACATGGATCAGGGCAATATATCTAATAATGGATCATGTAGTCGACGACTTCGACGCTGGGACCAGTGACGACGACGAAGTAGCCGAGACCTACGGCCCTGTATTGGCCGATCTCGTGGCTATCCATCAATCGGGCTTGGGATTGAACATTAACCAATTCGTGGAGTCGCGCAGGGATATTCTGCTGCCTGTCAAAGAGAAGAAGAACATCTTGGAACTAGAAAATGAAACTGATGGCGAGAACTTTGTGCAACTGGCTGTCGTGACCCAGACCATCAGAGTACTTTATACAACACTAGATATATTGTCAGAAGATGACAACGACGACAATGTGAAAAGAGACCCAGAGTCGCAATCGGAATCTCCATTGCCTTTTGAGAAGAAGGAGAAGAAGAAAAAGGGTGGAACGGGATTTGCATAATTAATGCCTTATTCTTCTTGGAAAGGTAGCTTTGGATGCTGGTCCAATGCAATACGTATTTGCCCATCCAGATGAGGTTTCCGATGAAAATTTCGACCGCATTATACTGAGGAGCCAATCAGAGACCAACACGAATTCTCGTCAGGATATCTCCAGATTGATGGCAATGTTAGGACATTAGTGAGGTGATCACTGCCTCTTTGTCATATTATTATTTTACAGTATCTTAGTCAGATTTTTCTTAACAGTTTGATACATAGTATAGAGCTTTCACTGTTTTATTGGAAAGACTGTGTTGTAGCATCAGGCTCGTGGTTCGTATAGCCACGGCAACGCCAATAATTTGCTTCCAAACCAGCATTCGGGTTGTTTGACGGCCCTTGAGCAGGTCTTATTGATTCCAGAACAGGTGGGAAAGCAGGGCATCCCCACTTTCAACTTGCATCGGCTTGAAGCTTGGTACGTCCTTCATCTCCACACAAAACGTCCAAACAAAACGTCCATGGTATAATCCAATCAATCCGACACGACCGCAGGGGAGTCAGTCTGTGTCACAATGATACTGAACCAGTTGGGCTGCTTCTGAACCTTTGCTGTCATCCGAGCAGATTGGTTTCTGTTAAGGTCATAGCACATGTGACAGGTACTTGACATCGGCGCCATGGTAGGTGAATTCGGTAGTTCCACATCAATCTCATCTTGTTCCTTCAAATCCACAACCAAAAATAAAATCCATGACACCATTCCCTTTCTTTTGTGTCACAAAACGTTCCTGACGGATGTTTTGTCTAAAACTTTCATCATATTCGGCATTCGTCGCTTCGATATTGTCGTCTTCGCCAACTTTGGTGGCAATGGCTGTTCTGTTGGTGGTGCTGTCTCTCTTAGCGACACTTCGGCAAATTTTGTCTGCTCTTAAACTGATATGCCACTATCCTGTAATGATGATGATTATGATGATGAACCCCCCCCTGCTACTCGGAACGCACAGCGCCTTCACTTATCGTTGGCTTTGCCGTCGTTCCACTGTTGTTGGTAATATTGAGAGGTTTACGTTTCGTTTCACCACCAACGAATCGACGATGATCCACAGACTCTCCATCGAAGATGTCAGAAGCTTGGCGTTTTATCAGAGCCAACATATCAGCGGGTGCCAACCGTTGCGTGTGTTCCTGCTGGTTTTTATTGCATCATCATCCTTCGACTTCACAGGTTTGATGTCCTTCTCAATACTTTTGATGGCCGATATCTTCGTCACTTCAGTTGCATCTCACTCATTTTCTCTTTCACTATCTCCTTTTCGACAATCGCATTTTACTGCATTATTTGCTCTTCGGGAAAAGTCACCTGAACAAGTTCTTCTCCTTCTTATATGAGACGAGTGTCATTTCCTCATCTGAAGCTTCGCCAGCTTTCAATCGAAGAACTTCATTGGCTGCTAACTGTGATGCTCTCTCTGCTTTTCAGCATCTATCATTTCCTCTCCCATGATGACTACTTCTCTTCTATAGGTATATATTATTCTTGATTCGCCTCTATCATGACTGTCTGACATGATCGACAGATATTGTAATAAGGCTTATGCGCTGAGAATAAAATAAATTACTGTTTGAAGTTGAAGATAATGGATTTTAGTTGGTTGTGTCCGTCCGTATCGATTCTTCGTCCGATAACAGTGCGTGTCCGTTACGTATCTTTATGTTCGAATATTATTTCCTCACATAATCCTTATTGATATGAAATAAGAACGATTCGAAGCAGAATCACAGCGTCAGAATAGCAACAACAGAAACTGCAGAGATCCTTTCTTGATAGGCCAGAACCGTTTCGGAAAAGAAATTTTCTCCAAACGCAACAGCAGCAGAAATTGCGTATTCTTCATCAGAGTTGCAAAATAACAAATCGACAACAATCACATAATCATCATCATGTCTTCAACCAAGAAAATTGTCGTGGTTGGCGCTGGTGCTTCTGCCAGATGCGTCATTAAAAACTTGCGAGCAGCCAACGAGGGTGACCCAATGCACATTACCGTCGTTCAACCAAATGATTTCGCCAGCATGCCCTTTTATCAAACGTTGGTGTTGACCAAACGGGATACCTTTGCTGAAAATTCAACCTTTGTGGAAATTGATGGCTCGAGTACCACTATCTACGGTGTGGCAGTTGGTTGTTCCGATGGGACTGTTGCAGTGCAACCCCTGGACAAGTCTAAACCCGTTCAGAATATTGACTTTGATATTTTGGTGTGTGCTACAGGATTTGCCATGCCTGTCATTTGCGAGACTCCAGGACAAACCAAGGACGAACGCAAAGCGGAAATTGATCGATATTCGAACGCTCTTCTTTCTGGAAAGAATGTGGTCATCGCTGGTGGAGGTACCGTCGGAATCGAGCTGGCTGCTGATTTATTGGAGACCCTACCAGAAGGCAGCCGAAACGGCAAGGTCACCTTGGTTTGTTCTTCCGACCATTTGCTAGCAGACCAATCTCCCAATTATGGCCGTCGATGTAAGGAAGTCTTGGAAGAATTTGGCTGTGATTTCATTTTCAACGATCGTGTTAGTTCCCATACCGACTCGATGGTCAGCGAAGGAAAACCAATCGAATTGACGTTAAAGAGCGGGAAGAACTTGGATTGCCACGTCTATGTGGCTGCCTATGGTCGTGGTGCCAATACGGATTGGTTGACCAAGCCAGCTGCCGGCAAGGATCCGCTACCTGCCCAGTTGTTGAACGAAAAGAGACAAGTCATTGTCGATGAGTACATGCAAGCTGCAGCATATGACAAGCTCTATGCCATGGCGGCCACATCTAATCGACAAGAAATTTCAATCTTTATGAACGTTGACACACAAGCCCAGACAGTGGCCAAGAACATAATCAAGCCGAAGTCTGCCAAGCAAGGTGATGGGAGTCAACATGTCATGTACCAAATTGTGGGGCACGATACCTTTGGCTTTTTCGTTCCCGAATCTTGGCCCATGCCTTCTTTCGTGACTACAGTCTGTTGCCATTGGTGTGGATTTCCCTGCAACATGATATTCCCCTGTTGCTGGCCATGTCCCCTAGTGCTGGGATACTGCTGTGGACCGCCAGAAGGAAAGGGCCTAACCGATGCAATGCGTATTTCCAAGAGAATGAAAATGGCGGCGAGGAACTCTGGATATTACGTCAAGGGAAAGATTGGATATGGGGAGGAAATGGAGCGATCTTAAATGGCGGGTACTTTTGTGAGAATTGATAGTCTATCAAAGAATAGCTATTTGTCTACCAATAAAAGCTACAGTAGTTGAAAAGTTTTTGCTATTTGTATCCCAACCCCTTTGTAATTCATTCATACCCAACCCCTTTATTATTGATTTATACTGTACACTATTATTACTACATCATCGTCGCCTTGCTACCTCTTCCGGAGACTCGCCAGTTTTGACGGGCAAGAAACTGAAACTGTATGTTTGCGTGTGAGTCGAGCTCATAATGGACGGGGAAAAGACGACAATACTAGGTAGACTCACCCAAAGCTATATTTCTTGCATTCCACAAGATACTGGGGATAGACAGCCGGAAACCAACTGTGCAAAAGTGAAGTGAGTTGAGCAACAATGCAAATGGCAAGTAACTATAAGACACGAAACCAACGTACCTCACGTCGCCGCCAAGCCCCATTTGCTTATGGTCTAAGTTGACATGGATAGGATGCGCGCCGTCCTGTCGTTCCTCAAGATCGATAGTATGTTTGGCATGATGGAATTCCTTGCCGCTGTGAAGTAGCGCACTGAAACAAAAGTCTTCTTTTTTGTTATTTGGTCGAATCAAGACACCGCTTTTCCTGGAGCGGAAGACAGCCCACCTGCAATCGGATCGATTACCATTCTCGCTCGGGACAATATAGTCGTAGCCCATTTTGGAAGGTGATGTTTCCCAAAGTCCCAGTTGCGCTCCAGCTTTTCGGTCTGGATAATTTTCCTTGGGACCCCGCCCAAAGTATGAAACATTCCGAAACGACGGAGAGAGCGTCAACGATATTCCGACTCTTGCCAGAGATGGTATCAATCGAATCCAACCACGAGGAGTGACTCTTGTCTCAATGTCGATCCGTCCACTTTTGTGCAGGCTATAACTCAGTTTCAAAAGCATCAACTTGTGGCCTCCTTCAGAAAACATGACAGAATCACATTCGATTGTTGTTTCCTCTTTTCCATAAATGATGGATGTGTTCGTACACTTTCTTGATACATTGGAGGCCTGAGAAATGCCGTATTCCCGCCAATGACACTCATAAGAAAACGAGCTACCATCGACGACCCTAAGTACATTCTGTATCCAAGGCATCGCCAAGAAATCTAGAACAAGTTCCATTCCACCTTTATCATTGTCAGTTGCGGCTCTAGAAAAGTTCGATCTCACGCCCTCGCCACACAGGAATGCATCCCCATTGATAGTCATTTTCATCAAGTCACCACTTGACTTATTGATGACCAGCTTTGTATCTTTGTCTTCCGATTCAATACTCAATGTAAGATCGTTCTCAGATACGATTGGGGCACCTCTTAAAATCGTTGAAGTCAAAGGGCTAGGAGATTGGTCCTCACGCACAATCACTTGTGATACTAGCAGGATGTGGAGCTGTTCCGAAACAACGACATGTCCTACTTCCGCCCAGGTATTGCTTGATTTCAAGACACCAGAAACAGACAAGTAACCAGACTCACAACCATGCCAGTCGATGGAATTCAGTAAACTGAATATGGATGTCGTATCGATTCTCAGTTCTCCGTTTTCCAAAACTGTACCCCCTTGGACAACCTCCCCTGGGTGTGATTCACAGAAAAAGCTCCATTTCCAGCTCAGATGATCAAGGCCAATGAAAGAAAATCTGTTGGTCACTTTTATTTTCAGTGCCTTAGCAACAAGATTCTGCGACTTCACTATGTTGCGATCAACTCGAATGCGGAGAACCTTTTCGCTTGTAATCGCGGCTGGCTGCTGCAAGTACTTTATCTCTGCAACACATGGGTGAGGGTCTCTCTCGGGGGAGAACATGCCCTAAATTTCAGAGCACGAGCATGAGATAAAGGCTTTCAATTGGCTTTCTCTATTTGTACGTACATTGATGCAAAATTGTTTGTCGTTTATCTTGTCTCCAAAATCTCCACCATATGCAAAGAAGTCTCTGCCATTCTTATGGGACTTTCGAAGCCCTTGATCAATCATATCCCAAATGAAGCCTCCTTGCAGTCTTGGATGCTGTTGGTCCCAGAACTTTTCCCAGTAGAGATGCAAGTTGCCATTGGAATTGTTCATCGCATGACTGTATTCACAAAGGATTATCGGCCGATCGTCTTTGCTTTTGGAGCTCAGTCGATCCAAAGCTTCCACATCTGGATACATTCGACAAACAATGTCTGTCAACTCAGTCTCCCCTGTTCCTTCGATCAATACCCCACCTTCGAAGCATAGTTGGAAGATGAGAAACATAGAGTACTGTACGATCCCGTCAAAGGCAAAGTAATCTCACCTCCTTCATAGCATATTGGACGACTGTTGTCGAGTTCCCGGATGGAAGCTTGAGCTTTCAGCAAATTGGCACCACGGCCGGATTCGTTCCCAAGGCTCCACATAATGACACAAGGGTGGTTGCAGTCCCGACGAACCATGCGCTGGACACGGCTGCAGAATGCATTTTCCCACCCTGAATCGTTTGCCAATCGACCCATCGGTTTCATTCCATCCGTCTCAACATTGGCTTCGTCACACACATACCTAGGGGGCCAAATACATGTGTTCAGAAATCTAATTCACATGTATCAGAAGCTTCAAATAGATTCAAGTAAACTTACATTCCAAAATAGTCGCATAGTCGGTAGAATGAAGAATGGTTTGGGTAATGGGCGGTTCGGACGGCGTTGAAGTTGTTTTGTCTGGAAAGCCAAAACAAAGAGTCATGAGATTATCTCATTCATAAATGGATACCATAACCTCCATGACAAATATACTTACTTCAGAACTACAATATCCTGTACCATACGATCAAGGCTTACGACTTTACCATGGTCTGGATCGTGTTCATGGCGATTGATTCCGCAAACAGTGATTGGTTTGCTGTTGACTTGGAGCATGCCTTTGCTGACACGGATGCTTCGAAACCCCACGCGACAGGACTCGGTTTGTATCACTTTCATGCTTTTGGAATCAACCTGCTCCAAAACTAGAGTGTAGAGATGTGGAGTTTCGGCTGTCCAGAGTTCTACGTCATTGATCCGATCTTGAAAGGTGACGACAGAGAACTTTTCCTCCGTCTTCATCATTTCCCATATCGCTACATCAGCTGCTTCCCATTCAGACCCATCCGATGACAACTGCTTGTCATTGTACAAGCGCACTCGTAACAACAGTCCATCAGTCTGCCGAAGTTTGATCGAAACAGTCAAGTCCTTTGACTCGGATGCCTCAACGTGATAGTCCAGAATGTGTGCGGTAGAAGGCCGCCTTACCAATTCAACACTTCGGTGAAGACCCGCCATCCACCAATGATCTTGATCTTCTAGATAGCTCCCATCCGACCATCTCGCCACAACCAGATGCACTTTCGGATGCTTGCAGAGCAGTTCCTTTGGAACGACAAATTCGGACGGTAGACGAGAGTCTTTCCCGAATCCCAACATGCGACCGTTCCAAAATACAAAACAGATGGATTCAAAACCATGTAGTAGAATGCTGATCTGATCGGCTTTGCCTCCAGCAAGAATCCAATCGGATGGCAAGTCGAGTTCCAGCTTGTATACTCCCGTTGGATTTTCCTTTGGTACCACTGGAGGTTTACAGGGAAATGGATACTTTTTGTTTGTGTAGATAGGAATATCATCAAAACCCTGAAGCATCCAATGTTCTGGAATATCTATCGGTTTCCACTTGGAATCTTTAAATTTCTTCCCTTTCCCTTTCTTTGATTTTTTCCCTGTCTTCCCTACTTTCTTGTTAGTAGCTTCATCTTGATGGACAGCATCGAGCCCTTCTTCCACTGTCTTGAACAATTGAAATCCCCATTTGTGCTTGTCTAAAAGAATGACATTTGGTGTATAGGAGCCAGGAGCATTGCGAGCCACCATCTGGGGAAGACACGCAGCTCGCCGAGCCTTTGCCGAATCTTGAAACAAACGGAGGGGGACATGCATTTCCATTCGGTTCAGCGACGGTAGACGTGGATCCATCCAAGGTTTATCAATAGTCCAATACATATCTTGATAATACCAGTAAATCCAGCCACCACATGCCAGCAATAATGCCAACATATAGACCAAGTCTCGCCAATCAAAAACTTGTGTGCTTGTCCCCATCCTTTCAAGAATCAGCCCCAAAAGTATCGTCAATACGAGACAAAACTTGATCAAATGAGTACGGGGATGCGTTGGAAGTATCCACGACAGAAGCTTGGTCGCCAGGAGGTCATGGATTGGCCAAACCAAGCCATTGTGAAACTTGCTGGCAAATCTTGTGGACTTTGTCACCAGTCGCCACGGTTCATCCTTTTGCCAAGAGGGCGAAGAGCTGCTAGACAGCTGTGATCTATGGCTCTTTCCAATAGTCCTAGAGTGTGGTGATGTGGTATCCTCACAATGCTCCCCCAGAGCCATTATTGTACAAGCACCCACCAATGCTTTTTTTTCATTGAATGAATGCAATGCAATGCGATTATATGATGATGACGATGGCGAATATTGAATATTTTGATGTCATTGGCCGACTAGTCGGAATACAATATTCTCTACCGACTTTTAAAATTGGAGGTGCAGCGAATATAGGCGAGTTCCCTACAAAGGTCGTCGAGTATCAAAAAGTTACAAATTATGAATCCCGTTCCATCGAAATGTTTCTTATAGTCTCCAGTCCCGCTCAGTCTAACCAATGAAATAGAATCAATCATTAGCGGACCACCTGCCGCAATCAAGGCCCTTCAGCCACTTTCCCAATGATGATTGCCGCACAAAGGAAACATAGACAAAGAAGTATCTGACCTCGATGATTCACCATTCCACAAGTACTCAATCATATTCTCGATCACTATTTCTGATCCGCACTGGAGTTTGCAGTTCTTTCGGTAGTTCTGGTCGTCGATTTCGAATTCTCCCTTGACATGACCACAACTGCTGCTCATTCTCATTTTCCATAGAGCTAGCTCCGCCAATGATGTCATTTCTATTCGAGCGTAGTAGCCCAGATACTGAAATGTCTCATGAAGATGCGCACTTCTCGCCCGTGTGTCATTATCACTTGGCATTGATCCTATGTGACCTTCCAACTTGGTTCTCCACATGGGCAGGCCCCAACGACTAGGTATTTTATCCAGAATGGATCGTCGCAAAGCCACCTGAATCAACGAAACAGCCTTGCTGGACGTATGTGCCAACAAGTAATCTATTGCCGTCTTTCCATAATTGTCGCAATGCCAAATAACCTCCGCTGGATACCGATCCAAGAGACATTCGAAAAAGTCCACTCTTAGACTTGCAGAGGTTGCCACAATATGCAACGGCGATAGGCCAAGATGATCTTCCAGGTTTTTGCCCTCCATACTGTTGGTGGTCTCATTGATTATTTGAGTCAATTTGTCAACTGAAGTCATAGAAGCATTGTAGCATGCATGGTGAACTGGGAGATTGTCAAACCTGTGCCGGATGGCGTCAATCTCTGCCTCATCGTTGTCATCTTTCACCAACAACCTACATCCAGAAAATGCAGAGCCGGACATAACATAACGATGCAGTGCAGGAACGGAGACAGTGATCAAAGATGTGCAGTTGTCGAAGCTGCCTGGGTCGATACAATTTAAAACCCCCTCTGGAATCTCGACACCAAGGAGGCTTGTGCAGTCCTTAAAAGCATGAGAGTTGATGCTGTGTACTGTAAACGGTAAAGAGATGGCACTCAATGAAATGCATCGAGCAAAAGCTCGTGTTCCAATTCGAGCAAGTCCTTGACGAAAGTGGACGTCCACAAGTCCGCGGCAAGAATCAAAGGCACTCGTGTCAATGGTTTCCACTGTATCTGGGATCGATACAGTCTTGAGAGCATCACATCCAGAGAAACAGCAAAAATTAATCTCCGTAAGTCCTCGTGGTAACTCAATTTGTTGCAACGACTCGCAGCGACAGAATGCTCGTCGACCGATGCGTTTCATCAGACCCTCATCCTGAAAAATGACGCTGGTTAGGGAGGCACAGTCTTGAAAGACGTCGTCTCCGATAGTTTCCATGGTCGATGGTATCGCTACAGTCATTAGAGACTCGCATTCTTCAAAAGCACCCCCTCCGATGGATTCCAAACCGTGGTTTAGCTGAATTGCAACCATTGCTCGACACTGAAAAAACGAGCTCCTGCCAATGTTCCGCAAACCTGTGCCAAGGCTGACTTTTGTAAGGGAATCACATCCACTAAAGGATTCGACACCAATGCTCTTAACTGTAGCTGGTATGTCAATGCTTTGTAAAAGTTTGCTGTCTGTAAAGGCCCAATCGGGGATTTCTTGAACACAAGGGTCAAAGGCAATGTGCGTAATGTTCTTGGGAATCTTGCTTTCTGGCTGTCCTGTGTAAAGAAATAGTACGGATTTATCAGAGGCAGTCTTTCTCCTTCGTTTGGAGACGGGGGAATTGTCCATTGGGTATTCGTATAATGAGCTTTAGGGTCATGTGTGTTCGTGATGATGATGATGAAGATGACAACGCGAGTTGCAACAAACAAACGTAAATTGAAAATGACCCTATGTCATCATGACTTGTAGTCGAGATAGTCCAATATAAAGCTGATGTCTGCCCGCGCCCGACGCCCGGCCGGCCCGACTGGCTTTTCTGGTCATACAGTACCGGTAGTGGTATGTACTTGTGTACAAGTATGCTTCTATTTGAATATGCTCACTGGTGATATTTTGGTATTGCTTCTGATATACCGATTCGAATAAATCCCACATGAGTATCTACAGTAAGTGACCTCCTTCTTCGTCGTGCCTTGGTCATGGTCGTTTGGGGGGTGGAATGAATGAATGAATGAATCAGTCGATTCCACTAGGTCTTTTAGACGACAGTAGAAGCAATCCATTTGGAAACTCCGCATCCATTGTCGAATACAATTCGCTGTGCCATGCTCCAATCCAGAAGTTTTACAATTCGAATTTCGACAGTATCATACGGTAGTTCTCAAATTGTTCGTTGAAACCTTTTGAGGGTGTGTAGGTTGTCTTCTGATCAGCTCAAACTCTTAAAGTATTTCATAAGATTCATCTTGACATTTTTATTTCTATCTCTCACCCAAAAAGAAGCAATTTGTGTTCCCTTCTGATCTATAAATGAAAGCAATTACAAATGACTTGGTCTCTAAATGAACCCAAAAGATTCACATTGACATTTTACCCGTACCTATGGATACACGTGTACAATCGTGATTCTCTTCTGATCGAAGTGAGACAGACAATTCTTCTTTCGAAAATTAGCCTGCGCACTCACAAAATCATTCACATTCAATATCAGAAATCAGGTTTGCGGAACCGAAGCAATAAGGTAGAATGAGTGATTTCCGTCATCTGTCAGGTACAAAGCAAATAATCCTGAGCATACTGCCAATAATAAGTGCTATCATCAGTATACTGGGAAGTACTGCTGTCATATATCTCGCAATACAAAGACGAAAGGTACAGCGATGCACTCCTTACACACGACTTCTCGTTGCAATGAGTGCCTGTGACATTGCCTTCAGCTTAAGCATAGGCGTAGCTACTTTTCTTCGACCAAGAGAGACGAGCAATAGAATATGGGCCTTTGGAAATGATGGTACCTGCAGTTTCGCAGCATTCATGAATCAAGCTACCACAGCAGCAATATGGTACCAGGGGATGTTGTCAATCTACTTTTTATTGACGACTCGATATGGTATGAAAAATGCTACAATCGCCAAGCGCATTGAACCATTGATGCATATTGTGGCACTTGGATATCCAATTGGCACTGCCATCGTTGGCGCTGGCATGGGCATCTATGGGGAGAGAGCTGGGGCAGCATCGTGTTATGTACGCAGCTACGATAAATCGAGTGCATCCGATCAAGACGAAAAGAGCACAACTGATGCAGTGATGTATATGTTCTTTGCGATACCTGTATTGACCGTGTTCATTTGCCTGGTATTCAACAACATTTCCATTTATTTGTTCGTGAGACACTATACTCGAAAGTGTTCATCTAAAGAAGGAAAGGATCCCGCTCCAGCCAATACCAATGTATCATTTGGCTGGAGCGAACGAAGCGCGTTACCGATGCAGTCATCTCAAGGGTCTTCCAGGAACGCAAGTACCACAAATCAACCAACCACCCGCCAACACCGCAGGAACAATGACAAGAGGTCAACGAGGAAGTTAGCAAGTCAGTCGCAACGACTGCAGCTGGTTTGTTCCCAGGCATTTCTCTTTGTGTTGGCCTTCGTGTTGTGTCATACTTGGAATGTGGCGATGGAAATTTTGCAGGGAAGCGTTCAGAACCGGGCAGATGAAACGGAGATGATGATGAAGTACTATCCTCTAGCAGTGGTGCAAGCAACCCTACTCCCGCTGCAGGGCCTCTTCAACATGATCATATTTTTGCGTCCCAAATACTTGATGCTGCGACTTGAGTTCCCCATTGAAGGGAGACTGTGGACAGCACAACGAATATTTCTTGGCAATCAACTTCGACCCGCTGGTGCCAGTGGTAGAAGGGTCGGTCGTGCTCCTGTTGATAATGTTGTCAATCGACGGTGTGAAGCCGAATCAGATACAGATGCAGCTACTGGGGACATGGAGGGTTCCGGATTAGCTCCATCACGCCTTCCACGCAACATGATATCGTCTTTGACAGCAAGTGGTGGAGATTTCGATGGTTCTGCGGCGGATGGACTACAAGGAGAAGAGCTGCAGAAAAATGCGCGAACGCAAGGTTTAGGGAGCCAGGGTGCACCCACTGGCCTTGCTTCCGGTCACAATCGATTACCATCGTTGGGAGCCATCAGTGAGCTGTCAGAATCTGTGTTTGATTTGACTCCTTACCAGGCCAATGGATCCCACCTTTTTACGAGTTCTGTGACATTGCCGATTCTCACAGAACCCTCCGAGAGTCGTTGGAAAGGTGCAGGAACAACTGCTGCATCTTGTCTGCAAAGCAGAGGAAGCGACTTAGGTGACACAGAAAAATCCCACAGGACAGATTCGAGTTTGAAAATTCCAAGGCGCAAGCCCGAAATATCTGATCTACCAATCCAGGCACCAAGGCGACCATCGGATATATGCAATGTTTCAGATTCCCCTATTCGCATTCCAAAACGTACATTTGATGCACCAATCGATTCTCCAACAGGGAGTTGCAGTAGCAGTACTTCGGATCTTTCACCAGTGATCAATTCGAAGAGGGTAACAATGCCGCATATTGGATCAGCAAGGGGAAAGCTACCATTTGATATGCCTCTGGCTCCACCAGAACGGTTCTTGAGTCTTCCGCCTTCCGATATCGAGGACTAGTGAACAGTCTAGGAGACTGCATGAAATACTCCCTATGAGACTTGCAGAAGTTGCAACATGATGAAATGGGGTCAGGTCGCATATGTCGTCTGTTCAAATCTTGCGAAAGCACATGTGTGGTAGACCCAATACAGTGTCAAATCCGAAGTAGTAGTCGGTACGTCTTGGACGTCGATGTCTAAATAAGCCCAAAATTTGTGAAAGTGGACAATACAGTGCCAAATCCGCTGAGACAAAAAAACAAAGAAGAGGTCATCCATCATTTTAATAAAAAGTCGTCGGCTTACGGCATCCCTCAGATGCCCAATTCAAACTCTAGCTATAGTTGACCTTGATAGCTATCTTTTTCGCTCCCCTGCAATAATATGTATTATAATGCCTCTGGATTCGACAGATCGACTCAAAATCCTAATATGACCGCAGGCACACTGTTTGATCTCTTTGACTACATTGTGTTACAGACGGACCTTCCACCGTCAAAAGTTGTTGTCGATGCGCCGAGGCAATGATGCCCAGTTTATCGACTGAGATTGAATTCACCCACTTGTGTCGTGGTAATTCAATTTTTGAAAGCATCTTCGCGCAAGATCAAGGAAGTTTCGATGGTATATATGAAATACCCGCGTTTTCACAATCCGAATCATTCAATCAATTGATATTTCTGCCAAAATATCTTCTTTGCGACTTCAGGAAGAAAAGAAGGTGAGGTTTGAGCTCACATTTATGACCACACTCTTCTGATCGAGTGGAAGAAACTGCGGGATCCAACGCAATAATATAGATAAGGTGTTTCACAAAATGACCGTCACAAAAAAGGAAGCAAAAGAAACAATATTAGGATGAGTACTTACCGACAGCTATCAGATACGCAGCAGATAGTCCTGAGCATACTTCCAATCCCGAGTGCTATCATTAGCATACTGGGAAGCTCTGCAATCATCTATCTCGCGAAAGAAAGAAGAAAGATTCAAAATTGGACCCCTTACACTCGGCTTCTCGTTGCAATGAGCGTCTGTGACATCGTCTTCAGCCTGAACGTAGGGTTTTCTACTTTCCTTCGACCGAGAGAGTCAAGCTACAGAATATGGGCGTTTGGGAATGACGCTACCTGCAGCTACATCGGAGTCATCAATCAAGCATCTTTAGTAGGCGCAATCTGTTACAATGGGATGTTATCATTTTACTTTTTGTTAACGGCTCGATATGGCATGAAGAATTCAAAGATCTCTCGGCGTATTGAACCAATGATGCATTTGGTGGCGCTTGGATTTGCAATTGGCACTGCCATCGTTGGTGCTGTTGTCGACATTTATGGGGAGAAGGCTGGAGCAATGTCCTGTTGGATGAGCAGAGACAGCAAAGAAGGTACATCTGGATCTAAGGAAACAGCAGAAAGTGCTATGGTGTATGATATCATTGGAACTGTTTTCTTTGCCTTACCTGTGCTGGCCGTATTCATCTGCCTGGTAATCAACAACGTTGTCATCTATTTGTTTGTTCGGCGCCATATTCGAAAGCATCCATCTCAAGAGACCGAGGATTCCACACCGGGCGATGTGGATGTATCGTTTGCCGAATCGTCTGATTCATCGAAAGGGTCTTCAAGAATAGCAAATAGCACAAAGAAAACATCCAGGCGAGAAAGCAAGAACAAAGACAATATATCGAAGAGGAAGATAGCAAGCCAGTCACAACGACTGCAGCTGGTTTGCTCACAAGCGTTTCTGTTTGTGATGGCCTTCATGGTGTGCAATGCTTGGAATTCTTTAATGGGCATTTTACCGGGCAGTGACCTGAAAGACATAGAATTGATGGTAAAATACTATCCTCTGGCAGTGTTGCAAGCAGCTCTACTCCCGTTACAGGGCCTTTTCAATGTAATAATCTTTTTGCGTCCCAAATACTTGAAGCTAAGGCTTTCATTCCCCAGGGAAGGGAGATTTTGGACAGTGAGACGAATATTTCTTGGCGACAAGCTTCGACCAACTGTTTGTGATGGTTACAAGCTTGATGCACAGAGTGTTACCAATCGGGGGGACGAGCCCAGATCAGAAGCAGATGCACCGGTTGGAGACACGGGGACCTCAAGGATGGCTCAGTCACGCCTTCCACACAACATGATATCGTCTTTGACGGGAAGCGAGGGTAATTTTGACGATGACTCTGATATACTAGACGAAGACGACCGATGGCACGACGTCAGTCCGCAAGGAAACCAGAATTCTCCAGCCTGCTTTGCCTCTAGTCGGAACCGAACGTCATCGTTGGGGGCCATCAGTGAATTGTCAGAATCTGTTTTTGATTTGACTCCATATCAGGCCAACGGATCGCATCTTTCTGTAGCTTCGGCGGGAATGCCAGCACCCACAGAATCATCAGAGAGTCGTTGGAAAGATGGATCAACATCAGCACCAGTGACTGCTCCTCCGAGACCTGCTCTATCTACTGTGGAAAGCAGTGAAGATGACTTATTGGATGGCATAGAAAGAAGATCCCTCAAGACAGATTCAAGGATGGAAGTTCCAAGGCGCAAGTGTGATGCATCTGTTGATATGCCAATTCAGGTGCCGATACGTACATCAGACGTATTGAAGGTATCAAATGATTCGCCTATTTCCGTTCCAAAACGTACATCGGATACACCAGTCGATCCTCCAACACTGAGTTACTCTAGCGGTTCAGATGATCCATCAGTACTAGATCCAGAAAAGCTGACAAGGCGAGATATCGGACCAAGAAGAAAAATGGCATACGATATGCCCTTGGCCCGGCCGAGCCGATTTGTGAGTCTACCTCATTCCGAAGTTGAAGATGCGTGAATAGTAACGCCTTTTCTGCTGTGATTGGTCGACATGCAAATCATAGAATGATATTCTCTTCCCCACTCTGTTGCTAGGCTAATTGCTAATAACACCGAAAGGATTCTCGACATTTTCGAATTTGTGGAACATCTACTTTGCGACAAAGTACCTACAGTACTGCGGTACCCTCATCGACTCAATCCGGAGCAATCCAGTCATTGACCGGGTATGAAACATCTTCGCGCAAGATCAAAGAAGTTTCGATGGTCTCCACTTAAAAAGAGTTTCACAATCAGAATCAATTGATGTTTCCCCTAAATAGCATAGAACAGCTGATAAATATATCTTTTATTAAAGGATTCTCATTGTCATTCGACAGAGCTCATTTTGGAATGAAGAAAAGACATATTTCGCTTCAAAACGCAAGTTGATTGACGAGTACAAGATAAAAAATATTCAGGTGAAGGTAAATAATAGAAATAATATTCGAATGAGTTCTTATCGTCAACTTTCAGATCCACAGCAGATAGTCCTAAGCATACTGCCAATCCCGAGTGCCATCATCAGCATACTGGGAAGCACTGCTATCATCTATCTCGCAAGACAACGACGAAAGGTACAGCAATGGACTCCCTACACCCGACTTCTCGTTGCAATGAGCGTCTGTGACATTGCCTACAGCTTAAACATGGGGATGGTCACTTTTCTTCGACCAAGAGAGACGAGCAATAGAATATGGGCCTTTGGAAATGACACTACCTGCACGTACGGCGCATTCATGGTCCAAGCAACAACTGCTGGAATCTGGTACCAGGGGATGTTATCAATCTACTTTTTGTTGACTACTCGATATGGTATGAAAAATGCTACTATCGCCAAGCGCATTGAGCTATTTATGCACATCGTGGCAATCGGATATCCACTGTGCACTGCCATTGCTGGTGCTGCCATGGGCATCTATGGGGAGAGGGCTGGAGGAGCATCATGTTATGTGAGAAACTACGATTACTCGAGTGCCAAACCATTTGAACTGCAAGAACGAAACATCCAACGCTCGAAAGTTATAATCATATTCGTTGGTATACCTATGGTTGGAGTCGCCCTGTGTTTGGCCTTTACGCAGTTGAGCATTTATTGGTTTGTTCGAACCCACACTCGGAAGTTTTCAATTCAAGAAAAAGAAGATTCAACACCGAGCAATAAAGTGAACATATCATTTGGTTGCAGCGGACGATACATGGAAGATTTGTCTCAAGAATCTTCCAGCGTCCCGAGCAGCAAAAATGTTCCTCCAAGCAACAAATACAAGAAGAAGAACAAGAAACAATCGCAGCGACTACAGCTAGTTTGTTCACAGGCACTTCTGTTTGTGATATCCTTTTTTTTATGCAATGTTTGGAATCTGGTTATCATCGGCTTACAGGCGAGCGTTAAGACTCGAGCAGATGAAATGGAAAAGATGGTAGAGGACTTCCCCGTGCTTGTCATACAAACTATGATGCTTCCGTAAGTACTAGTGAATTCGACGATATGGAACCATATCTCGCAACTTTCCTCATCCATGGTTCATTTCGTATATGTAGAATCCAAGGGTTTTTCAATTGTCTAATATTCTGTCGACCCAAGTACTTGATGCTGAGACAAGAGTTCCCATATGAAGGGAAGCGATGGGCCGTGAAACGAATATTTCTTGGCGACAAGCTTCCTCCGACTGATGGTGCCGGTCGTTGCATGGTTGGGACCCTTGTGGATATTGTAGCCCAACAAAAGGACTTGTCCCAATCAGAAGCAGCCGATACACCGGTTGGGGACACGCTGACTTCTAACTCAGTTCCGCCAGCACGCCTTCCACGCAACATGCTATCATCTTTGACAGCAAGCTACGGCGACTTTGACGATGACTCTGATGTACTAGACGAAGACGGCCGATGGCACGACGTCAGTCCGCAAGGAAACCAGAATTCTCCAGCCTGCTTTGCCTCTAGTCGGAACCGAACGTCATCGTTGGGGGCCATCAGTGAACTGTCAGAATCTGTTTTTGATTTGACTCCATATCAGGCCAACGGATCGCATCTTTCTGTAGCTTCGGCGGGAATGCCAGCACCCACAGAACCATCAGAGAGTCGTTGGAAAGATGGATCAACATCAGCACCAGTGACTGCTCCTCCGAGACCTGCTCTATCTACTGTGGAAAGCAGTGAAGATGACTTATTGGATGGCATAGAAAGAAGATCCCTCAAGACAGATTCAAGGATGGAAGTTCCAAGGCGCAAGTGTGATGCATCTGCTGACATGCCAATTCAGGTACCAAGACGTACATCGGACGTATTGAAGGTATCAAATGATTCGCCTATTTCCGTTCCAAAACGTACATCGGATACACCAGTCGATCCTCCAACACGGAGTTACTCTAGCGGTTCAGATGATCCACTAGTGCTGCATTCAGAAAAGCTGACAAGTCGACATAACAGACTAAGAAGAAAAATGGCATCCGATGTACCCTTGGCTCGGCCAAGCCGATTTGTGAGTCTACCTCCTTCCGAAGTTGAAGGTGCGTGACTAGTAACGACTTTTCGGCTACTAAGTCACGCAGTACCGATATATATATCTATGTCTCTGGCATCTACCTATTTGTTCGGCAGCATCTATATACTCGAAACATTTACCATCAAGCAAAGCGAACGCATAATTTGGCTTGAGCGACCGAAGCATGTTTCTGACGGATGCGCGTCTCAAGGACCTTCCGGTCATATGAGCAGAAAAGAAATTCAAATGTTCAAAGCAAAACCAATGATACAAGAAAAAGAAACAGTCGTAGCAACTGCAGCTAGTTTGTCCATGTGAGTCTGCTTGTGATATCCGTCTTGTTCTGCAATGGTTGGAATCTGATTATCATCAGTTTGCAGTAACAGACCCTCCCAGAGTTTTAGGTGACGTAGAAATACAAAACCCTACGATAACATACGGAGGGTCAGATTCGAGGATGGAAATATTCAAAGTCACGCATTGGATGTTGAAGGTGCGATGGTACGATGATGAATCCCGCATATTTCTGTTCACGTAGATCTGATATACATCGATAAATTCCTCTGTTGCGACCCAGAAAAGTCGGCATATTGGATTAAGAGAAAAGAGAAGGTTGGCTTTGGCTCCATGGAACGGTGTCCTAGCCCCTACTGTAGCCTTCCACCTTTCGAAGTCGAAGATGCGTAACTATTCATTGCTAAAATGATAGGCTAGAATTGGTGGAAATTCAAATCGAAGTACTCATTTGACTACTCTACTGCTAGGGTCGCTGCTTTTACCAAGATCGTACTAGAATATTGGTGCACAACAAGAGCGAGCAAAATCTGGACTTTGCAAAATCTGTTGGCCTCTTCAATGTGACATCAAATCAATGATCCGCGAAAGCAAGAACCGGTAAATGACCGGCTTCAAGTTGGATCCACTAGCATCACAGTTCGAACCTCGTCGTGACACGCGCTCACGCCTTTCTCAAGCATCTTGATGGAATAAGCAATAGAGGCGCATTTGTTCATTGTATAGTCTCAATTTTGCAACAGCCTGGCGTTGTCGTTGGCGCTGTTGATGGCGTCGGCGCCGTCCGATTCGTTCCTCTTCTCGTACTTCTTTCAATTCGTCCAGCTCCAACTGAAATATGGAAAATCTAGTGTTGCTATCACTCAAACGATCTTCCACCATTTTGATGTCGGTAGTCTTCTCAAAGCTGTTCTCGGCGACCAGGCTGTGAATCGCTCGAGGGTTGGCTTCGTCGTCTCGAAATGGGACGTTTCGGATTCTAAATGATGAAGAAATGGATGTAATATCAATCATTGAAAGGAGTGCAAGATTCATGAGCCAGTCAGTATCGAGATTGTTAAAAGCAAACAAGGACAATGGGGTGCAGTTTACCAAGATGAGCCACAGATTTCACTTACAGTTTTACTCGATGAAATTTGGGGAGGAATAAGTTGCTACGACGCTGTGGCAATCTTGTTGCTTCAAAGGTATCAATAGATACCGAATACCGATCCGAAGCTTCCCATCCTGGTTGGACAGGAAGACCATCACGACAGCATGGATGATCTCCCAGAATCACGGGCAGTTCCACCACATGAATCTCACAAAACGAGACGTGGCGCTTATTGTCTTTTGCATCTTTGGAATCTTCCTCGGGGGTCATGATTAGTCTAAGTTGCAAAATTGTAAATGGTGCTTATTGTGTGTGTGTGTTTCTGGGATGCCGCAGTCGCGGGAAAGAGTCATTAATTTTTCGTATTCATTATGCGACTGATGACCAGCCGCGTTTCCAACAATTTCGATCAAGATCTATATATATCTCGACTTCGCCAATCCTTATGATAGCTTGCCTCGACTCTTTGTTTTAGAATATTGCACCAGCTACCAGAAATGGGATTTCAAGGCTCTCTGGACGCACTAGGCATTCTCATCTTCGATAATGCGCCCAAGTTCCATCAGCAATGTCATCATATGCGACTGTTCCATGGTCTTGGTTACAACACACTGGCGTCTCGTTTCAGTGTTCTTGTCACTGTATATGCATTGCATTCACCATCATTTCCAGCAACGAATCAGTTGAACCAATGTTGACATGACAATACAGTATATATTAGAATCTAAACTCGCATTATTATCATCGCAACACCATCCGCGGTAATACACACTATCGAAGACAGCCAACTGGCGCCTGCCGCCTGGTTTCTTCCGTGAGGGATTCTTTCTTGGTGTGACTCTGGTGGGTTGTGGTGTGAAGCTGGTCTTTTGGATTGCGCGCGAAGCGTGCGGTTCCAAAAGGCCAGTCTTTGATATTCCGCGAAGCGGAATATCAAAGACTTGCTTGCCTACTAGGCCTTACAGAGACGTAGAATGCGTCGATGTAAGGCCCAACAGGGATGTGGAGGGAGGGAAAGAAAGAAATAAACCTTATTTCTTGACGTATACTCGCACACAAGTTCGATAAACTGATCGGACTTGGTGTTGCTGAGCAATGCTATTGTGACGGTCGTTCGACCGTCGTCAGTATGATGAAAGGAATCCAATGATTCGTTCTCGAGCTTTCGTCTACGTTAGAGGACCCGCCGTATACATCCACTGGACGCACCGTCATTGCGTCTACCGGTAATAAATCAGCTCAAGTTTCAAAAATCGCGCTAGATATATGCGCGTTGCTCATAAACTTGTGATGTCAAATGAAAAATATTCAGTTGGACCCATGCATATGATGAGACTATATGCATATACCGCGTACAGTGATAATGCGGGAGGCCTTGTTTTATTTCCACGACCAATAACACTGCAGTACTGTGCAGTACTGTGCTCTTGTTTGCAACAACATGATGAAGGGCTAATCTTACTTTTGCAATTAGCTTCAGATCTGAAGGATGGCGTGGAAGCAAAAGGCATGAATCCCATGATTGATTTGCAATAGCATATTCAATATATAGTGTATCTCTTCGCATATAGAGTCAATGCGGACTCTACTACTGAAAGCGTCAGTATTACACCAACAATTAAGGGTTCAAGTGCTCTCGAGAAAGGCAATATATTTCTTATTCTCATAAATCATATCTACGGAAGACCAGAAAGCAACGACGAGTGGCTCCCTTGGTCCGAAACGCTGTTACTCACCAGAAGCTGTTGGAGGCGCTCAATCTCGGTCTTTATCGCGTCGGTAGGTTGCGAGGATGAATTCGACACGGATGTATTTGTTTGTGAAGGCAAGATGGTATGGACTTGTTGCTGTAAGTCGACCATTTGCTGCATCACCGAATCAATTTCAGACAGGGCAGTTGAGAGGCTAAGCGTCATGGAATGAAGCGATGTACCAAGCAACTGAACGACCTCATCCTGCTGCCGTTTTCCTTCTCGCAAATCTTTGATCTCTTGTTTTGCGCGCACCAAAAGTTGCTTGAGCTTTTCCTCTTTTCGGTCGTTCTCTTGAGCTTCAATTTTGAGGCTTGCAACAGCAGTTCCTTCTGATGTGGCACTTTTGGGGGCTTGGGATCTCCCAATAACATCAATTGGTATCCCAACATCGATCGGAATGTATCTATCTTCCTTGAAGTAGACAACAAAAGCATACTGATACGCTGGCTTCCAGGGATAAACTTCTAGTGGGAGATTTACCAACGAGATTCCATCCAAGATCTGACGAGCAACTGATGCTTGGGCACTGTCTTGGAATTCCACCAAGGCATCTCCCATTGTCCCACGAACATGAATCGCCGTAAACGTTGGTGACGAGTGCATACTTTGTTCATATTTCTTACGGATATAATGCATCAAGTTGTCTGTTGGATAGTTGCGCACAATGTTGCGAATGTACAAACAACGCTCCGGATGCAGCTTGGTTTGGTAGTGCAGCCGAAGTTCGAGAACCCCATGCGCAAAGTCGCATTTATCGCCAAACCAACAATGCCCGCTCGCATGCCGTGTACAAAGTTCCCTCCTGTATACATCATTGTGGGAGTTCAATCGTTTTGGCTTGTCCGGCACTGCCTTTTCCTCTGGAATGCCAGCTACTGTTCCTGCTGCTGCGGTACTCTCCTCGCCTGGTTTCATTAGTTGCACTGAGATGAGGCGCGAAGACACCTGCATTCCGTCCAAATGCAAGGCAATCCTAGCGTGACGAATCTCCTTGAATTCCAAGAATACATTTGCTGCACCTTTCCTCTTGCCAACGAAATAGCAAGATACCACTTCTGCTTCCTCGCCATGCAGGTTTCGAATACCATTCACGATACATCTTGATAGGTTGGTAAGATCATCATTCGGGGACACATTGCGGATGATGATCGCAGGAACCATCGCTTTGTCACCGCTTTCCTTGACCTTGGATGGCTTATTTACGAGAGCAGTTTCGGCTGGTGTATCATTTGTTGCTGCAACTGTCGGGCCTGTTATCTTGTCGTCGTCGTCGTCGTCGCGTTCCTTCCGTACTGCCAGATCAAGTTTGGTTTGAATTATGACTGGTTCGAAAGACCCATTATCAACGACTGGTACTTTGACAGACTGATAGCTTTGAATCCATTGCGCTTGGTGGCGTTCGTCTGAAAAGAGAGCTCCGTGATCCACTCCCATCAGCCAGCCCTTTGAAGGACGAACAAAGTAGGTCAAGAATGGAACCCGGTATCCATATACCGACGTCAATGACTCTGGAAAGCATTTTATACCGTATCGAAGAAGATAGTGCAACTGCGATGCTGAATTGGTACTCGATTCCTTGCTTTCGCAATCAGTCAGCACACGGTCCTCGTAGTAAGACCACAACAATTGATCCAGCAACTCCAAGATTGGATCAAGTAGACTCTCATCTTCGATACCATCTGGGATAGGATTGTCTTTCGACGGCATCGCGTTCATCAAAGGCTGGGCAGATTGCATTCGGAAACAGAAATCCTTGGGAGCAGCATTAACTGTGTCGAACCATGGCTCAATCAAAGCTCGGCATACTTCCAAAACCGTCAGGAACGATCGATATGCCGTTCCGTTCAAAGCCTTGATACTTGCCACGAATTCGGAGAATGTGGTCTTGGTTGACCAAAAAAAGCCAACTGGTGGGCAAACCAATGCTGGAAAGAGCAATACATGATGAATTGCCCCTTGTTGCGAACCAAAACGTTTGGCTGGGTGCAGGAGAATAGGTTGTATCTTATCAATTAGATCCTCTCGGGAAGTGACGGTATCTGTCCTCGTTGACCAACCGGTGCCCGCGGCGGCCAAATGCGAAGGACGATTGTACGGAACGCCAATCTTGTATGCTAGTTCTTCCTGCAAAATATCCGACCAAAAAGGAGCTCCCAAGTTTTCGTCGTCAATTTCAATCTTGGTAATGGAAGGATTGGTGACAATGGTTATGTAGGGGTCAGATTCGTCTCCTGCCACAATCAGCGCAGCAGTGACCGTTTGTTTTTGCAATATTAACAAACGGTCCAGAGAGGATAGATTGGGATCATTCCATTCTTTCATTACCTTGATGGTATTGGCCGCAAAGGTTGCGTTGTCGAGATAAAATCGCTTCGAAGGAAGTCGTTGGTTCTTAGTGGCCGTAACACCAAAGCCAAAAGATTTCTTGGCGGTTGGATTGGATACCTTTGTGCTGGTAAGAAGCTCGCCATGCAAGGTTTGGTGTTTGTACGGAGGATTGATTCGATCAAGCCACTTGCCATCACCAATTGATTGTAACAATGCTTCTGAACTAAAGGTCATCCTAAGAAGAAATGTCCTTCGATTTACTACTATTGCATCAATATGCTCCGCAAACAACAATCAACTAGTTGCGAAAAGCACTATCGATTGAGAAAGTGGTAAATTATTGATATGGTTTCGTCTTGTCGAATTGCGGATATTGTGATCGAGATGGAAGCCTGACGTGCCAGTGGTGATTGCGTGGAAACATCTTATTGGAGCTGAAACTTTCAATTTGGTAGCTTTAGCAGTAGGAACGAGTATTTCACCAACCACCAACCCTACTGTATGGTACTGTACGATACAGTTATATCTTCATGCGCGGTTTCGCGTGCTGTGGAGACCTTCCATCGGACCGATCCGAACAAGAAGTATATACTGTATTTCTCGTTCTTCGTTGGTCGCACAGTAGTACAAAAGCAACCCAGGGTGAACGAAGAGCCCAAGCATGATTTAGGAATATGGTGTTGTTTGCTATGACTTGCCGACAACTTCATGATTCCTTTGTTGTTGTGATTGATGTCAGTTGAAACAAGCGAACCAGCAACAAATCACGACCCTGAGTACTGAGCAGGCCCAAGGAGTACGCCTTCCGTATGGTGTGGCAAAAAGGATAATTAAAGAAATCTGCTATCTCAGTATTTTAGCTTTCGAATGTGGAAAGGCCAGAATAGTATACAGGTTCCACAGCTTGATTTTTTTAATGATCAAAGGTCAGACCCAGCTGCTCTTCGTTTATTCAATACCATTCAGCACTCTTCCTCGACTTCGGAAGGTGGTAGGCTCGCAAACCGCTGTGGCAGAGACAGTGGTACATCGGATACCTTCTTTCCTCTTGATCTAACATGTAGAAACGGAAGCTTTTTGGAACTCAGTGCATCCGTGGAACTTGGCGGAGAATCAATTGAAGAATCCGATGTACGCTTTGGAACAGAAATAGGTGTATCTGATACCTTCAATGAATCAGATGTTCGTCTCGGTACCTGCATTGGCAGATCCGGTGCATTGGGTTTGCGCCTTGGACCTTTCATTCTCGAATCATCAGTCCTGCGGGGTCTTCTTGCTACATCGCCCGATGTACGCCTTAGTGGTACCTTCATTGGTACATCCAATGAATCCAACTTGTGCTCCATGCGACCTTCCGACCTCGAATCAGTCATGCAGGTTGCTCTTATTTCCGAGTCACCCAAGTCATCTGCACTTCCTTCGACACCAGACAACGGTTTGGGAGAAGTCACTGGTTCCGACATTGTTTCTGCCCCTTTCCAACGACTCTCTGACGGTTCCGTGGGCACTAACAGTCCCGCAGATATCACAGAAAGATGCGATCCGTTGGCCTGGTACGGAGTCAAATCAAAAACAGTTTCTGACAGTTCACTGATGGCTTCCAACGTCGTCAATCGATTAAGACCAGAAGCAAGGTCGGATGATGCCCTCTGACTCACTTGCAAATTTGCATCGCGCCATCTCTCGTCTTCTCCAAGCCCGTCAGCGACATCTTCAAAGTCACCCTCGCTTGCTGTCAAAGATGATATAATGTTTCGCGGAAGGCGTAACTGAGCCATCCTTGAGGTCCCCGTGTCTCCAACCGGTGCATCTGCTTCTGATCTGGGTTCATTCCTCCGATTGGCACCACTCTGAGCATCAAGCTTGTAACCATCACAAACAGTAGGTCGAAGTTCGTCGCCAAGAAATATTCGTCTCACTGTCCAAAATCTCCCTTCCCTGGGGAATCGAAGCCTTAGATTCAAGTATTTGGGACGCAAAAAGATAATCACATTGAAAAGGCCCTGTAACGGGAGTAGAGCTGCTTGCAACACTGCCAGAGGATAGTATTTTACCATCAATTCTATGTCTTTCAGGTCACTGCCCGGTAAAACGCCCATTAAAGTATTCCAAGCATTGCACACCACGAAGGCCATCACAAACAGAAACGCTTGTGAGCAAACCAGCTGCAGTCGTTGTGACTGGCTTGCTATCTTCCTCTTCGATCTATTGTCTTTGTTCTTGCTTTCTCGCCTGGATGTTTTCTTCGTGCAACTTGGTACTCTTGAAGACCCTTCCGATGAACCCGTCGAGAGAGTGAATCGATCAAACGATTCGACAAACGATACATCCACATCGCTCGATATGGAATCCTCGATCTCTTGAGATGGATGCTTTCGAACATGTCGCCGAACAAACAAATAGATGACAACGTTGTTGATTATCAGGCAGACGAATACGGCCAGCACAGGCATGGCAAAGAAAACAGTTCCAATGATATCATACCCCATATCATTTTCTGCTGTTTCCGTAGCACCAGATGTACCTTCTTTGCTGTCTCTGCTCATCCAACATGACATTGCTCCAGCCTTCTCCCCATAAATGTCGACGACAGCACCAACGAGGGCAGTGCCGATTGCAAATCCAAGCGCCACCAAATGCATCAATGGCTCAATCCACCTAGAGATCTTTGAATTCTTCATGCCATATCGAGCCGTTAACAAAAAGTAAAATGATAACATCCCGTTGTAGCAGATTGCGCCTGCTGAAGATGCTTGATTGATGAATCCAATGTAGCTGCAGGTAGCGTCGTTCCCAAACGCCCATATTCTGTAGCTTGTCTCTCTTGGTCGAAGGAAAGTAGAAAACCCCACGTTCAGGCTGAAGACGATGTCACAGAAACTCATTGCAACGAGAAGCCGAGTGTAAGGTGTCCAATTTTGAATCTTTCTTCTCTCTTTCGCGAGATAGATGATAGCAGAGCTTCCCAGTATGCTAATGATAGCACTCGGGATTGGAAGTATGCTCAAGACTATCTGCTGTGTATCTGATAGCTGTGGGTCAACACTCATCCTATTGGTGCTATTAGTTGCTCTTCCGCTTTTGATAAAGAATCGATCTTTTCAATTCTCCATCATATGACAAGAAGAGACGTTTTTCGTTTCTGCTGAGGCTGTTAGCGCTATGACAACACCATTTTCCAGTCGAACTACCGGTATATACAATATGTCTGAATTTTCCGTAGAACCGGCATTTCATATCATTCCGCAGTTCGTCCCAGTACCAAACCGGTAAAAGAAAACCTGTAACTTTCTTGGCGAACAGAAATTGTGAGCTGCCGCCATGACGGTGAAAACTTCTGGCTCATAATGCGGAAGATGACCCAAGATGTTTCGGAGAAGAATTCTGGTCACCACAGCTCGTAGCAGTAATTTACGTACACGTGTGTACCTTACGTGTACCGCTGATCAATGAAGAAGATCCTCACATTTCCATTTTCACAATTAGAATGACCGTCAGCATGCCACCGGTTACCAGTTTCTGGCGTTTGGGATTGGAGCAGGAAAGTTGTTTCTTCAATAGTATTTGGGGGAGAGTCCCACTGCTCCATTGATTTTGAGCTCACCTCCTCCTCTCGTAAACACTATACTGTACATACTCTCCGATACCCGTCGTCTTTATGTCAACCATTTGTTCAAATTGATTGGTTGTTCCCCCGACGAAAGGAGCAGCAATGGACTCCATAAACTCGGCTTCTCCTCGATTTCATCTTGATGTTTGGTGAACGCAATCTGGACGGGCCAATCCGTTAAATATGCGCGAAGGACTGGCTGTGCGCTGTGCCAGTTCTTTAAGAATTAGGTTTTTTAAAGCATTAAGTGTGAAAATCATGGATTCGCCAAAGTGTTGAAACGCCGGGTAATATATGTATATTCAAATTCCGATAATAAAAATGTGATGATTCGTCCCGCCACTACAGTACTGCGAAGGAAAATAACTGGGAGATAGAAACATATGGTTACATACTGTAGTAAGCGTCGACATTGAAACGAAAAGGTTGGCGAGAAGCATAGCAAACGTCTACACACATCAGTACAATTACAGCACGCGATTCCTGCCTTATTGAAAACGAAATCCCTTCGAAAAAGATCGTGACAAAATTCTGACTGTATCATCACTGCGACCTGTTGTAGTGTCGTGAAAAGAAGGGATTGCGTATGAAGAGAATGAACACATACCAGCAGATAGTGCTGAGCTTACTTCCGATACCCAGTGCCATCATCAGCATGCTAGGAAGTACTGCTATCATATATCTCGCAAGACAGCGACGAAAGGTACAACAGTGGACCCCATACACTCGACTTCTCGTTGCAATGAGTGTCTGTGACATTGCCTTCAGCTTAACCATAGGGATGGTCACTTTTCTCCGACCAAGAGAGACGAGTAGGAGAATTTGGGCGTTTGGAAATGATGCTACCTGCAACTTTTCAGCATTTATCAGCCAAACAACCACTGCTGGAATCTGGTACCAGGGGATGTTGTCAATCTACTTTCTATTGACTACTCGATATGGTATGAAAAATATTACTATCGCCAAGCGCATTGAGCCATTCATGCACATCGTGGCAATCGGATATCCACTGTGCACTGCCATTGCTGGTGCTGCTATGGGTATCTATGGGGAGAGGGCTGGAGGAGCATCATGTTATGTGATTAGCTACGACAGCAACGATGTACCCGACGCTTGGTATGTCCAAGAAAAAAGCAGCATGCGCGACGGAATGGTATATATTTTCTATGCGCTGCCTGTGGTTTTGGTTACACTGTGCTTAACCTGTACGCAATTGAGCATATACTTGTTGATTCGGCGCCATACTCGAAAGTTCCCGTCTCAACCAAGTGAGGATTCAACATCAAGCAAAGACGACCTGTCATTTGGTTGGAGCGTGCTTCCAATGGGTACATCTCAAGAGTCTTCAAGAAGCCCAAGATGTCCAGTAGTGTTGAGTGTCCAAAGCAAGGGCAAGAACAAAGAAAATTCAACGGCACAGTCAACGAAACAGTCCCGACGACTGCGGCTGGTTTGTTCACAATCATTTCTGTTTGTGATATCGTTTGTGTTCTGCAATGTCTGGAATTTCATTATGGGTATAATGCAGAGCCGTTCTCGCACCCAGGCTGATGACATGGGACTGCTGGTAAAATACTATCATTTTGCTGTGCTACAAGCAATACTGCTCCCGTAAGTACTGAAACGTTGTCAAAGCGACAACAATTCATTCCGACCTTTCTCATCTATTTTCCTTTGAATGCATGTAGTATTCAAGGGTTGTTCAATTGTCTGATTTTCTGTCGACCCAAGTACTTGGTGATAAGACTCGAGTTCCCTAGGGAAGGGAGACTGTGGACCGTCAAGCGAATACTTCTTGGGGATAGGCTTCCTCAAACTGCTTTCCGGATGAACCCCGGTGGTCATGTTGCAAATTCTGGAATTCCGCAAAGTGAACCGGAATCAGATGCAGATGCACCTGTCGGGGATACAAAGACTTCCAAATTGGTTCCTTTACGCCTTCTACGAAACATGATATCTTCCTTGACGGCAAGTGACGGTGACTGTGATGATCATGCGAACGATGAACTTAGGAGCGATGAACGATGGCACGAAGCTGACGTCCAAGTGGACGAAGGCTCTCCTTCAGACCTTGTCGCAGGTATCAATCGATTGACAACGTTGGAAGCTATCAGTGAAGTGTCAGAAACTGTATATGATTTGACGCCGTATCAGGCCAACGGGTCACATCTTTCTGCAAGTTCTGTGGGATTGTCATTGCCCACGGAAGCGTCCGAGAGTCGTTGGAAAGGAACAGAAGCAATATCGAGACCAATGACTACTCTGGGACCTCCTTCTGCTGTGGAAAGTAGCGGAAGTGACTTGGGTGACGTAGAACGGCCACCTTCAAAGACTGATTCGATTATTGATGTTCCAACGCGCAAGCCCGATATATCTGATCTACCAATCCAGGTACCGCGACGGACAATGGATGTATTGGAGGCATCCAATTCTTCTCTTTCTGCTCCACACTTGTCCGAGTATTCAGCAGCAGTGGTATGTCCAGAAAGGCTAGCAAGTGGGCATGATAGACCAAGAGGGAAACTAGTATTTGATATACCTTTGGCTCCACCACAACGGTTCACCAGCATGTCACCTTCTGAAATCGAAGATGAGTGAACGGTAATGATTATTACGCGCTGGATACTATATACCCTTGGGACCACCACAGCGGTTTCAGAGTGTGTCATCTTTGGACCGAGACTGCCATCTTCTGAAGTCAAGGACGAGTTATCCTCTCCACTTTCAGCTGTTATCATGCTCTGATTCACGACTGGAGATTCAATTCGAATGTTAGGGTAGTTGTCATTTTAGCAGATGTGACTAATCAATTCTAATGCAATTCAAATGCAGATGAATGAGAAAGAGTGAGATGTATACAGTAGATATTGCGTATTGGATGGATCTTGGAAAGTCTAGTGGCTGTATGTCATATGTTGTAAACCCGTATCCAGTACCACGTATAGACCTACTCGTACTGTGGTATCTTGCTGTGGTATCTAATGTTATGTTTCATGAATTTCAAGAAAGCTCATAAATTCACCAACAAGAAAGTCTATCGACCATGTCTCTGTCCATTCTCCAAGCTGGCCCTGCCATCATGTATGGCGGCCTTGCCTTTGGATTGGGCTTTGGAAGTTTTGTCCATCAAAAGGAACCTTCCTGGAAGATTCCGGCCATGGTATGCGCGGGATTTTGGGGTTTTACCGCTTTCACTGTGGATCAAGAAGGCCTCTTTG